AAACCACGAATCATCAATCATGGAAATTATCTCAAAACAAATATCATCTGAAAATATTTCTTGTTGCAGTTTCACAACTTTTTTTGATTTTTCTTCCATATTGTTTTTCATATTGTTGTTGTTAGTGAATATTTCCTCCGAATTAATTGACTCGATTTTCAAAATCTCTTTTTTGTTTCCTAATTTTTTTTAATTTGGATATAAACCAATCTTCAACTATCGATAAGGTATTCTCACACGTCCACAATGTATTGTTTTCTTATTCAATTTTCATGTAATCGGCCATATCACGACGAAGGCAGTCCAATTGCTTAGCCTATTCGGTAACTTGGGACCTATGTTCCTCAGAGTTCATACCAAATCAGTCCGGTACAAAAAAAAATGCCAAAAATTCGAAGAGGTACACCCTTGGGCAATCTTCTTTTAAATTATTCGGAAGGTGATTTATTGTCTTTTCATGTATTGCCTTTTATTGATTTTAGGATAATTCGTGAATCTATTTATTTGGTTTCCAAGCAAGTTGCTACACTTGTTCAAAATGCTTCCTGTTGTGATTTCATATTGTGTTTGAACTCGGAGATGACCAGGAAGGTTTCATTAGAGCCTCCAGTTAGTAAAATAACTAGGGAGGAATTATTTCCATCCTTGTTGTGGTTTGCGAGTGGAGTGGAAATTTACAGTAGCACTAACTTGGATTTAAGTCACAAGAATCTGTTAATTGCCAGAAAGATTTATGAAAAGGCTTTTCAGAGGAGGAGAAAATTGAAAATTTATTTTAGTTCTCTGCAGGGATATAAGCAGTATATGGAATTTTTGGAAAATTACATGATGGAGAAAATAAGAATAGAATTTACAATATATGAAATGGAATTACTGAGATCAGCAATAAGAACCATAGAAAATACACGGAAAAAACTTGGGCATTTAATATTAACTCAAAGAGGAATTACTATGAATGCACTCGCCAGCATCACTACTCTATTTGGATATTTAAAGGATAAGAAAGTATTCGATCTCTTTGAGAAGGTGGAAATGAAAATTGGTGATGAAATATTGAATTTTATTTTAAATGAAAACAATTGCTCTATATTATCACATTTACATGAATCACTTCAATTTAAATGTTTAAAAATTGTAATTGATGATTCTTCAAATGATATCAATGCCAAACCTTTTGACTCTATCCGTCAAGGAATGTATCATTAAGATAAAGGAAGAAAAAGATGATTCGACAAGGATGTTGGAAATGTTCAAAACTCCAAGCCTATCAGTACTTACCATTGAGAAAATGAAACTGAAAAATATTCCTCTGGTCAAATGTACGCTTAAAACACTGAAATTAGATAACAATAACATTACTGGTGACTTGACAGATTTTGAGAGGTTGAGAGTTCATAATTTAGAGCTTCTTTCACTTTCTAACAATATGATTGAAAAATATCAAACGTACGCCAGCCTTACCAAACTTTCACAGCAAGTAATAGCTTTAGGAAATGTTTTTGATGTCATTTCAATGGATGGAGAAATTAAGGAATTTACTGGAGAAGAATATCATGTAGAGAGATCTAAATACTTTCATAGACCAATCAATTGGGTACCTACTCAGAATATTTTGAGATTTATTAGGAGTCACACTTCTCAACTCGTGGTTTCTCAGAAAATGCACTTTAAAGATCTGATAACAATTAAGCAATTGTCTGGAGAAGATCCTAATCTATTATTTTGGAATTTACTCTATTCAAGTCCATCAGTCAACAAGAAGAACATTACAATAATGTCTGGTTTTATTCAAATGGGAATTAAATTGAATAGTCAATGTTCCAAACAAATAGGTATGAATTGGATCTTTATTGGATTATTTTTGAGATCCGCTAATTCAGTACGATGTACTTTATTAGACAGCAAAGGATTTGAACCTTCCCTAAATTATATAATTGAAAATTGGTCAACCATTTCAAGTCAACACGAGCACATCAACAAATTGAGAAAATAAAAAGTTGTGAAAAACTGTAGTTGAATAAGATTCGCTTATGTTTCGACCGTTGTGATGTCAACCCCATTTTTGTTCATTTGAAAGAGCGCTTTCTTTTTAGTGAGAGCGAGCCAAAATCAAAAAAATAACACCAACACCACAGCATGCCAATTCTTCAATCAGATATTATTGAGATTCGTATAATCAAAGCAACTAATCTCATACCTGCCGATGTGAATGGACTCTCAGATCCTGTAAGTTTTCGTATACGATAATAACAATTATTAAAATCATTTAGTATGTGATTGTTTCTTCGGCATTGAATTTTTATGATCAAATCAAAACTGCCATCATCCACAATAATTTAAATCCAGTGTGGGCCAATGATGAAGTTTATTCTTTCAAAAGTCCTAAAGAAGTATCATCGGGATGGAATGTTAAATTCCTAGTTTTTGATTATGATCGTATGAAGAAGGATGATTATTTGGGTGAATATGAATTGAATATTAATGATGACAGATTTAAACCGAATGGAAACGAGGAGATTGTGAATATGACTTTGGAAAAGGTAAAACATGGTGTGTTAACAGTTGGAATTAAAGTAAAGAGAGTAAATGATGAGTTGACTAGTCCATCTCCTCGATCAAGTCATCAAAAAGATTTGGAACATTACAAAGTTGATCATTTTCCACATCTTTGTTTCAAAGTTCCAAAAAGATTTAAATTTGACATGATGGATAAGAAGAAGACTTCAATTTCATGTCATTATCAATATGATAATGGAGATTATGATCACATTACTGTTTCTTACTTGCCAAACATTTTACAAGAAATGACTTTTGAAAAGGCTAAATTTTACAATATTCTTAGTTTGAGAAAAACTCATAAGGAATATTCCAAACTCTCTGGAAATCAACTCATTGATGTAGAAGATGATGTTGCACAAACTCTTTTCACTTCACAATTTGCTCAAGTGTTTCGTTGGCAATGGATTTTTGTGGATTATCCTGAACAGCGTCCAACCAGAGTCTTCTTCTACATGATTAAATCTCAAACTGCCTCAAAGAGTCTTCACACAATTGTTTATAAGACAACTAGAGGATGTATTAAGAATGAAGACTCTCCATTCGATCATACTAAAGTAGATTCCAAATTGCTGAGCTCTATTGAATTGGAAATTACAGATCTGATTAAGAGTTGTGAAAAGGTTGATAATAATTAAGGAGTTTCAATATTTGGAATTTAATTCATTTTGTTAATAATTTGGAAAATAAGTAGAACATCAAAAGTAAATTTCAACATTTATATGAAATTAATATTGTGTTCGTTCAGTAAGACAAATAGATTTGTATTTTGGAATCCAAGTTATTAAGAGAGAGTTGCCACTCTCTAATTGATTTCAATTTCATGGCCATCTAAGGACACTCTAATAATGATAAGCAAACAACTCAACCAATTAATTACTACTACAGCCAAGGTCACCACCACAATCGTAACTGTAAATCAAAATCTATTGTAATCGCATTGAAATTTTCCAAAACAAGCCACCCAGTCTGTTTTGTGCGGAGCCCGTTTTGGATGAGAATTAGATTTCCAAGCCCAAAAAAAAGTCCCTCGCACTTGCCACTTGGTCCTTGTTGTTCTTGTACTTGAGACTTTGGAAAAACTTCCAACAACTTCCGCCCCACATCCATCTCATCATCCTCAACATAACAAAAAAACCACACAACGATAGTGACCCGAATGCAACAAGTTGTTGTTGTCGATACAAAATATCATCACCAATTGCTCAGCCTCACCTTGCAACCAATAATAGTATTAAAACCACTTGGTTTATTAGTAGTGTATTAGAGAGAAAGTTGTCTAACTATATCTAATATAATATTCCATCCAATCTAGCCTTTTTTAAAAGAACTCAAAAGTATGGGTGTCGATGCATCAAAATTGTATAGCCCGAGCACAATGCTCAATACGGCTCTAGGAAGAAATAGTTTAGAAGAAACATATCCAGAGGATTTGGAACATTTCGATCCGTTTGATAAGAATTCCAAACATTCAAATGCCAATAATGCATTTGTAAAGAGGAAATTGCCAAAGGAAATGTGGTTACATATTGCCAGTTTCATGCCAATCAAGACTTTATGTTTGTTGGTTGGTGCCAATAAGTTTTTCTTTAAATTGTTGGTGAAACCTGACCTTGGATCTTCAACCGTATCCAAAGGAGAAGAACGAAGTAGCTTGGATATTGTGAGTCAATATTCGAGAATTGGTTTCAATTATATTTTGGAACGATTATTGTTTAATGCATTCCCTGATTATGGAATTTTCATAACTGAAAAGAGAGAAGGATTAGAAGCAAGAAAGAGTAAAAGCTCTAGTAATGTAAAGAATTTGAAACAAGTCAAGAATGAATTATTCTATTCCAATACCTATGACAAGATGAAGGAAATTGTGACGAACCTGGAAACTTACAGAGACTTTTCTGTGTGTTGGAAGAGATTGGATATTGAACATGCTGAACTTAATATGAAGCCTACATCCCTTTGTCTGATTGATATAACAATCTCAAAGAAGAATATTCAATATTTAATGTCTAGAAGAGGTTTGGAATATTTAGATGAAGACGAGGATCATAACAGCTATGGATTTGCAGAAGATATTTATGATCAACCACCAGTTAATACTTGGTCAATATTCGTTAATCATGTATTCTCCCCTAAATTGAAATATTTAACAATCAATGATTGCCACTTTTCATTAGATATTCATTTTGATTGGTACAATATGAACTTGGTTCATCACTGTCCAAATCTCAAGAGAATTGAGATTAAACTTTATGAGAAATACCATGACTGGTTGTTGGACACTATTCGTTCCTTGAAGAGTCTGGAAACAGTTACATTCCTCCCTGGTAGTGAATTGTCTTCCACTTTCTATCAAGCAGTCACAAAATCAGCAGATAACATTTCACACATTAAGGAGTTGAACTTTTTAGATGAGTTTACCTTTGATCAACCTCTTGATTTTTTGCAAACTTTTTACAAATTAGAGAGATTGACAATTCAACTCAGATCCTACAAGGATGTTAAATATATTCCAACAAATATTCGCTCGCTGACCATCAGTTTAGGAGGTAAATCATCCACTGAGGTTCCTAACATCAAATTTGATTGTCTTAAACAATTAGCAGTCAAAGGTGGGGTTTTATCTCACGAACAATGGGACTCATTCCTCAAGAATACCAGTCAAAATGTTGAGCAATTTACTATTGCTCCTGCTGAGGAGTTTAACTTTTCCAAATCATTAACATATTTTACCAAGCTGAAGACCGTTTCTATTTCTAACATTTATTTTGCTTCCTCTGATCATTCCTCAGTGGTCTCAAAGTTTTTCACCAACAATAAGAATCTAGTATCTTTAGATATGAGTGGAAGTGTCATTAACTATACCAAATCTATTGTTAATGCATTACCAAAATCGTTGAGAGAAATTAATCTGGAAGGAACGATTGCCCAACTTCCAACTCATATCAAACTCGATAAGCTTACCTTTACTATCAATGGTAAACAAGATGAGATTGTTCAATCGCTCGATTATAGCGTATGGAAAGAAAGTCTCAAAGAATTGTGTATATATGGATCAGAAGTTCATGGATTATTATCTGTAAATATTTGTAAATTGCAAAACTTGGAAAAGCTCGTACTTGTTGGTATTGGATTTGAAAAGATTCCAAAGGATTTCTATTCAATGAAATCTCTTAAACATATTGACCTTTCTTCCAATCAAATAAGGGAGGTATCAAAGAAGATTGCCTATATGCAAAACCTTGAATATATTGACATTTCCAATAACAGTATTGAAAAGTTCGATGCTTCAGTATTCAAATTAATGAAAAAATTGGATCAAGTCCATTTTACAAGAAACCCATTCTACAATGGCTATGAATCCTCGCTGACTTATCAAAAATGGTTGCACTACCCAACCTATAATACCATAGCAGCCGTATGTAAGAATAGATTTTTGGAAAAGAAGAAGAATTTATATGAAGTTTCCAATACTAGAATTCAATGGTTTGTTGAACTCTACAAACACGTCAGATTTACTGTACAGATTGAATATTTCAATATTAAACGTCAAGCTACACAAAGAAAAGCATTCAGATGTGCTATGGATAAGAGGAAATGCAATTTATTCGAATGGGATCTGATATAGCCCGTCTGAAAATAACTCAGTTTCATTCCCAATGTAAATATTAATACCATTGTTAAATAAAATTACTAATTTATTAATTTTTGAATATTTTACAAAATTCATTGTCTATTTTTACCGCCAAACAAAAATTCTTCCAAAAACAGAACAAAAAAAATGAAAAGAAAGTTTGTCACACCCTTCAAGAATCCACCCCCACCAAAGGCTGAAGACAAATCGAGTGCAACACCAACAACAACCGATGTAGCTAAATCTTCACAATCAAATGCTAGTCAAGATGTTCCGAAGGCTAATTCAACAACTACAACAACAGCAAAGAAAAAGTTTGTCCCACCAACAAGAACAAAGCCTTCAGAACCTACCTCTACCTCCAATGCTAACAATAATAATAATAATAGTTCAAATAATGATGAAGAGGAGGGAGAAGTGTGGATGGTCATGCATACAAAGAATTCAAATAAGAAACATAAAACATTTGATGATGGTTTCTTATTGATAAGGAACAAAAAGTACACATTGTTTGATTCACAGGGAAAACAATTGATTGCCAAGTCTGTTTCTAAAGTAGAGTATGTAATTTACCAATGATAATTAGATGAATTTAACATTTTCAAAGAACTTTCCGAGAAAATGATCAGCTCACCCTTGGAACTAAACTAGTTGATTTTCAATCCAAGTTGAAAATGGAGGATTACATTAGTGGTAGAATATTCCTTCAATATCAATCCAATATCACAACACCTAAAGTTAATACAATATCATCAGCTGCCAAGACTGAATTCAAACGTCATACTACATCCAAGACTGCAGGTTTAGGCTACAATAACACAGAAGTTCAAGTTATCAAGGCACCTGAAGGAGCCTACATTTTGAATGAAAATCATCCTGAAAAGGATAAGAATGGAAAGAAATTATCTGATGTTTTTATTGATAATTTTCTTGGAGAAAATCTCAGACCTCATCAAGTTGAAGGTGTGAAATTTATGTACGAATGTGCCATGGGATTGAAAGATTTTGTTGGAAAGGGTTGTTTGTTGGCAGACGAAATGGGTTTAGGTAAAACCCTTCAAACCATTACTTGTAAGTTTTTTAGAAATAACTAATTATTCCTTAATTCAATTTAGTAATCTATACATTACTCAGAAGAGGTCCATTTGGATCACCAATTATTAAAAAGGCCATTGTTGTAACCAATTCATCTCTCGTAAAGAATTGGACCAGTGAATTTGATAAATGGGTTGGAGAAGATAAAATCAAAGTATTGACAGTTACTACCAAAACAGCTAAACAATCTCCATCCGAAACTTTAAAGATTTTCAAAGCTGGCTACCATCAAGTATTAATCATTTCATATAATCTCTGTACCAATTATGTGGAGGAATTGCAAGATTGTCAATGTGATATACTTATTTGTGATGAAGGTCACAAGTTGAAGAATGCTAATATTAAGATTTTCCAAACTCTGAAAAAGATTTCTACTCCAAGAAGAATAGTACTCAGTGGTACACCTTTGCAGAATGACTTGAATGAGTTCTTTACCATTTGTGACTTTATCAATCCTGGTTTGTTGGGTGATGCAACATCTTTCAAGAATCTCTTCACTGAGCCAATTAAAAAGAGTCAAGAACCAAATGCTAAAAAACAAGACAAGGTTATTGGTGAAAATAGATCCAAAGAGTTGAATAAGATTGTTTCTCAATTTGTTTTGAGAAGAACCAACCTTTTATTGAGACAACATTTACCTCCAAAAAGTAAGTAAGCAATTCTATTACTGTCTTAACATGTATTTTTCAGTGGAAATTGTATTATTCTGTGGTATGACTGAATTACAAGAAAATCTTTACAAACATTTTGTACTCTCCAAAGCTCTGAGAGGTGTTATTAATGGTACTTTGGATTCAAACAATGCATTGGCTTGTATTATGCACTTGAAGAAATTATTAGCACATCCAAATATGATCTACCCACAGGAAAACAATGAAGAAAAAGAGGAAGAGGACAATGAATTATTCGATGATATTTGGACCCAATCAAAAAAGCACTTCCCATCTGACTACAATCCAAACGACAAGAAAGAATATCATTCCCAGTATTCTGGAAAGCTACTTGTTCTTGATAATCTATTGAGGGAAATCAGGGAAGTTGGAGATAGAGTAGTAATTGTTTCTAACTTTAAATCTGTAAGTTGTTTTTAAATTTCCAAATCCAATCTCACAAACATATACAGATTCTGAATGAAATTGAAAAATTGTGTAAAATAAGAGACTATCCTTTGAGTAGATTGGACGGATCAACTCAATCAGAAAAGAGAATGGTAATTGTAAATAGTTTCAACTCACCAAAATCAAATGACTTTATATTCTTGCTTTCATCCAAAGCTGGTGGTTGTGGTCTCAATTTAATTGGTGCTAACAGACTTATTATGATAGATCCTGATTGGAATCCAAGTAATGACGAACAGGCCATGGCTCGTGTTTGGAGAGATGGTCAAAAGAAGAGTGTTTTCATCTATAGAATGATTGGTTGTGGTACTATTGAAGAAAAGATTTTCCAAAGACAAATTGTCAAGACAGGTCTGTCTAAATCTACCCTTGATGAAAAGTCTCTCAAATCTCAATTTTCGAGTGAAATGCTTAAAGAGCTGTTCAAATATGATAATGATATGGATTGTAAAACATACCCTGCGGATAGTAACGACCTTGATGCAATTAAGGAAAAAGATGAAGTTTTAGCTAAGGTGTTAGACGAGGAGGATGTAAAGATTCCTTTTGTCAAGATTACATTGGATACTGAGGATTCCAAAAATCAATCAAACGAAACAACCGAAGAATCAAATGTGGAAGACGAAGAAGAATCCAGTGAAGAGGATTCACTTGAATCGGATACAAAGAAGAGAAAGATTGACATGGAAGAAGGTGAGGAAGAGTTTAAATTTATTGACGAAGATGAGGATGAATAAATCTTAATTTCTGGAATAGTCAAATAATTTACCTAATACTTTAAATGATGTCATATCTGAATTGAAAAAAATCTAGGATATTTCAAAACGTAACCAATGGCTCTTTCCAATAATTCACAATTGATTTATTAAATATGAATATTAATAATAATTTAAAATTAATATTAAAATTGTAAAAAAAAATGAGAGCAATTATTCAACGGGTTAATCATGCCAGTGTGACCGTAGCCAACAATCTCATCAGTCAAATTCAAAGAGGCATGATGGTATTAATCGGAATTGAAAAAACAGACACCAAAGAAGATATGGAATATATTGTTAAAAAGATAATTAATACACGTTTGTGGGATGATGATAATGGAAAGGCTTGGAATGCAAGTGTAAAGGAAAAGAATTATGAAATTCTTCTTGTTTCCCAATTTACTCTCTATCATAAATTCAAGGGAAATAAATTGGATTTTCATTGTGCTATGAAAACGGAGGAAGCTAGGAATTTCTTTGCTGAAATTGTTGCTGAAGTAAAGAAGAATCACAATTCGGAAAGTTTGGTGAAGGAAGGAGCTTTTGGAGAATATATGGATTGTACATTGTCGAATGATGGACCAGTGACAATTATTGTGGATAGTAGAAATAAAAACACAGTGTAGTTATAGGAATTCACTGTTAATTATTATTACTACTAGTATTAATATGAATAATATTTTAAATGGAATAGTTTGATAAGGTATTTTTTCATTGGAATGCATAGAACAATAGGAGAAACTGTCAGTTCATGATCCATTCCTTTTCAGATTAGTTTCCTTGTGATCTGTGACCATTGTTAGTGAATTGGGTTCTTTATCTAATTTCAGTCCATATTTTGATTTCGATCAAAACCTCCAAATGGAATCTAACTTATTGAGAAGGACCAGTTTCTAACAACGATCATTCCTCTCTCGTAATCCAAATGCACCACCCTGCACTCAACAAATATATTGATGATTCTAACAATTAATAATGGGAATACAATTGCTCCTTTTCCTACTACCACCACTTTACCGTAAAACACATCTTGTACAGGTTCTTAAGGAACATTGAAAAAGGAATTTTAATTCTCAAATCAGCTAACGTTGACGTCCAATAACAAAGATAATCATGTTCACCACATGTGTTGTTTTCTTTGCATATGATGAGATAAAACAATAATACAGAGTTACCATAAAGCCATCAAATCATTCGTGAAACTTAACGTTGTTGGTGAGTCATCAGGAAGAATGTCATTGGACGCCTTATTATATTTTTAAATTACCGCGCCAATTCAAGTGTGCGTATGTGGGCAAGGAGTTTTGAGCTTGGAACGTTGTTGTTCGCAAAGTGATGCTGATTTTTGTTGCCACCTTCCAACAAGCTTCAACAATTACAAAAAATTTAAAATGAATCCAGAATAGTAGGTGTCCGTTACTTTGATTCGTTAACCTTCTTGCTTTTCGTGTTGTTATTTTCGTGGTCATAACGATTGATATTGTTGTTAATAACCACCAACTTTCACTTGCTTGATACGATGATGATTTTTAACTACTACTACTCTCTTAAATACAACAAATTAAATAATTGATGATGATTGGAAAATAGCGATTATTTGTTCAAGTTACTTTTGATTGGTATGTGTTTGATGATGAGGATGATAAATTTATTTACCATCAATATTATATTAAATAGGTGATAGCGGTGTTGGTAAAAGCTGTCTTCTCCTTCGTTTTGCTGTACGTATCTAGATTGATAATAATTTAAATATTTATACATTCTTCTACAGGACGATACCTACACTGACAGTTACATCAGTACTATTGGTGTCGACTTTAAGATTCGTACCATTGAATTAGATGGTAAAACCATAAAGTTGCAAATCTGGGACACGTAAGTTTTTCGGTTTAAATTCACAAGCTAAACAACAATAACAGTGCTGGTCAAGAACGATTCAGAACAATGTAAGTTATAATACTATATGATGAAAAGTTATTTACTTTTTAAATAGTGTATGTAATAATTAATTCAGTGTTGGAAATAACGTTTTTTCATCATTACCAATAATAATCATCAATATTCTTTAAACTTGTATTACGGATCCATACTATGATTCTATTTGCTAACTAACAAATAATAACAAACAAAACAACAATATCTTTGATCTATCTTTAAATAACAGACTTCAAGCTACTACAGAGGTGCTCACGGTATTATCATTGTCTATGATGTCACTGATCAAGATTCCTTCTCCAACGTCAAGCAATGGCTCAGTGAAATTGATCGTTATGCTTCCGACAATGTTAACAAGTTGTTGGTTGGTAACAAGTGTGATCTCACTTCCAAGAAGCAAGTTGATCGTAGCACTGCTGAAGAATTTGCTAAGAGTTTGAATATTCCATTCCTTGAAACTAGTGCCAAGATTTCAACCAATGTTGAACAAGCTTTCATGACTATGGCTGCTGAAATTAAGAATAGACTTGCCAGTCAACCAATTACTACACAACAACAACCATCCCTTGGAATTACTCCTGCCCCATCAAAGCCACAATCAAACGGTGGATGCTGTGGATAATTTCATTCTTTGGAGCAAAAACTTTTGTAGATCTATATGATTAAAGCCTGTACAGAGAGTTAAATATTCAATGAGGAATTCTTTTATTTCAACAAATAGTACATTTGGAATCATTCTTTTTGAGGAGGATTTTATCAACAATAGATGTTTCACTTTTTTGGAATGTTTCATCTTGCCAAGAATAGAGCGATTTCTTCTTTTGTCTATTGAACAGATTTCTGCTCTGTGAATCTTCTTGGGTAATGATCGTAATGTTAGCTGATTCACAATCCAGTTTGAAATTATCGCATATTTCCTTCCCCTTTTCATTTGTCATGATAACCATCCAATTTGGTGGTGAATACTTGTTGGGAGAATATGAAAATTCATAAGACTCTCCTTGCAGACCTAACATTTTCTTTTCTTCTGGAAGGTATTTGAATAAGAGATTCTCAACCACTGCTTTTGTTTCATTTCCATCGAACGTTTTCAGGTCTATCAGTTTTTCCTTAAATGTTTGAGGGAGAACTACCATTGTCGTGTTACCATGATGTTTGATTTCACAATTCTTTGCAAAGAACATGATAATATTCTCCTCCAATTGTTGATACACTGTTGAGGGATCATAGATTTGCAATCGTGCTGAGAATAAGGACAAGTCCACAATACCGAAATAGATGGAAATATTGGCCTTCTTGAGTGAGAAAGCTCTCCTAGGATCGTTTGCTTTAAATCTCTTTCCAAATAGAATAGTCTTTGAGGAGTTTCTCTGGAGAATTCCTTCATAAATATCAGATAATGAGAATAGATAGCCTCCAACTCTGTAATGTGTCTTTGAAAAGAAAATTACTTTGGAAATTTCCAATAATGGAAGGGATCGAACAGAGCAAACGGCATGTATGAGAAGTAAATTATACAAGTTCAAGAAGAATGCCAGTTTTTCCTCCTCAGAATCCTTAATTAAATCTAAATTAACATGATTCAATGAATAGGTCTCCAAAATAAAATGATCCCACATGCTAATGAATTCATCATTCAACTTTGTAAAATTCAAATCAATAACCTTCTTAGTATCTTGTTGAGCTATGGTGTAAAGCTCTTTCATGGATAAATGTTGTTGAAGGTGTTCCAGAATATTCTTTACAACTGTTAGTGGATGCTTAGTTTCTAAAAGTTGCAATTTCTTATTCATTTCAATGAGTCTCTGATCATCCTCAGAGGGTTGATTTAGGATAATGACCTTCTCCTTATTGTTGGCATTCAGTAATCTATTTCTGTGAAATGAATCATCACCCTGAGAAGAGAGAAACAATGCAAAACATTCATAATATAAATTATTTGTTGTGAATCTCCTGAATGGATCTTCTAAATTTCTTAAAAGTTCCAATTTGAGATCAATAAGTGAATTTCTCAATTGAGAGGCAAACTCTCTAATCATTTCAATTTGTTCATAATTCTCCAATGCTTGATCAAATTTAGCACTCACCACTTCAACCTGTGATAAAAAATCCAAAACTTTTCCCTTAACTTTTCCAGGTAAATTAATTTCATGTTCTGAATTTCTTTCCAAAAATCGTTTCCTAAATTTAATAGCCCTAGAAATCATTTCCCTAGATTCCAAAGTTTTCTGTACACTATAATTACTTCCACTTGCACTTCCAGATTGACTCATCGTATCACTATTCCATGAATTTCTAAAAGAATTTGAAAAACTTGCTCTAGAACTCGATCTGTCATACTTTTTATACAAGATATTCTCAAATGCAGACGAAAGATTCGTATTATAATCATTCAATTCTCCAAATTCATTCGTTTCAATCTTCCAAATCACCTTCTTCTCAGCATACTGTAAATAATCCAACAATGATTGCAATTCATAATAGCAGAGCAGATTTTCTGTTGTGAAATCCAAGGACATGAATGTTAGAAAATAACTGCTCGCCAATGGATCACTCAGTACGTGATGTAAATTAATTTGACCACTCTTGGACATTTCATCAATTTGATTTTTGAATTCTAATAAATTGATTTTAAGAAATTAAAATTATTAATTTGAATTATTTAGGAAAAGTACTTTTTATCAAGTCATCGATTTGTTGTTTTTCCTCTTTGAATCCATTGTTGTTTTCAGTTCCGATATTACTTTCGGTTTGTTTCATTTTTTTTGAAGATATTAATTTGGTATTATTTCAACCTGTGTCTATGCTTGATAATATATATGGAATATCAGGAGAACACATTTATCTTGAACAAGAAGCGTCGATGGTTTAGTGGTAGAATACGGCGTTGCCATCGCCGTGACCCGGGTTCAATTCCCGGTCGACGCATCCAAGAGATATCAATTTTTTTAGCTTTTCTACAAAGAGTCAAGCTTTCACTTTTTTACCATATCAACTATACATGCAATACTACAATATACTTAAATTTCTCATCGTCATATTTCATATTGATAGAGATAATAACCACCGATCCGACCTCGCTGTAGAATCTCTGATGATTATAGAAAATAGTAGGCATATCATATTGCCTCGGTGGTTGCATAATACTTGGCAACCAACTGATATGTTTAAACAACAGCAGTAAACTGCTTATTGTACATATATTTCGAACATGATGTCTCATAAGCATTACTCTTTGATTAATAGATATTTGTAAATAACTGACGTTTTATGCAGCTACGTTTGATATTTTTCAACTAGGTTCTTGTGAGCTTGTGGATGAACATAACAATCCTAACAAGTTCATAAGAATCTCATTAAAAAAAATGAAACAACTTCTACTCTGTCAGGACATCTTGTCATTAATTATAATGTTTGATGAGGATCCTTTCGAAATACTGATGTCATTCCGATCTGTTTGCAAGACTTGGCACGAATGGACAAATTCACATCATTTATTATTGGATTGTATTATTTCAGTATTACATAAAGGATGGTCAATTAGAAATGATTCCACAAACGAAACTTTTCAAGTCAATTTATTTAAATTACCATCATATCAAGATGAATATCATCCTGATATTTTCACACATGCTCTCAAGTATTATAAATTGGTAAAGAAACACATTGAACAATATACAGAACAATTGGAGCATCCAAATTCAAGTTGTGAATATGTTTATGCACCAACAAGAGTTGAAAACAAATTGGCTTTGGAAATGTCAAGTATTCTTACACCATTTTTATTTCTGAAAAAGGCAAGCACTGAATTTGGAAGTTATGATTTTCGATCAAATTTAGCAACTGTAGTGATTGCAAATGTTAAGGGAGAGGACAAGTTTGTGAGTTTAAAGATGTTAAATGACAGAGGTCAACCAGGACCATACTCGAATTATACTGTTTGTGAATTACTTGAATTCGAAACAGATTCTTCCAAGATTCAAAGTAATGACGAGTTGTTAAATGTTTTAATTAATCATTTGGGGACTACAAAATCCTGGAATAGGAAAAGAGTTTTGGAGGTGATGGAATTTATTGGATTGGAAGAGGAATTCCTTTCGAATAATGATTGTGTTAATGATTTCATCTATGTGGTAATGTATGAACTCATCTTTAAATCTATAGAAATATGGTATACAGAGCAATATCTTTTCAATTGTGGGGATATTTAAATATCAAGTCGGTGGTTAATTGAAAATTGTTAAATTAAGGAAATGAATGGCTACGGCCATATCACGATTCATGCACCTCATCCCGTCCGATTTGAGAAGTTAAGCATCGTCGAGCCACATCAGTACTGAGGTTGGAGACAACTTGGGAACCTGTGGTGCTGTAGTCCTCTTTTTCCTTCCTTATGTTTATTAGAGTTTCATCTATTTTAGCCATCATTAAAACAATGAAAGTGGAAGAGGAGCTGCAATATACCATCATGAAGAGCTACATGCTCTTCCTCCATCTCAATAATTTGATATTAAGGCGAGAGTATTCAATAACTTTCTTGAATCCATATTTATTTTTCACATTAAAGATACCACAATTTTATAATTGCACTTTTCACACATTCAAAGCCAATATCACAAACCTCACAAATGAAACTTGATAAAACCATTGACTGTACTTCTACAGGATCTTTTCTGTAGGAATACATAAACTCGACTTTTTTGAGTCAATCTGACCTTTGAGGTTAACCAAGATGAAGACTCTGTAGTCACATATCTTGAGCATGATATCGAACTGGAAACATGCTTCGTTGTAGGTTTCCTCGTTCATAGATGATTGCTGCATTCCTTACCAGCCATGGTTTGTGAATGGGGGATTTGTGAACATGCAGATTGGTACCTTAAACCTTTTATCAATTAATAGAAAATTATTACAACCAACCAACCAAATGCCCCCAATAGCACTAGTCATAACCATATATTGCAATGAATATCATTCATAAAAATTAAACATTTCTCAATCATCAATTTCACTCTTGGTCGAGCAGTGACTCGTTGCACGCAAATCATTTAATTTTTGAGATGGCATTTTGTTCTTAGAAACTTGAAACAACAGAATTTTGGAGAAAAAATGAGAGTGTCCAATCTTTGATTATTTTCTTGGTGGTTTTAAGAGATGAAACTTTGAAAATTGGTAATTAGCTAGAGTACTTATCATTCATCCTATGATGAAAAAAGTAAAACCTATATTCCAGATAGAGTCAAAAATTAATCTCGAGTGCCGGGAATTGAACCCGGGTCGCCAGAGTGACAGTCTGGAATGCTACCACTATACCACACCCGATTGCATTCAAGTAGAAATGATTCCTTAATTCGCCTTAGTATATAGTCATTTCTGCCATTAATTTATTATTAGAAAATTGACTTCCATTTCGAAGTGAAGAGGCTTCTTAAAAAAAGAATTATACCATAATGTTGTGAACCCACAAAACAATCTGAAGATAAGAGACATTCCAACCCATAACCGAATTTGAGGCATGTAGTGTAATTCTAACATCACGATCAGCTCATTACTCTATGAAGTTTTAATCTTTGCATCAAATCTGCTAAATTAACTTTTCAAATTTTAATGAAGAGGTCAGCAAATGTTTTTAAAGTTCCCAAAATGTTTTCAATGTTCATTTTCAAAATTTCTTATCTATTTTTAAATATAATGACGAAATTTTCATCATCATTACAAAAAGTATGATGTCAACAACTCCGAAATTCAATGATGAAGACACACGGTTTTCATTCATATAAAACCCATTGAACGATATTCTTGAAAAAAACAAGAATTTGCAAACAAGCAATTCAACTAACAATTCTAATAACTCAAACAAAATGGACTTTTTCAAAAAGATTGGTCAATTCTTCTCTGGATGGCTCAGAGGTTTATTCGAAAATAAGGAAGCCAAGATTCTATTCCTTGGTTTGGATGCAGCTGGTAAAACTTCAGCTCTATATAAGATTCAATTAGATGAAAATGTTAGCACTATTCCCACCATTGGTTTCAATGCTGAAGTGTTACAATATAAGAAGGTAACTTTCAGAGTGTTTGATATTGGTGGCCAGGATAAGATTAGAAAGTTATGGAGACACTATTATCAATCGACAAATGCTATCATTTTCATTGTCGATTCTAATGATACTGAGAGATTTAAAGAAGCTGCCGAAACCTTACGGGAAGTTATGCAGGATGATTTATTGAAAGATGCCAAGTTATTGGTGTGGGCTAATAAGCAAGATTTGCCAAGAGCTGCCAATGTTAAAGATATGGTCAATACTTTGAAATTACACGAGATTAAGCAAGAATGGTACATCCAACCATGTAGTGCCCTGTCTGGCAATGGATTATTCGAAGGTTTGGATTGGTTATCCAGTAAATTGTAAATAAACACTTTGATATCTCATATTTCAAACTTGTCAAATAGGATTTCATCATATTAGCCTCCAACCAATCTAAACACCATGACTAATTTAGAATTACTGTTAATTTCTAATTCTTGCAAAGTTTTTTCATCATCTTCCATTGACATCACTTTCGAATTGTGAATTATTCTAAATTCATTACCAATGTTCCACTCCTCAGCCACCCTCCAACGAATCATATTGAAAGTATTGTTAGGATCTGCAAAAAATCTCAATTCCTTTCCTGAGATTGATTTAATACGCAATTCTATAGAGTTGTCCAATGTGGAAAAGCTTGAAATTTCCTCATCCTTAAAAAGTACATTTCCAACAAACTGAAAGGCCTTTGGGGTTTGTTTCAGTGCAGCTAAATTAATTTCTCTATTATTCTTCAGTGAATATCCCACATATTCCAATAATATTCCACACTGGCTTACAATTTTCAACATGTATTCTCTATTATTTAACAAGTATTGATTTAAAACATATTTGATGGCTCTTGGATTACAATCAAGAGCAGCTCTACAAATTTCCTCATCCTGTCTAAAGTCCTCATCCATATCTTTTAATAGGACCCAATTATTCTTTACCTGAACTAATTCCTTGACAAAATTTCGATCTCTTCTCAATACCTTTCCAACATATTCACCACTCGCAAAAGCATCATTCGAAATTGCCTTCAAAACTAATTCTCTATCATTCCTCCAATTTTCATGAAGAATTTTCAATGCCTTTCCTTTATGTTGCTTGATCACAGCAAGAGCCACCTCTCTATCCAAACTAAAATCGAATGGTTTCAGACTCGGAATGAATGGAACGTTGCTATGTTTTATCTGGTTTAAAACCATCAATTTTGCATAGTGGTGCTTTAGTACTTGTTGAGATGTCTTCATCATTTCATTCCGAAGTATTTGTTGTAAATTAGTCATGAATTTATAATTTTCCTGATGGAAATCAGTGAGTGTAATTTTTACTGTTTCGTTCTGCATATGATGATCGTGTTTTATGACTTGATTTTTTTTGTTTTGTAATTGATTTAAACTTCAAATTCGAAATACAAAACGATCGTAACAGGTAAATTGAAAATTCACAAAATTGGTGTACAATGTGGGATTTCGTTTTAAAGGAAGTTGGTGGTTGATTGAAACTTGTTAAATTAAGGAAATGAATGGCTACGGCCATATCACGATTCATGCACCTCATCCCGTCCGATTTGAGAAGTTAAGCATCGTCGAGCCACATCAGTACTGAGGTTGGAGACAACTTGGGAACCTGTGGTGCTGTAGTCTTTTTCCTTTTACCACATTGAACGTTAACCTTTCTATTTAGAGACATGTTCATTACAACAATATTCAAATTGATTAATGATGCAAACAACTTACAATTCAATAAATATTTATTAAATGTTGAATATTCCCAATGCTAAAGCAATGTGAATAGACACATCTACACAACATTTTCCATGTCAATATTTACTTCATCCATTTGCATTAAATCGAAACTTGCCTTCTCCATTTCTTCTTGTGAATCTTCATAGACCTGAACTTCATCCGATTGAAAACCATAAATCTCAACAATTTGCTCATTGAACCATTGTTCATTGAAGAGGACTTTTGTTGGATAGCCATTCTCCTCAATTACCTTAATCATTTGATGGAAGAGAAACTCCAATTCGTTGTAGTATTGAGCAAAGTCAAGTTCACTAATGTATTCATCTTCAAGAATTGACATGCACTTGTCAAACTTTTCACTAATTGACATGTATAATGAATCATTGTCAAAGATGTCATGATAATTTTCTATAGCTTGATGAATGGTATGGAGCATGAGTTGTTTGTTACGTTTCAATCCTTCCAAAATGTCCAATGATTCATTAATGCGTTTGAATTTTGAAAAATTATTAGAAATGATGCATTTGATGAATTTCTTCTTAATCTTTCTGATTTGTTCGGTAATGAGAGAGTTGTCCAATACTTTGAAATGGCTTTCGGTGCTTTCAATTCTTTTGAAGAGCACATCTTCATAGCAATCAACTTTGATAGATCTGTTACTGGAGAGAAGGGTTCCAAAATTATCCTCTTTTTGAATGGTTTCGAATAGGATTTTTGTATTTGATGGAAAGAAAAAGGATAAAGCAAGCTTGAGTGCACCATATTTGGATGGTTGTGTGGAGATGGAATGATTAACAATGATTCTCTTCAATGAACACACAATTTCTGGTTCCTTCAAATCTTCCTTGGACAATGATTGCAAGAATGTTTCTGGAATAATCAATTCTTCACAATTAGGATAACACTTCCCCAATAAATCATTCAAGAAGGATCTCAATTCATTACATGAACCGATAGTATTACGAAGGATCAATTTCCTGACCTTTTCACTTGAATGATTCAATATGTTTTCTTGACTTGGATGTGAAACACACAGAGTTGGAATTGTGATGGATCTGTGAGGAAACTTGTGACTTTCATAATATTCAAGATTGGGAGCAATGGTGGAAATATCATAATTCTTTGGAGGTCTAATAAATAATAATCGAGTCAACTTGCTACCTAAATGTGAAATAAGTGACAAATCACTATTGTTGTAAATTATATTTGAGAATGATAATTCCTCAATATTGGAAGAAATCAAATCAAGATTATTGACAAGTGCAAATATTGGGTTATCAACTCCCTTAGGTTTCCCTTCATTTGTTAAGTTTCTAATGAATGACCATTCAAGGTCAAATGTCAACTTTTTCAAATAAGGACTAATTTTAAAAATTCTTTTTGAGAATCGAGATTCTGGGTAGATGAGCTGAAAGTTTTTGAACTTTAAATGTTGGATCTTACTGGTACTTGCGTTCATCAAGTCAACCAATTGTCTCTTTGTAATTGAAATTCCATTTAAGGTATTGTAGTTTTCCAGAAACCATGACATAAATTTTTTCACCTCAACACCAATCTTTTTTCCATCTCATCCATGTTGATCGATTAAAATCCATCTATTCAATCTGTTTTTTGATCAATCTATCAAACAATCGATCATGATTAATCAACAATTTCAATCATATTGAATAAAGACTTGATGTTATTTGAAAAGGCTCAACCTTCAGCTAATTATCAAAAGATGTTGTTTGATTTCTTATGATGTTTCAAAAAAAAGAACTTAAAACACAAAAAGTTGGTTTTCTAAGTGCTTAAAATCATGTTAGAAGCCAATCTCCTCCGATGTGGCATTTGAATATAAATTTCTTATAATCCTTTCTGAGCTCAGTGACAGAAGGTTGCTCCCAACCTTTTTCCACGAATATGTCAAGTGCTCACTCTTGATTTTAATTTGGGATGTGGATATTGCAATATTACATAAGAGTGTTGGTTCTTGATTAAATGATTGCTTACACAAGTTTGGACGTTGTTGCTCCTGAACATGTGGTTTTGTTCAAAGAGCATTTTATCAAGTTTGCTTTCATTCTCACCCTTTGTCATTAATTAAGGCACTCAATACTGGAAACCTTTTTTCAAGTGTTGTATTTTATCATGTCAAGTACTTGAGAAACTCATTTGATGTAGTAGAAGATCCACATTGTAAAGAAATTAAAACATTCAAACTTAATGAATCGTTCCGATGCCATCCCAGCTTGATATGGAATTCAGTAATACCAATAAGGTGATTTTCAAGGCACTCTGTACTGACATCTAACCAAGGGTTGATTTAAAATGAAAAAAGGAGCAATTTGGAGAAGCCATTTCGAAGCTTAGTGAAATAAGTAAGGGAGAATGAAATCTGTGACTCTAAAAAAATAATTGAAAAACCAAAAAACAACTCTCAAAAAGTCAAAAAGGCAAGAAAAAAATCAAACCTGAACTGGAAGAACAAAAGAAATCATCAAAATCAAAGTCTCAAGCTCAGTTCAATGAGGATTTCGAGATATCTGATGAAAACATTGATAGATCGATCGATTGATCGATCAATTAATTGATAAAATTCTATGTTTCATCCATTCAATCGATCATTTTCCATCTCGATCAATCATCGATGGGTAAAAAAAATCCATCGAAAAATTTATGTCATGGTTTCTCGAAAACTACAATAACTGTACTAAACTTTTCAATTGTGGACATGAATTTAAGTGAATATTCTGAAAATCTCACAACAAGTTCAGTGTCATGAATAAATGGTTCATTTTCCAACCAATCATGTAAAAATTCTAATTGACTATTATTGTTACAACACCAAACTCTTCTGTGCATGAGAATTTGCAAGCAAGCTTCTCTATTTACCAAATCAGGAAAATTAATCAAATACTTCATCAATTCAGCAAGGAATTCCTCATCACTATAGTTTGACATGATTTCCAGCACAATATCTGCACATCCTAATGTACTTTCCAATAGCTGTTTCATTTTCAATTTGTCCATTGCTTGTTTCATTTGTTGTTGAATTCCCTTCTTGTTGCCACGTGCGATGGTTGCAGCTACATTCAGATCGGTTGCAAATCTTGCCCATCCGTCTGGATCCATCAGCATGGCAGAGGGTGGAATGGCAATTCTTGGTTTCCTTGATGACTTTTTTGATATTTTGGCAGGCAGCATGTTTCTAATAATGTTTCTAATAATTGTTGTTGGTTTCTTTTTCTTTTAACTGAAGGCAAATAGTTGTGTTTGCGAATTTAAAGTTGTTTTAATCACGTTGTGAATTCCGATCTGGGCAAAAATGGACTAAATCATGTTTTGTGTGTGGAAACGAAAGATTTTGTTTGCTTTGACAAGGTTCAATGTTTTCTTGTGACACCTGGAAGTGGCACTCTGAAGTTTACGTAAATTGATTGATTTTGTTTGAAACAGTGGTTATGATGATGCAACTTCATGTTCTTTTTCCATAAACACCAATTAGAAAACTTTTGAGAAAATAGGAATTGAAAAAAGGGAAGTTTGCCTCCAACTTACTTTGTCAAGACAAAAATTTACAACAGTTCTGGATTATTTGCTCAAATACAAGTGGATATAAATACCGAGTTGAAGGAAATTCTTAAAAACCATGGTATTACGATCTTGAAGAAGAGCCATCATGGAACTATTGAAAATGCTCTTTCCACCTCAATGATTTAATGAAAATAACATTCAATTATTTTCTTGAATCCTATTTATATATTTTTCACACATTAAATGTACCACAATTTTCTAATTGCACTTTTCACACATTCAAAGATATTATGCTCAAGATATGTGACTACAGAGTCTTCATCTTGGTTAACCTCAAAGGTCAGATTGACTCAAAAAAGTCGAGTTTATGTATTCCTACAGAAAAGATCCTGTAGAAGTACAGTCAATGGTTTTATCAAGTTTCATTTGTGAGGTTAGAGAAATTGGCTTTGATATCGAACATGCAGATTGGTACCTTATACTTTTTTCAATTAATAGAAAATAAAATTAACTAGAGAAACGATCAAACCTTTCCTTATACCAATTCACAATTCTGTAGATTGTGTATTAATCAGGTTTCACAATTCTAATGATCATCAAGCACTATAACAAAATTCATTGCACTATATTGAATTACATTAATACTTGCCAGGTAAGGTTGTTGGTAAATCAAGTTCAATGCAATACAATATTTGAAGACTCAAATTCGAAATTTGAAGGTTTATTGATCAACCACAAGTTTCTCTTTCTAAATAGATAAAATTCAAAGGTGATAAATATATGGTCACGTTGCAAGTTTTTCTAAACAATAACTTACTGAACCAACAATCAATAGATTAGTTGCCTTCACTGTTCATACAGTCAAAGACTGTAGCGGGATAGTCGCCATATTCCTGGCAGGCTTCCCGTCCAAAATTAACAATTGAAATAATTTCTCAGACAATTTATGAATTGGAAAGAAATTGAAATCACTAGAGGTTTATTGTAAACTGCACACACCAAAAATATGAAAAATTTTTGTTGACTGAAAAAAGTTCAACGCTGCGCAAGATGTTAAAAGACAGAAATAGTGGTATACGAAATTGATTATCTGCGCTCAACCGGCCAACATGGATGAGATCCAGGGTTTATGAGGGGATTTTCAAGTGTCAAAGCGACCCGTGGGTGTTTGTCTGTTTCAATTTACTACCTTTATTACTGAGAGGAAAGAATGAGGAGTAATACAGCAAAATTCAAAGTTTCGAAACAATTGCCGTATTCAATACTTTGTTTGTGGTAAGGTATCATTTTCAATCCATTATGAATTTGTCCAACATTGTTAATTGCCCATTCGGGTTAAAGACAGATTGGCTGTTTATCATTAGACTTTTAAGGTAATTGATGGCTACGGCCATATCACGATGAATACACCTCATCCCGTCCGATTTGAGAAGTTAAGCATCGTCGAGCCACATCAGTACTGAGGTTGGAGACAACTTGGGAACCTGTGGTGCTGTAGTCTTTTTCATTCTTCTATTTTATTAAGCGTTTCATAATTATTACTATTTCAATTCCAAATGTTTTATTTTGAAAGTATTATTGGGTCTATATTTTTTTTGTGGAAACCATAAAACTAAACCTTAGTATCTACAATACTGAATAGTAAATATTTGTTCCTTGTTCAATCCTTCTCATATTGAGGTAAACAGACAAAAAAAATGAAACATGGCTTTCTTACATGCAACCTAGCACTTATTATCGATGAAACCGATAATGATGAACCAAAAAATCCGATTTTAAAGGAAATGGCTGAAGATAAGGGATTGCACTTTAGTGTGGAGTGTCTGGATGGTTCTGCTATTCTTCATGTACAGCTAGTAACAAGGAAGAGAGAAGAGAATTACATTTGCACCTTAATTTACGAATATTTGTTATCTGTTTTGGTGTTCGATTGGGTGAAAGGAATTAAAATTGCTTCTCTTTCTTTTTCAAAACATGAACCAAAAGAATGTGCTAAATTTCCTTCAGTTAGAAAGAGTTATGAAAAAGAAAAATGTTGCACTGTTGATGATCATTCGCTTTCGGATAATGGAAAATCTGGTAGTGTTGCTTCAACTGAAGAAACTCCTTGTGACGAGTCTAAGGGTGGTATTGCTGTTAATGGCCTTATTTCAAGTGAAGAAAATAATCTTAATGAAGAGTTTGAGTATTTCTCCGCAGAGGATGATTTTAGTTCCAAACTTCAACGAGTCAAACCAATATTCGACTCCAAAATAATGAAGGAGAACATCTATTTTGCACTACTTTATTACAAGCCACCAGAGAGCACTGATTCACACATTTCCACAGAATCCTGTGTTTCGAATAGATCTCCTAATACCAATTGTACAGAATTCTCTACTACTGAGCAACAAAGTGTTAACAATTCAACATCCCCAACAAGAATGTTATCTTCACATAATCTCTCCTCTGCATCAACTTCAAGTAGTGGTGGCAACTATGCTCCAACAAAGGGACAGAATGTTCTCCAACGTTCAAAGGCCATTCTCTCAGATGTTACCAATTTTAATTATTTTGACAAGTTCAAGAATGCTGTATATGAGGGAAAGAGTAAGGCACAAACATCTAGTGGCTCTACTACAAGTAAGAAAGTGGGAGGTAGTACTAAGAAGGGAAGAAAACATTGAATAAATATGTGTCAACGTTTTAATGCAAGCTCAATAGAATATGGCTCAATTGCAACATGTTGAATGTAATGATCAAATATTGGGCTTGAGTTTACAATAGATTATCTGTTCCGAAGTAGCAAGTTCGAAATGCATCAATACAACAAACAAAAAAACCGAATGAAACGATCCTTTGATGATTGTGCTTCGGAGGTACCACCAACATCACAACCATCACAGCATTATGATTCTGATGGAAGGTTGATGATGATGACTTCATCTCTACCCAATCATAATCACAATAACAACAATAATAATAATAGTAATAGTAATTTTAATAGTAGTGCATTGATGGATAATGATCATCATACAACATTGATAGAAACTACTCCGATGAGTAACAATGACAATTATATGATTGATAATAATAATAACAATATGAAGAAAATTAAGAAGAATTCATCACTGTCCTATTTTCATAATTTTAATGGTCATCATAATAGTCAGTATCAAACAACATCAACATTGATAACTATGAATGGTTGTTCGGGAATGAAAACAAGCCAGTCAGAGTTTGAATTGATTGGATGCATTGGAAGTTATGGTTCTCAGAATGGTCAATTCAAGAATCCATCTGATGTGGCTATTGATTTCAAAAATCAATTAATATTTGTTGTGGATACAGATAATAGACGTATTCAGGTTTTTGATGAGTCAACTCTGACATTCAAGTACATGTTTACGACACCATTCAAACCAAATGCAGTGACAGTTCATTGGGATCACACTTTAATTATTAGTTTCACTCGAGATTCATTGATTTGTAAATATGATTTTAATGGAAATGAGATATGGAGATGGGGAGGAGTTACAACAAAGAATGTAATGGATTCTCCAACAGGTGTTGTGGTTGACTATGAGGGAAATATCTATGTTTGTGATTGGTTTAAACATAGAATTGTAGTTTTTTCTCCAGGTGGTGAATTACTGAAATCGATAGGATCTATGGGAAAGGAATATGGTCAATTCTCATTCCCAAGAGATATTGACATTGACAGTGCTGGGAATATCATTATTTCTGACAGTGGAAATAATCGCATACAGATACTGAAATCTAATGGAGAATTTATAAGTAGTTTTGGAAGTATTGGAAATGATAAGGGAGAATTTCAAGCACCAAACTCTGTTTTTGTGGACAAGTCAACTGGTGATATATTTCTTACAGAGTGGGATTCACATAGAATTTCAAAATTTCATCCTAGCAATCCCTTTTCTGGTTCTACTTGCATTGGTAGCTTTGGAAACCATGAAAATTCACTGAAATATCCTTCTGGAATTGCATTCTGCTACGGGTCATCTCGTTTGTTTATTGTTGATACTGGAAATAATAGAATCAAGGTTTACAGAGTTACATGATATATTTCTATCAATTTTCAATTTCAAAATCATAAGGACAATGCAAATCAAAATGGAGAGAAATGTAAAAGAGTATTATCACTCGTACTATATGAAACTGCTTCGAGAGCTTACCTCTACCGATGCCATGTGTAGATAGATTGTAATCAAAAATAAACTATTCTTCTGGTGTAACATAACTTTTTTGAGTGGTTACAAAAGAAATAAAATGAAAAAGATAATTTATTAAGCAGTTAGTTCAATATCTCTTGGACCTGGGCTTGGTCTTTTCTTCTTCTTCTTGATCATACAACAAATACATATCAATAACACAATAGGTATTATGGCCAGAACAAAAATGATGTATTACAAGTTGGAATCATTTTGATTAACACCAACAGAAATGGAGTGATAATAACAGAAATGTTAGTTTTGAATATCATTAACATTAGATGAAACTGAAGCAACTGAAACTGTACCCATTTGAGACACATTCAAAGCAGCAATGGCTTCACTAACGGACAGTAACAGTAACAAGAGTTGAAGTTTCAGAGGAGGCCGAAAGAGAATCATAAATAATTGTCTTGATTTCAATTTAACCAGCTGGTAATTGAGAAGTGATTGATTTCTTTTCAGTTGAATCTCCTACCACTCTGTATTTGAATTCATACTTCACAGGAAGTTGAGTATCATACCAACCATTACCACACTTGATTTGGAAATCGTTTTGCAAAGCAACACCTGTAGCAGGAGAAACTTCCATTGTGTTGTTACCAAAACTCAAACAATTGCTGGAATCACAAGCTAAACAAAATTATAACCTAAATGTTATATTGGAAAATATATTGCATTCAATTTTGAAATTCCATATGATTGTCCACCCTTACAAGCAAAATTATCCACCGAAAAAATGTGCACTGACTTTTTAGGATATCTTGACATCTTTTCTCCTATTAAACTCCGAAACAAGGACTTTGAAGGACTTTCCAATAAAACAACCAACAACACAAAATCAGAAATAGTATTCAATAAAAAAATGAAGTTTCTTCCACTCGTAACAGCACTCCTTCTCGTGCTTGGTTTGGCATCAACAATTCAAAGCTCAATAATTCAGAAACGAACATCTTTCGGAATGGAAGGTGGCTGTTCCTCAAGAATTGCATTCGAAGAATATCAGAACACAACTAATTGCACACCTCAACCCTGTCATATGTTGAATCTCGCTGCAGAACAATTTGACTGTGTAGATCATTTTCCTTCTTTATTTCCTCGAAATAGTGTTCTTTTTATTGAACATGCCAATAACTCGTGTGATGATCCGAAAATTGTGTCACTCATCAATATTAAGTTTGGTGTTTGCTTTAAACATGGAAGTAGTATTCTGAGTAAATATGGATTGAGTGGTGCCTATATCAATTTTAAGGATTGCAAAACAATTGAAACAGTTATGGATGCATACAATTTTGGATGCTCCCATGGTTTTAATGAAACAATTACCAAATCATGTTCAAATGGAGTTTCTTTCAAGTGTTTCTAAATAAAAACAAGCGAATTGGTTCCACCAAGAAGGCAAATTCAAACAAATTCTCTATTTACCTTTCTTGTTTATTTACCTTTCTTGTTGGACAATGGAATCACCTCAATGAGTTTGATATTTCCAATAACAATATCTGATTGATTTGTACTTCTTTGCACAATGGTCAAAGATACTATTGTTATTACAGCAGTTTCAAATAAACCCCTCCTTGTGGATTAGGGTGTGATTCACCAACCCAGTGCCTTTATACTACAGTCAATTTAAAGATTTAGATTATCATCCGTAGTGGCCCTTCTTGATCAGGAAATTGATGTCGATTCCAAGTGTTCAAAATATGGTGGAGCTGATTGTAATACATGCCTAGACGGATACACCAACCCTAATTGCATTCCAGTTTGTTTTGGATATGCTGCTAATAATGCATCGGTTTGCTCTGGACATGGTAATTGCACTTGTGGGAAACTATATATTGGCTCAACATGTTCAACATTCGTAACTCAATAACTACTTTTAACATTCTCTGGCGAATCATTGTTCTCCATAGATTATTGATCTTAAATTATCTTTAACAAAACCAACAAGAATTCATTTTCTGTTTATTTCAAATTATTTATTTGAAAAGAAATAACTCCTTGCAGAACAATACCCTAATACATTAGCGATGGAAACTTTTCTGCCTTTTCAAAGTTGTTTCTTCCAATAATTGTCATCCACACAATTGTTGTCCTCAATCATTAAACCTTTTGACATGGTTTCAATAACTTTTATTATAGCGTTAATGAGGTAGCTTAGGAAGCAATGCTTGAATAAATAATTATTGTGGTGTGAGGATGATCCATTTTAAGCTTATGCAAAGATTCAATCGTCTTACTTTCTTTAATTTGATAATATCACAGCTGGTGTAGCCATAAAAGTACTGAAAAAGTAAATACCATTCGTGTGATTGAATCTAAAAATAAAATCACAATTTAAAAAAAAAAATATGCTCTCCTCATCATTTAATAACATGGAGCGTATGCTTGATGATAATCATAATAACCTGATACAAACAGGAGATATGATCACTATTCATGTGGACAATAACATATCAAAACCAGCAACATCAACAGAAGGACCTTCGGGAAGTTGTGAGTATTTGACTGGTAAATTTTCAAAGAGGGCTACTACACCTTCGTACTACCATCTATTGTACAATGATGCTCCAGTCTGTCCACCCGACTTTATTATCAATATTAAATTAATAGATATGAATATGACTACTGTATCTATCAAGGTACACAAAGTATTTTTGGCTTTGGAATCATTGTATTTTAGAACTTTGCTCAATTCGGAATTTACAGAGAGTACTAATTCCGTTGTAGAATTTGAATTAACTTCTGTAGAAAAGGATATATTCGAGCAAATTATTTTGAGATATATTTATGGTGAGAGAACTTTGGATATTGACAAAGGCTTACCATATGCCTGTACATTATGTCTTGCTCACTATTTGCAAATTTCTCCTCTGGAATGCCAACTTTTGCAACAAATGACAAAAACATCAAAGTATACCGAACAACATTTATTGTATTATTCACAACTTCGTGATCACTCCATGTTGGCTGTTAATTCTTCCTTCCTTTCACAATCACTGACTGCTTTCGGAAAAGACATTTCAAAGAAACGTGATGAAGTTATGAATTTACCAGTGGAATTTTTCTTGTGGCTTGTTTCGTTGGACAATCTGAACGTTAGCAATGAGGATGAAGTTTTTGATCTCATTCAAGAGTACATTATCAGAAATGAAAAGTCCATCAGACAAAATAATCCAGAAGGATTTGATCAAAAACCTGATATTATTGAACAAGTTTGGTCAAATGTGAGAGTTTGCTTCCTTTCCGAAACCAAATTGTTGAGCTTTATGGATCAACCATCTATTTCTACAGATCTCAAAATATCAATGCTGAGAAAGAAGACAGTGTACAGCATCTATAAGGACAGATACAAGAAGGTACTCGCCACTAAACAACAAGCAAGTACTGAAACTACTGCTGGAAATGCAAGCATGTCTGTCGAAACTAACAGTGGAACTAACAATGAGAATACTGTAGTCAAGAAGGAACCTGTACCAGCAACAAACGCTACACCTACACCAAGTGCTACCATCATTGCTAACGAGCTTATGATCAATTTGGATGATCCTCAATTCATTAAGAGAGGAAACATTTTGGAACATTTAATTACTGGAAGTAAGGGTGTCATTCAAATTTGGGATGTCAATACTACCGAATGCCTTTCAACTTTCCCAACAGATTCCTTTGTGAGATGTCTTGCTCTGTACGAACGTCATTACTTGTTCAGTGGTGGACACGATAAGAAGATTAAAAAGTGGAACTTGAGAACAAACGAATGTGAATTAGTACTCAAAGGTCACCATGATTATGTTCTCTCATTTGCCCTTGTAGATGATTGTTTGTATAGTGCTGGTGGTGTTGGAGATAGTACTGTTAAAAAGTGGAACTTGAAATCTAATCAATTGGAGGCATCTTTGGAGGGACATCAAAAGGCAGTTCTCAGTCTTATAACTTATGGAGACATGTTTGTATTTTCTGGAGGTGAAGATTCTACAATTAGAAAATGGAATGTAAGAACAAACAAATGCGAACTAACAATTCAAGCATCTGTTCATGGTGATGACAAACTTTGGTGCCTTGCCACCTTTGGAGATTCCTTATTTGCAGGTGGATCCAAAGGAACTATTTATCAATTCAATGTAAATGACGGTAGACTTGAGAGAGAATGGTCAGCTCACGAAAATATTGTCTGGTGTTTGCTTGTACATGAAGATTATCTATTCTCTGGCTCAAAGGACAAATGTGTCAAGAGATGGAATCTCAATACACCAAACACTGACATGGAAGGAGCCGATCCAACCAATACGCCCTATGTTTGTGAGGCCATCATGAGAGAACATACTGATTCTGTAAGAAGTCTCAATGTCTGTAATAATTACTTATTCAGTGGAGGTGGTGACGAAAAGATCATCAAATGGTCTCTTCTCACAAACCAGAAGGAAGCTGTGGTCACGGCAGCTGAATATATTTGTTCTGCTCTGTTGGCTTAATGTGCTATAATTCATTCAATGGCGACTCACTTTTATGTTTTGAGATTTATGGCTAGTTTGAATGGCCACATGTGGTTCTATAATAAACGCGCAAAAGTATCTCTTATTCGGAAAGGGTTGATTCTTCTGTAATTCAATTGAACCGACAACCAAATTCTTTACAGTCTGCTCAAACCGGTACTCACAATACCAGAAAGTCTTCCTTGTTCCCTCCAGTTACCACCTAACAGCACTTATTAAACCTTGGGGTTCACTGAAAAACAAATTAGAAAAAAACAAGACAATTCAATCATTAGCAACACTCTCAATCCAGCAACATGTCCACTGAATCAATAATGAACAATTCGTCTCCATCAATGAATAATAGCGCTTGTGGTGGTACAGGAAGACTCAGATCAAGAACCTTCTCTCATAGACCATCACTAGTATTTGCTAACAACATTAATCAAACAACAAACAGCAACAACACTGCTTCTTTGAATATTAGAGAAAATAACAACAATGGCTCACCTCTCTCATCAGAATCAATTAGAAAAAGAAGTAAGAGCGCAATAGGGGTTGGAGGACTCTATGCACAACTCACACTGAGCTCACACTTCCTTTTAGATAAATACGAAGAAGATTTGAGTGATAAACTGAATAAGATTGAATCTAGCAATTTGTCCATCAAGAATTTGTTCAATCACAAGCGAAGATTATCAGCTTACTCTAATCAAAGACCAACAATAGAAATTACAATGTAATCCAATACAACCAAAACATATAGCCACGCGAGTCAATCCATTAAAAATTAATCTTTGTACAAAACAAACTACAAGTATCAAATCCTCAATTTCCTCATTTTGCAAGAATTCAAAATAAATAAAAATTTAAAAAAAATTGAAAGAGTTTGATGCTTCCTTCATCATCCACAAATCAACGCGGAAGAAACTCTGATGATCATCGGAATATGAAAGGAGGAGGCTCATCAGCAACCTCATCAAATACTAGTAATAATAATGCGTCTGTCTGCAAATTAAAGTTTAAAAAACCTAATGCTAATCCTTCTTCATCATCATTGGAAAAATCAAACTCTTCTGTACATGTAAATATGGATGATTTATTGAAGAAATTAAACGAGGAACAACGAAGAGCTGTTTGTTCCAATAATGATCAAGTGATTGTTATGGCTGGTCCAGGAACAGGTTTGTTTTTATTGGATATTGTTGTGATTTTTAAAATTCGAAAGGAAAAACCTCGGTTATTACCTATAGGTAGGTGACAATAATTAGTTTGGAATTTTAATAGTATTTGTTTCGGATAGGATCTTTTATCTTGTACATCAATTGAAAATTAATCCAAAGAATATTTGTGCATTGACCTTCTCAAGACAAGCAGTATGTTTATGATATTTAGTGATAATTTATATTTCCAATATATTCAGGCAAAGGAAATGAAGCAAAGATCTATGGCTTTGGATGATAATTTAAAGAATGTGACATTTTCTACATTCCATGCCAAAGGTTTATCATTGTTGAAACAGTATAAATTAGTGAGGAAATTTAAAATTGCAGACGAAAGGACGATTATGTCAATAATTTCAAGAATATTAGGTAAGTTTTCAAATCATACATTCCATCACATCATTAGAGGGACTAGAAATTAGTGAGCAATGCACACCAGCAGAAATGAAAGATGCATTAGCTTTTGTTAAGAATGCAGGTATTACACCTGAAACAGTGTCAAAATTGAAAAATAAGGACATTAATGTTCCTCTCAGTTTCTTTGTACCATTCTACAAAGAATATGAAGAGACACTCGAAAGAGAAGAAATACTAACACACGAAGATTTAATTTTCAAAGTAGTCAAAGCTTTAAAACAAAATCAATCCATCCTTAAAGATGCTTCCCAAAAAATTCAATATCTCCTTGTTGATGAATATCAAGACACTAATGATTTGCAATACGAGTTTACAAAATTATTGATACAGCACCATAAGAAAATATTTTGTGTTGGTGATTCGTAAGTAGTAATATTTTACAATATGATTGAGATTTGAATTTTTAGAAAGCAAGCAATTTTTGGTTGGAGATTTTCTAATGTACAGAACTTTGTAAATTTAACGAGTGATTTCCCAAATGCAGAAACAATTATTCTAAAACAAAACTATAGAAGTACTAGTAATATTTTGGATGCCAGTTTTGACATGTTGTTGAACGCAAAGGATGAAAAACCAAGTGGTGAAAAGAAAGATATCAAATCAATTATTTTGGACGATTCAAAGTCCAGATTGCTTTCTCAGAAGGGTAGTGGCGCTACTGTTACTCTAAAAGAATTTCTCACTCACACAGAGCAGCTAAATTTTGTTGTGGAGAGTATCAAAAATCATGTAGAAAAGAATGGAGGAAGATATGGCGATTTTGCAATTCTTGCTCGTGTAAATAATTTACTTCGACCCTATGAAGCTGAATTTGAGAAACACAAAATACCTTGTGAGTCCAATAAGAGTGGATTTACCAATGCAGCTTGGGTTCAAGTCATGTTGAGCTACTTGGAGACTATTGACTCCATTTCTAGGAATAGCGTGAATGGAACAGCCTTCAGAAAGATTGTAAATATACCAGATAGACGAATTTTCACCGAGACTGGTACTGCTGTTGTTGATTGCCTCATGAATGGAATTAAACTTGCTGACCTTATAACAATGATAGAAAAGAAACAAAGAATTATGAACTTGAAGATTGGAAAACAGATAACATTTTTAATTTCTATGGATAGAGAGGAGCATGCCTCAGTGTTGGGATTATTGAGACAAATACAAGAAATGTCAAATTTAATTAATGGAAATACTGGCTGTATAAAAGCAGTAATTCAATACATTACAGAATTTGTAGGTTTTGAGGAATATATGAGAGTGCACTACAAACCTTTTGAGAAATGTTGGAAAGATATTGAAGAACTAATGACAATGTCTGAAAAATCAGATAATTTACAAACCTATTTACAAGAAGTGAACATGATAGAGGAAGGATCAAGAACAGGGGCTGGGGTTGCCTTGATGACAATGCACTCTTCGAAAGGTCTAGAATTTGAACATGTATTTCTTACAGATTTAATTGATGGAGTTTCTCCGCACTATAAATCAAAAGGATCTTCAAGGGAAGAGGATGAGGAAAAGAGACTACTATTCGTTGCCATGACAAGAGCCAGATCCAAGATGTATCTCATGACCACTAAGACAAAACAAAATAATGAGATGATTGAACTAGTGGAACCAACACCTTGGTTAAAGACTCTTCGATTTAAACAATATGTTGACTACCAACCAATTCCAAGAAAGGTAGATAGAGAAATAGAAGAAGCTGCTGATATAGCAATCTTTTTGAAAAAACATTTGGAATCTATAGCTCCCAAACCTAGTGCCATTGCTAAAGTGGAAGAGGACTTCAATCTGGAAGATATTGACATTTCTCAAAATCAAACAAGTTCCTCCTCTTCTACAGCACCAATGTTCATGTCTGCTACGAGCTATATGGAAAGTGATATGTATGAGAATGATGAATTTAAACTGATTGAGGAGGATGAAGAGGAGGTGATATCAAAACCAATTGTTGTGACACCTTCAGTTAAACCAATTATTCAAACTAAAGATACACAAAGCAAGGCAACAGAGGATGTGTTCGAGTTAGAGGAAGACTCTAATGATGAGTTGGATATTGATTTGGATGATATTATGGATTCCCAAATCAATCAAGATGTTGTTGCAAAGACTGACTCGCAACAAATAGAAATATTTGAGGATGAGTTTCAATTTATTGATGAAGAGTCATTTGAAAGTGACAACAAAAAGCGAAAATTATAGTCACATTCGTTTCATGTAAATTGATATTTCTATGATTTGAATATTCAAACCATCTGTAATCCTTTCTTCTCCTATTTTGGTGTAAAATATTCCAATGCACTCACTTAATAAACTTGGAGTCCTCTCTCTTCGAAGAAATCTAAAATTGATGCCACACTTGTGCATTCTGAAAACTCTATAACATCTGCAGATAAAAATTGATGGTGAGAATAGAGCATAAACATAATATGATGTTGTAAAATATGGAACGGAACTCCTCCTATTTGAATAGCTATTTGTAAATATCTTTGAATACACTCAAAAGGTACATAATCATATCCACTGAATAATGCTGGATTAGATAATAATCCACGAGCACTCATTACACCATCACATCCTGTCTCTTTAGCAAAACGATCTGAATCTCCCAAAGTAAAAATATCACCATTATGCATTACTGGTACGTTTAGGATTTGTTTGATTGTTTTAGGTCCATCTGGATTGACTTTGGTATTCTTTGTTCTTTGTTTATGTGTTCTTCCGTGTACAGTAACCCAAGATGCTCCAGCCATTTCAATTTGTCTTGCAAGCTCTATTGTTTTTCTAAATTCAAGTGTATCATCCTCAGGATGCAATCTTATTTTCACACCAATTGGTCTACTCATTCCAGAAATGAATTTGTTATTGGCCTCATGAACCATATCAAAAATCTTTTGAGGTTTAGTCACCAAAGCAGCTCCCAAACTTTCTTTCATCACATAAGGTTGTGGGCATCCACAATTCAAATCAATTCCATCACAATAAGGTGCTGCCAATTGACAAGCTAAACTAAAATCAGTAGGATTATTAGCAGCAAATTGAACCACAAGAGGGCTATCATAATAATGTGTTGTAAAATCCGAATCCCTGGCTTTTTGTGATTTATGAAAACAATCCGACATTATCATTGGTGTATAAACAACATCACATCCATACTCTCTACACAACAATCGAAAGGCTAATTTACTATAACGAACCATTGGTGCTTGTACTTTTAAATAGGTTCCCTTCTCCTTAGCCTCCTTGAACATATTCATCAACGAATGTCGTGGTTTTAATTCATCAATACTAAAGCCTTCCGGTAAATTTTCTCCAACTCTTAATATATTATTATTAATATTATTATTATTATTATTACTATCATCATCATTTAAATTATTCTTATTAATAAAAGTATAGTTATTATTAAAATTGGTTGGAAGATGAACACAATTAGTTTCATTAACTAATGATGAAGGTCCTTCGGAATAATCAAAATCGTTTCTGTCTAATTGGAAAGCACCCAAATCGATGCGGAGGGCGTTATTATGACAGAATTGTGTCTCGGAAATGAATGAATTTTCGTCATCCTGTGTTGGTTGTTGAAGCATTTTTTTTTGTGCATGAATGGAATTGCACGCCGTTACAACATTTATTTAATTTAAAAAATATTTAAAAATATTTATGAAACGAATAAAACAAAAGGACAAGAAGAGAAAGTTTCTTGATCACTTCGCTTCCAATCATATCCAACCAAGTAAATATCTACTAATCAGTCCAGGTGATGATGAAAATATTAGCAAGGCACTTCCGAAGCCTTCAATTGATGATGAAGAAGAAATTCATCATTTTCCAATAGAGCAATATACTGCTCAGCACACCCATCACGGGAGATCATTACTAGATATTGGTTCCGATTGTCTCTTGGAAATTATCAAATTTCTCGAATTAGATAATAATTATTCTTCATATATGAGAGTTTGCAAAAGTTTCTCCAGATTGCTAATTCCCCTCTTTTTGAATCAAACACGTATAATTTATGAAACCAAGGAACATTTGAAGAGTTTGAGAGAGCACATCATTGATAATGACTATAATAATGATGATGGTAGAGATGGATTGTTTTCTGAATGTGCCACTTGGAAAGTTTCATTGTGTCGTAATGATGATGATGAGGATGAACAGTGGTCTGAGGTTGGAAATGAAGATGAGGAACAGTGGTCTGATGATGAGGATGTTTTGGAGGTTAATGATTGTACTTTTCAGAGGAAATTAATACCCTTTGGAAGTCCTTTGTGTAGGGAAACTATTAAGGATCAGTTTTGGCTAGTTCAGGATAAGATTGACTTGCAGAGTTATAAGAAACTTGTGGAAAAGGAGCTTAAACTTAACGAGAAGGAACAAGGACTGTATGAAATTAATCCATTTGTGTTTCAGGAAAAGATTGATAGAGAGAAAGGAATGATAGAGTCGTATATTAATGATGTTCAAGAATCTATCCATGTTGATTGTGGAAATCCTATTTGGCTATCTTATGATGATCCAATATTTACAGATGATGAGAGATTTAACATTTGTCAAATAGAATATCAGCACATTGCCTTTCATGCATTGAGAAGTGGTATTTCAAGATTGTCTAAACAAGGAGGTGTATTGCTTTACGAACCAGCTATAATGGAGGATATGTTCTATCAATTGAAAAAGTTTATATATTTGATTATTAAGGATGCTTACGAAACTAAATTTCCCAACAAGACAGAAGAATTGCAGTTTGAAGAATCTCTGGAGCAGTACTCTAGGTATTGTATAGATCCCAACGACAAAAGTCTTCCTTGTTTTGATGATAATTTGGATACGGATAAGAAATTAAGCGAAAATGATATAATCGCTTCATTTAAGAAAATGACAGGTAAATCATTTTTATTTGGAAAGGAAAACGATCCCTATGACTTGAATGAATATCAAGTTACTAAGCCAGAAGAGCAAGAGCAAAATATTGTCGCTGAGGATGATTCTACAAGTGATTATTCGAGTGAGGATGATTCTGAAGAGGAGCAAGTTAATTCAGATTTTGAAATTTTACAATTTCCAAAACCAATAGATGCGGAAAACTTTATCGATGATTCCAATATTTTCAATTTTGACTTGGAAAATCTTGGAGATTCACTTCCTGAACTGTTAATGAAAGTTTCCATTCGTGTTCATGAAGAAGTTTATGGAAAGGAGAGAGCTCACATAGAAAAGTTATACTTGCAGAATTGGTATGGAAATGGTGATTTGTTTTTTATGAACTGTTCAAAGCAATTGGATAATCCACAACCTATTGTAGAAGAATCTCAACCTGAGGAATTAGAAAGTATTGATAATTCTGAAATAGTGGATTCTTCGTTGTACATAGCTGAGAATAAGCAAATTGAAATTGACAAGAAAGAGGACTTGGAGTATTTTGGATATTCTCTTTATGAAGATGACTTTGAAGAATTACCAATTCTGGAGGATGAAGATTCGGATTTGGAATTACAACAATCTACAGAGGAGGAATCTCTTCGATATCAATTAAGAAGAATGCTTAGAGAGCAATCATACGAGTGTATTGTCAATTATTTCGAGAAGAGGTAAAAAATTGTTACCACTTTCGAATAATTATTTAATGCAAATTAAAATAATAATTACGTAAAAAAATGAAACGATCTCATCACGAAAAAACGAATTCGGAAGATGATGATCAACCGGAAGAAGTCAACAACAGTAAAAAACAAGCTATTGATCAAAACTCGGATTCGTATTATAGTATTGGTATGAAATATTTGGATGGAGTCGAAGTTGAAAAAGATGAAGTCAAAGCCTTTGAATGGTTTATGAAAGGAGCTGAACAAGGATGTATTGAATCACAGAATAGAGTTGGTTTGCTTTATCATAAAGGAATGGGAGTTCAAAAAGATTATTCTAAATCATTTGAATGGTATTCGAAAGCTGCAGAAAAGGGGGATGCCAAAGCACAGTTCAATATTGGAGCATTGTATAAGAATGGCCAAGGTGTGAAAAAGAATTATTCCAAAGCCGAGGAGTGGTTTCTAAAGGCTGCTGAAAAGGGAAATGAATCTGCACATCGAAATCTACCACCACTATATTACAAAATGAAAGATTATTCAAAATCATTTGAATGGTATTTAAAACTTGCTGAAAAAGGAGATGCCAAAGCTCAATACAGTATTGGAAAAGCATACAAAAAAGGTGAAGGAATTGAGAAAGATTATTCAAAGGCCTTTGAATGGTTTTTAAAATCAGCTGAAATTGGAAATGCAGATGCACAATTTAATGTTGGAAATGCCTACAAGAAAGGTGAAGGAATTGAAAAAGATATTGTTAAATCGTATGAATGGTTTTTGAAGGCAGCTGAAAATGGTAATAGACTAGCACAATGCTGTACTGCAAAACGGTATTTTATTGGAGAAGGAGTAGAAAAAGATAGTTCCAAAGCATTTGAATGGTTTTTGAAAGCTGCAGAAAATGGTGAAACAGAAGCACAATTTACTGTTGGATCAATGTTTTACAATGGTGAAGGAATCGAAAAAGATATTTCTAAGGCATTCGAATGGTATGTAAAAGCTGCTGAAAAGGGCCAAATAGAGGCACAATTTTATGTCGGATTAGCATATCATGATGGTGATGGAACAGACCAAGATTATTCGAAATCATTTGAATGGTTTTTAAAAGCTGCCGAAAGTGGCTATACAGAGGCACAATATTTTGTTGGATTGGCATATGAGCTTGGTACAGGAGTTGAGAAAGATAGTTCTAAAGCATTTGAATGGTATTTAAAAGCAGCTACAAACGGAAATGAAAAGGCGCAAAATAATATCAATTCATTTTCATTTTAATTACTCTTTCATAAATGAGAAAGACGTAGTAATATTAGTTTGGTTGATGTTAAGGATACGTGCTTAATAGAACTTATATTTGTTTTAAAGATCTAGTATGATTCTCTAACTGTAACCAATTACAACTAATTGATTTGGGTTCTAATGTTCATATGAGATGGAGATAAATGAGTGATTGTTGACATTAAGGAAAAATTGTTAAATTAGAGGAGCGACTTGACTCGGACATTTTAGGAAGCGAACAATGGATGAGAAGTGAGGAGTCCTTCACACCATCAAAAAAAAATGTGTCGATTTGACAAGTGGCATTTAGTAATTCTTCTTCTTCTTGTACTTGTATTTTCAGTCCACTGCTTTCAACCAAGCTATAATCTCTCCAAAGTAGCAGGTGGAGGATCAATAATTGGTGATGGCCTTGTCAGTAGTCAAGTATTACTGTCATCACCTTCAGGGATAATTGTTTCAAACTCTGAAATAATATTCTGTGATACTAACAATCACAGAATACGTAAAATAGACACCAATGGTGTTGTTTCGACAATTGCAGGTACCGGCAATGCAGGATATTCAGGTTAGTTTCGTGTGATTTCGCTTGGATTCTCAAACGCAAATTTATTGATCAAATTAGGAGATGGAGCTAATGCATTATTTGCACAGCTAAACTCACCACAAGGAATTGGATTACTTTCGGGTGGTGCAATTATTGTTTCAGATACATTAAATCACCGTATTCGAAAGATTGAAAATGGGATCATTTCAACAATTGCAGGAACTGGATCACCAGGTTATACAGGTAAGTATTTAGTTTGCACTTTCTTATTGATCTTTAATCATTCGTCCTAATCCCAAACATTATTCGAAACTAGCCAGTGGAACTGCCACCAGTGCACTTATCAACACACCACTTGGATTGGCAGTTTACAATAATGAAGTTTACTTTGCCGATAGTCTAAATCATGTTATTCGAAAGATCTCCTCAAGTGGTTCCATCAGCAATGAACAAGGAGTTGGCGCCACTTCTGGATCTCAAACTTTACCATTACAGATGAACACACCAACCGGAGTTGTATTTCAATCGGGAACAATGTACATGGCAGATTCAAAGAATTTGAGAGTTTGTTATCCTGGATTTTTGGGAATTATTAATTGCATTTCAACAAGTAGTGAACCGATTGGTTTGGGAGTTTATAGTGGAGTTGTGTATGCTGCCTTATTAGGGAATGTCATTGTGTCCTTGCAGAGTGGAACTCCAATTGTGGCAGGAACTGGAACGAGTGGATTTTCAGGAGATGGAGGAGTGGCAACATCAGCTCTATTGAATGGGCCTTCTGCATTGACTTTTGATTCGAGTGGAAATATGCTCATTTCAGATTCTTCCAATAATAGAATTAGAAAAGTTACAAATGGAATCATTTCAACATTGGCTGGAACCAGTAATAGAAACTTTGGAAATGGAGCGGTGGGAACATTGGTTTCATTATCTTCACCAAATAGTGTTTATTATGCTGGAAATGATGATTCAACAGGTGGTATTTTGATTGCTGACATGAATAATCATGTTTTGAGAAGATTGAAAGATGGAAGAATTTATAATGTGATTGGAAATGTTGGTATCTCAGGAAGCAATAGTGGAAATGGAGTGACTGTCAATGCTGCAACTTTAAATTCACCTCCATTTGTAATGAAGAGATTTGGTGATTTGATTTACTTTTTGGACAGTGGTGGGTGTGCATTGAGGAGAATTGAATCGAGTGGTGTTTTAAAATTGGTGGTTGGAAGTTGTAATTCTGGAAATCAAGATTATTTCCTTTCCAAATCTTTTGACATTTCAAGTGATGGAATTATTTATATTGCCGATTATTACAATCATAGAATTGCCAAGTTTGTGATTGGTGGCACGAGTTTGACCACACTTGCTGGAGGTTCTCTGAAAGGATTTGCAGGTATGTTCATTTAGAATATCATTTCGAATATTTGTGTGAAAATTATAGATGGAGTTGGATCGAATGCCAATTTAAACTATCCTGACAGTATTTCCATTGGCTTAAATAACATGCTCTACTTTTCAGATCGTGACAATCATGCCATCAGATCTGTTTCAACAATTAATGCTTTGGTAACAACTATTTCAGGAAGTGGAATTGCAGGTTATACGGGAGATGAAGGTCCAGCTATTTATGCGAAGCTCAATTTACCTGGATCGATTGAAGTGGCTCTAAATGGTGATATCATTTTCATGGACAAGGGAAATCAAAGAATTAGAAAGATTACAAAATATGGAAATATTTTTACTTTATATGGAAATGGTTCGACTAGTGTTTTTAATAATGCGAATGGGTTGACACTTGGTGGAAGTGGTGAAATTTACATTGCAGACAGTGGTAATAACCTTATCAAAATGTTATCTTCTGCAAAATGCACAAATGGAACTTTTTACAATTCTTCATCATTCGAATGTCAATGTCCATCTGGTTACTATGGAGAAACCTGTTTAGAATATGATTGTGCAGGAGTGAACAGCAATTCATCTCTGGTTTGCTCTGGAAGAGGTACATGTTTCAAGCCAAACACATGCAACTGCTCTGCACCTTACTTTGGTGGATATTGTGAGCAGTACTATTGTAATGGAGTGAATGTTTTAAATTCGAGTGTTTGTTCCTCGAATGGTCAATGTACAGCTCCAGATAATTGCACTTGTTCATTTGGAACTTTTGGTTTGAATTGTGAAAATGCGTATTGTCAAGGAATTGTTTCATGGAACGAAACTGTTTGCAATTCGAGAGGTAAATGCATTGGCTATAATAAGTGCACATGTAATGATGGTTTTTATGGCAATAATTGTGAATTTTATAATTGTTATGGCATTAAGAACACAGACAGCTCAGTGTGTTCTGGAAATGGAATTTGTTCCAAAATTGACAATTGCACTTGTTTGGATGGATATTACGGAAATAATTGTTCTGATTTCAATTGTGTTGGAGAGCTATTCACTTCTGGAAAGAATTTGTGCCAAAATAATGGATCATGCACTGGACCAGGTGATTGTACATGTTTACCTGAATGGGGTGGAAGTATTTGTCAATATTTCAAGTGTTTCAACAAGACACATGTTGATCCAAAGGTTTGCTCTGCACATGGTCAATGTATGTCCTTTAATAATTGTTCATGTGATTCGAGATGGTTTGGCAAAGATTGTAGTGTGACCACTTGTTTTGCGAAATTATCAAACGATTCGAATGTAGTTTGTTCCTCACATGGTCAATGTTTAAATCCAGATCAGTGCACTTGCAACAATGGATATAGTGGAAGTGAGTGTGAATATAGAGTGTGCTATGGTTTGAATCATACAGATGCAAATGTTTGTTCTTCACATGGTCAATGTACAGCACCAAATACTTGTAAATGTGAAAATGGTTTCGTTGGAGATAATTGTGAATATCATCAAGTTTATTTGGATATTGCAAATGCATTGATTTATTCAAATTATGATTCTCTTCTCAATATTTCAAGAAATGCCAGTGTTAATGATCAACAAGTATTGAATAGTGAATGTTCAGATTTATTGGAAAGTTCAGAATTGGCCAAATTGGGTGAAAGTGATTTGATTTCATGTTATTGGACCAATAATTATTTTAAAATCAAATTGGGATATAATCACATGATTCAACATTTATCAACATTGAAATTGAATTATTTCAATATTTCACTGCAAGTCAATTCAAATTCATCATTAACTTTACTCAACCAGAGAACATTCGCTTCTTCAATGGATGTTTTATTGTTATCCATTCCATCCACACAAGATTTCATTATCAAATCTAACAGTGATGATTATTATCATACATTCAAGAAAATATCAAAGAGTTGGACATGTGAAAATTGTCCTCAATCACTTGTCAATTATTTAACAAATTATGAGAATAAGAGTATGATTTTAATACCAAGTACATTATTGAATAGTATTCCATTGGATTCTTCCTATTCAAAAATTCTATCACTCAAGTATTCGTCAATGAATTCCATTCAAAAATTATTGACATCAAGTGACAAGACAAGAATTGAATCGAGTAAGAATTTACCACCCTATTTCACATGGCATGGTGAGAATGTGAAGGATGCACAATTTAAATGTGTTGGTCATAATTGTATTGTGGAAAGTTCATTGAATTCAATGAATAGTTCAATTTCATTCACATTCTCTGGATTTTTCAGTTTATTGAATTCACAATTTTCACAAAAACAAATGTTCAGATTGGTGAATGTTTATAATAATGAATTGGTTGATAGTGAATATTCATCCAATGCACAAATTGTTGGATTTCAATTGAAAACTTATGTTTCCACTTCACTTTCTTATTATTTCTCCTACACAACATTTGATAGATTGGATCATGTTTTAACCAATGTTAATAGAACTCTATCTCTTTCTGATGATTCTACATTTGCAATTTCAATTTTCAATCCAGATCCATTCATTTCAACCTTCACCTTATCAGATTATTTCACATACAATTATGAATTTTATCAAGTCAACTCAATTTCTAATAGCAATTTAAAGTTAATAACAAGTAGTAATCAAAAATCATTGAATATAGATGCTACCCAATTGAATTTATCAGAGGGAACATATCTAGTCAACTTGACACTCACAGTTTCCAAATCTTATGTCACAATTCCATATTATTTTTTCGGATATATTCAATTGCATTCTCAATCAAATGTTCCAAAATTAACAATTGATCAATTACCTGCTATTTATGCTTCTAATAAGGATTTACAATTGAAAGTCTTGATTCAATCATCAAGTTCTATTTTAAACTATAAATGGAAATTAAAAGATGGTATTGTAAAGGAAAGAGAATTAATTGAACAATTATTACAAAATTCACAATTGACTCAACTCACATCTAACGTGTATAAGAGTGAAATTACAATTAATAGTCAATATTTATTGGAAGGTGAATTTATTTCATTTGATTTTTCAGTTTCGAATATGAATGGCATTTCAAATGTTTCACTTTCAACAAGAATTGACGAATCTCCAAGATTTTCATGTGAATATTTCAACCTAAAGAATGAATTTACAAATTATGCATTTGAAAGTTTACTTTCCATTTCATGTTTCAATTTACCTGAAGAACCAATTTCAAGTTTCAATATTGAATTTCATTCACAGAAAAATGGAAAGAGAATGAATGTCATTTCGAATACTTTGAAAAAGAATGTCATTACAAGAATACCTTTCTATTCATTTGATGAACAGCAGGTGAATCTTGTTGTGAAATTAGTGAATAGATATGGTTCAGTTTCACAAATTTCAAGAAATATTTCAGTTTTACCTCCATTGACCATTTACAATTCAGGAAATTCAATTGCATCAAGATTTAATTATCTGAAACAATCTTATTATAATTTGAAATTGAATGAACCATTGAGAATTGATACTGCTCATTCAATTTATTCCTTAATGAGTATTCTCATTCAAAACGAAACCATTTCGAATATTACAAGACAATTAGTCAATGAAATATCAAGCAATGAATTGTCAACATTTAATTCTCTATTGAAAGATATGATTATTCAATTGAAGAGCATTCAATCATTGAGTTACAAAGTTGATGAAAAGTTTATTCAACTTTCACTTCCAATCATTTCACAAATTTATTCGATTTTGGATAATTTATCATTGGATGACAGTTGGGTTTCAGATATTTCTACATGGCTTGATTGGATTTATTCTGGAATGTCAAGTGCAAAACAATATTATTCTGAAACATTGTTAGCAACTATACTTTCGAATGAACATTATGAAGAATTGAAATTAATTCAAAATATACTTTCTAATAGATATTCGAATCGATTGGACAAACAAGAATTGATTTCAAAATATAGAGCTCAATATTTAATGTTGACCGGTTTATCAGATGATTCATCCTATCAAGTTTATCCAGTTGAAGTTGCTTCTCAATTGAATGGCAAGTCAATCATGACAACTATCAATCAAGAAATTCAAATCCAAGCCACACTTCCATCAGATTTAACCAGTCAATTGTCAAGTATTTCAGATAATTCACAATTATTCTTTTCATCTTCTCTAATTAGCAATGACAAGACATTGAATAATATTTTATCAAATATACCTGTTTTGGACTTGTCAATTTATTCATCAGATGGATCATTGACAAGTGTGAATAATTTATTGAATCCAATTCAAGTGAAATTTAATAATCTCTTTACAGATTACAAAGTTAACACTAATTTATCATGTGTTTATTTTGATTCTTCATTGAATACATGGTCAACCAATGGAATTTCATTCAAATCAACAATTACAAAACAAGAAAATGGAAAATTATACTTTGATATGGAATGTAACACAACTCACTTGTCATTATTCTCAGTTCAAGAATTGGATTTTGTTTATCCAGCAAACTCCACTTCAACTGACTCTAATTTGGGATTAATTCTTGGATTGGCACTTGGCATTTCAATTCCAGTAATTTTATTGATCATTCTTGCATTTATTATCATTGTAATTGTGTTATCAGTATTTGTTTGGAGATTGAAAAAGAAGAGTAAGGCACAAATGGCTAAATTTGATATTGAAATGACAGGAACAGACTTCCCGTCAGATGCCAGCATGTTCTTGACACCTCTTGTCAGCGTTTCAGGAAGCTCAAGTAATAATGAAAGTTTTAATCCACTTTCAAGATATTTAGATTTGGTCAGAATAGGACAAGGTGCATTTGGATCAGTTTTCAGGGCAATGGACTCAAAAACCAATACAATGAAAGCAATTAAGGTGATGAGATATCAATCCAATGAAGAATTGAATGGATTTATGAAGGAAGGAACTCAATTAATGAATGTGAGCCATCCAAATATTTTGAAAGTGAATGATTTCTTCATTAGTCAAGATAATTTATTGTGTATTGATATGGATTTTTATGAGAAGGGAGATTTGGTTCAATTGACTTATGATTCTTTCATTTGTTCTGAAAAGATCTTGTTGCAAATTATTTATCAAATGTTGAATGCATTGAATTTTATTCACACATCAATGAAACTCATTCACAGAGATATCAAACCATCAAATATTTTCATCAAATCAATTGACAATGATCATATTGAAATTGTAATTGCAGATTTTGGATTGGCAAGAGCTGATCAAGGTTCTGCTCACAAATCATATGCTGGAACTCCTCTCTTTATGGTATGTTTGTTGTATTTTATATTCAAATTTAATCCATATTTCTAATAATTCTTTATTGGAAACTTTCAGTCACCTGAACTTGGATATGGTGGAAAATACTATTTCAATACAGATATTTATAGTTTAGGAGTAACACTTTATCAAATCATGACCAAAGACACTCAAACTTCAATCAGTCAATTATTAATTACCAAAGATAAAATTGAAGTGAATGCAATTCTCAAACAAAAATTTGAAGAATGCAAAATTTACTCATCCAACCTCATTGATTTGGTCATTTCAATGTTAGAAAAGGATTTAACAATCAGACCACAAGCAAAAACTCTCCTCAATAATCCACTCTTCAAATCATTCCAATAAATCCTTTGTAATATTTTACATAAATGATGATTTACATTCATCTGGAGTAGTTGAAAAAGATGGTAAAATCCACCAATAATCTCATTTCCCATGGTTCCTTCAGCTCCGCATTATTTCCTCCGTTCTATGTAGCTATCAAGTAAGGGTAACCTTCATTACTAATTAGATTCATTTTAGAATCCAAGCACTGGAATCATGATGATCATAAAAGGTCGTTTTTGCTTCAAGAAGATAACTTTCAAATTCAAAAAGAAAGTCACCACACACCAACCACAATATATTTCACAAACACAAAATGGAATCTCAACCACTCGCCTATAACACCAGTGATCAATTGCCACCTAATAGCACTGCCGAACCAATTCTTATTTTACTTCTTAATTTCTTGTTTGCTGGTTTGGGACATTTAGTGTTGGGTCAAGTAAGTAATCTTGCTAATGTGTTGAAGAAGAGTGTCTAATCATCGTGTTGTTCTTCTTATGTGTTGTCTAGTCCGGAAAGGGTATTACCTATATTGTTATTAATTTCCTTCTCTTCTTCTTGATTGTTTTATTGAGTTTTGTCTTTATTGGCATTTGCATCCTTCCACTTCAAATTGTTTGGTGGGTGATGGTTATGGTTGATGGATATGTCATTGCTCAACGTTTGAAGGAAGGAAAGGCTGTAAGAAAGGGAGAGTAAGTAGTAACAATAGTTTCACATTATTAACTGTGTTGTTGAAATCTTATCTACAATAGATGTGCTTTTTCTATTACCAAGTTTGGAGTTTCCCTCTTTGAAAGTTCTGAAGTTTTTGTTCAATAAATTATCAATTTCTGAGCTAGGCGGCTTACATTCATAATAAATGATATCTCCTAATGAGCTTACTTTAAGCAAATTCACTTTGTGTACAGTTAAATTCAGAGGGGAAATAATGTTCCTTCAAATCCAAAACCTTCTTTAAAAAGTAACTCCAAATATTCCAATAGTAACCCCTTGAATCCTTGAACCTACACTTTCAAAGATATCCCGCGCTACAGAACATTCAACAATATTACAACTTTCCCGCCTTTAAATATCGCATCATTGGACATCAACAGGAGAATTATTCAAAAAAAATGCATGCAAAACACTTGCTCATTTCCTCTGGATTGGTTGAAATTTGTTGGGCCATAGTGTTGGGTTGGTATCTTGCATTGTCTATTATTGCCAGACCAAGGAAAATTCCTCCTTTCAATAATTTTCGTCGAGTTTTGCAGGCACACATTGATTATATATTGATGGGAATGTTGCAGATGGGTGTGGCTGTGGCTACGAGTGATGTGATGGTTCTTCCTGATTGGGTTGTAAAGATGTTTGTGTTTGGAGCTTGGGCAAATGCTAGCTCGTTTTTAATTTTTGCAGTTTCTGAAGATTATGTGAATTATATGGTGGTAAAGATATTTTCAGTGATTAGTTTTCTTTCGTTGACAATTGTATTTCCTTATATAGCCATGGAATATATTTCAAAGACTATGGAATGAAAGTAAAGTTTTACTGAATCTCTTTTATCTTCATCATTGTACTATTGATTGAGAAATGATTCGTTTGGATTTGAATTTTGGAATTGTCTTCACTCTCCTTTGGTTGAGTAGTTAATGATACTTTTCCAATAATCCACAAATCACCATGTGATGAATAAATCGGATTAATTTCAAATGATTTTAATTTTCAAAAAATTCCATTGAAAAAAGAAAAACATAAATGTGGAATGAAAAAAAACGTGGTCGACCACGGTGGGGCTCGAACCCACATCTTTTTCTACGAAAGAAATGCGAATTGTTAATTGCAGTTAAGTTTCAGTACTGAAACCATTTGTTCTTCTGCTTTTTCCAATTAAGCTACGTGGCCAATAAACAATGCTTTACTTTCTCGACTACACCAAGAATAATATCTTTTTATTAGCCAATTTGGTTCAAAAATATTATAAATATCAAGTGCCATTAAAACGAAGTACAATATTGAACAACTGTAAACAGTAGTCTGAATAACGTAGTTTATTGTTGATTACTTCAAAAAAACAAAACCACCTCTACAATGAAGTACCTTAGTCGGAAACAATTACACAATTGGTGTAACAACAACATCTGAGAGAAGAACAAAAATTGTCCTCCAGCAATTTCTACGTACTTTGGGCGACTACCTACAACCCAAAACACTTGGACAATTCTGTATGGTTACTAAGCAAGGAAGGCAATAAGGTAAACTTGATTACATTTTCGAGCCTCTGAAGCAGAATTAGGTTTTTATTGGTGTAAATTTGTTGCAAAATATGCAGGATTTCCTACAATTATTATCTGGATCATATATCTGATTTATTTCTTTGAATGTATCCCACATTCATTCGAACCAGAAAAGTTAATTGTGAAAAAACCACTATAGATACCTAATCTTTCTGATGAAGAACCTCACTTTCCCAAAGTACTAGAACAGGAATTACTTCCAAACGAACTTTGACTAACTATTACTACAATATGTTTCTACTTTAGCTTCTACAGTAATATGGAATATGTTAATGATGCCCCAAACGCTTCAACTCCATTATCAAAGAATCATGATTTACGATAAATCTGATAGGAAAATAGTGGAGATAATTACCTAACTTTGTTTTAGTAATTTAAAGTTTGTAATTTATTTAAAACTTTTTCCTAATAAAATATGATTAAGTGAATCTGGAAGAATATGATTTTGGAAAAAGTCCAATCCAAAGTCTGCAGTCTTCAGTTCAGTCTCATGATCAAGGTATTCTGGAATGAGATGATAAGGCTTGTATCCATATTTGTCCTCATAATTAATGGTTTCTGGAGCAATTTCAATAAACGGCTTGATTAATTGATATCTCCTCTTGTTAGTGAAACAGTAGTGAAGAGGAGTTTGATTGTTGAATGAGGATTTTTGATAGAGAAGTTTAGGATACTTTCTTGCCAATCTCTCAATAATGGAATTTGAAATATCTGATTGCAAAAGTACTACAAATTTGGAAGCTCCATTATTTTCAGATTCTAGATAGGTGATATCGCAGTAATTTTCCAATATGAAACTTGACAATAGCTCTGGTTGACCATCTACAATTCGTAACAAGTCCAAATTTTCACTATTTTGAATGTATGGAATTAATTGAGCTAGATAGTAAATAACCATTGTGGAATTTCTAAAGCTCCAAATTAGAGTTTCAAATTTGTCCACGTTAATATAATTCGGAATAGTTTTCAATTTTTCAATCGTTAATTTCACACCAATATTTCCAAAAATAGTACACAAATCGAAAATAACTTCAGGACAAATTGTAATATCATAACCCCAGACAATAACATCCAAGAGTTTTCTGCTGCGATCACTTGGATTAATACTTCCATGATAATTCAATCTTGCTTGATTGACATTCATTAAGTGAAGGTAGTATTGAACAAATGCCTCATCTAATTGAGTTTTAGATTTGTGCCACTCGAATGGATAACCATTATTAGCAAAGTACTTAATCAATTCCTTCTTTTGGTGGGTGTCGAAAAAATTAGCTCCAAAGATTGGATCCTTTATCTCCTCGGATTCGATTGAATGTGAAGGTGATTTCATTGGCATTGGTGACTGTTTCAGCTGTTCTGGCTTGTTTGAGGAGAGAGGCTAGTTTAGTACGGATTAGTTCTGTTTCGTTTAATAATTCTGTTAAATATTTAACAAGGTTAACACGTGTGGTTGCTGAAGGGATATCGAATACTGCTGCAACACCTCCGAATGTTATTGCTGGTTCAGCAACAGTACCAAAAGAAAACATTTTTTTACATGTGATTCTTATAGGCTAATTGATAATTTCCAGTTTCTTACGGGAGACAAGACTTTAGAACATAATGAATAACAATAAAAGTCTTTAAATTAAGGTTACATTCATTTCATGTGTTCAATATAGTTCCTTGCAAGGATGATGAGTGGATTGACATCAAAACGTCTGAATTGGAAATTCGTCGTTGAAGGTCCAAATCCAATTCAATTGTTCAATTATCATATGAAATTCTCCATCACAATTGGCTCCATAATAATTCGAATCACATTTACAATATTTTGCTGAACGCCCCAAATAGCAAACAGATAAAAAGACTACAGCACCACAGGTTCCCAAGTTGTCTCCAACCTCAGTACTGATGTGGCTCGACGATGCTTAACTTCTCAAATCGGACGGGATGAGGTGCATTCATCGTGATATGGCCGTAGCCATTCAATAGTGCAAAATTTGAAATATTAATGTCAAATTACATAAATGTCTTGCAAGTTTGTTGATGATGTTACTAAATGTAAATAACAAAATGTCAAAAGGTGCATCTCTATTGAGAGCTTTTTATTATTGAAAATAAATAAAATCAGACCACACAAATTTTTTGTGCTTGAAGTTTTGTTTGGAATAATAAATTTGTGATTTGTGTTTGTGAAGTTGGCCATTTTATTTTACACAAACAAATATTTGCAACAAATTTCACTGAGGTACCCAGACATGCCTTCAAGTAATAGAAAATGGTCCAATTATTCATAGCATTCATATTCTATCGCCTAAATACGTATTTTAACTGGTTTACCTGTTGATGATTTCTCATGTTGGCTTTTAATATTAAATACCTACGGAAGACAAAAATCTGACAGAAATAATAAATTCAATTCAGAAAAATTCCAAATCCATTAATTAGTAATCCAATAGCATCCAATATTTGAAGGTGATTAGTATTGGTCTTCATGAAAACATGTTGATACGTGTGATGACGTGATGGTGAAGATCCTTCAAGGCATTTTTTATTATGCAATTATCAAATATTTGTGTAAAATAAAATGGCCAGTCAGCACAAACACAAATCACAAATTTTCGGTTTGTGTAGTTGGAATTTATTTGCTTTCAAAAATAAAAAGCTCTCATTGGATTCATTATTTTCAGAACAAAAACACCAAATGGATTATATTATTCAGCATTGATTGTAACCCCATCTCCAATAAATCCTGGCTGCCCATTTCAAGAATGCTTAAACAACTTGTTTAAAACTTGCTTTTCTTTGATTTTGTTGTGGATTCACTTGCTTTACGTTTTTTTCCACATTCTTCATTTGTTTTCATGAATGAATCAAGGTAAATGGCAGGTTGATCAAAATCAGACTCTTGCAATTTCTCACGAAATTCATCCTTCATTTTTGACTTTCCAAGAAGGAATGGACTAAACCAATGATAGAGTAGTGTATTGTAAACTTTGTTAACTTTCAATTCTTTTGGTATGTCATCTTGTTTCACACAGAGAAAATTGTTCATAATTGAGTAAGTAGTTTCATATGTGGATAGATGATAGGTAGTTTCAGCGTAGAATAACTGATTTTCACCATTGGAAACTTCTTCTTTAAAGTAGGCATAATCTATTTGAACAACGTAATCTCCTCTAAAGCTAATATTCAAGGGATAACCAAATCCCATGAATATGACCGTCTCAATATTAAAACCTCCTTGTTCATGATTAAATTTTTCTCGAATTGGTGTGATTGACTTGATAAATAATTGTTTCAGTGGGCCACCTTTCCAAAATCTTGAAACATTGTTAATTTCATACCTATGACCATTATCTGTAATGATTAAATCACAATCATAGTATTCTGTAAAGACCTCCTCAAATATTTTCAATCGTAGACTCAAAGCTTTGTGTTCATCTCCAAGTCTGCTTAACATTGAATCGGTAACATTGTCATCACACTCAATCGAATATTGTGAAACTAAATTTTTCAATTTTATCTTTGGCAATAAAGAACAATCAACATATTCCTTAAAAACAGCCTGCATGGATGAATAGTTTGGACTTGTATTTGACTGCTGACCAATCTGACATGGATCGAATTCCTCATCACCATAACCAATATCATCGAATGAAATAGTGCTAACAATAGGTTTAAAATTTTCAACTCGTTCCTCCAAAAGCTTAACTTGCTCATCATTTAAATTCAACAATGAATGAACAAGATAACTCTTGGCAAAGTGCTCGGAATTGAAAACATTATAAAATACTTGATTGATCAATGGCGGTTGATTTTTAATCCAATCGCAAACATGGGTAAAGGAGAGAATTTTCTCTACGAGCAATGCTTCACAAAAAATGGAAGCAACAGGGCGAATAGAACAACAGAGTTCAGACATTTTTTAAGTTTTTTTTATTTACTAACCGGTACTAAGTTGTGCATGTTCAAAGGTGTTGTAACAGATGATGATTACATCTCACACTCAATTGATTGAGAAATGATTAGTTTGGATTTAAATTTTGGAAAGTCGATTTATTTACAAGTCAGTTCTTGGTTTCATGAGTAATCTCATATTTTTAGGTCTAACAGTGACACCAGGTAATGGTTGAACTCTATCTTTCACATCATTTTCATCATTCAATAATTCGAAAGTGTAGAACTGCATCATTCTGCACAGGATGGAGAATTTCTCGAAAAGTGCAAATCTATAACCAATGCACTTTCTTGATCCCATGGAGAAGGAGGTCAATGTGAAATCGTGCAATTTCTTGGTTTGAGATTCGCTGTCCATTGGGAATCTTTCAGGATTAAATTCTAAAGGTTTCTCATAATTCTTTTCATAACGATTGGCTGAGTAAATGTTCAAGTTGAGGAAAGTATCTTTTGGAACGTGATACTTGCCAATGGTTGTGTCTTTCTTGGCAGTTCTAAATACACCAGTGACTGGTGGATGCAATCTTAATGATTCCAACATGACAGCTGTCACATATGGCAAATTAGCAAAGTCATCATAATATGGTTTTCTAGCATTTGGTCCTTTTCCATAGTAGTTATCAATTTCTTGTCTAAGCTTGTTTTGAATACTTTCATTTTTAGATAATTCATATAATGTCCATTGTAAACTTGTTGCTTTGAAAATGTTACAAAAAATTGATGAATGTTAAAAACCTACACGTTGTTTCATGTCCGGCCAGCGAAAACACATATATGTCACTCTTGAGCTCCAAATCTGTCAATCTATCCTTTCCTTCAATTGTCATGTTGGCCTCAACCATCAAGCTCAATAAATCTCTTTTTTCTTCATTATTTGATTGAGCATCAGAAACTTCGTCATTATTCAACTCCAGCTCTTTCTTTCTATTATTAATAATTTCGTCTAGTTTCGTACTGACATTCTCAACAGCTTTATCAACTCCAAAGCACTTGTAAGCTAGTGGAAGAGCAAAATGAAGGAATGGAACTAAATCTTTGAATAAATGATTTAACAGAATTCCATTTGTGAACATATTTTCCAATGACCTTCTGAAAATCATTCCTTCTGGATTAGAATCATCGAAAATTGAGAAATCCAATCCGAAACCAGCCTTTCCAAGAACATCTTGAAATAGTTCAATAAAAAAATTATTAGAAACAAATAAAATTGATCACATACCCAAAGTGATATCACTAAAATCAGCATTAGCATCCAATAAAATTCCCTTTTCTCCCTTCTTCAATGCACTTTCAATTTGTTTCTCCCATTTAAATGTACGAATCAAATCGACACTATTTACAGCCACACTTGTCATGTGTTCCAAGTTTTTCGTACCAAAGGCATTAGAGGCTACTTTGTGGTGTTTTTTCCAATCATCTCCACTATCCAAATTACTCAAAATATTAATGCCGAAAGTGTTGAATAATTCGTACAAATGAGGAGGCTTGTGGAAGATATGATTCTTGACAACGAGAACTTCCTTCAACATGTCTTTATCACAAATAACAAGGGCATTGCTCTTACTCATTGTAATTCTGGTAGTTCTTGTTTCTGGATCACCTTTCTCTCTCATTACTTGATCTGTTTCTTCAAAGCTTCCCCAGAAAACATATGGAGCGACCCATGGAATTTTGATTAAAGTTGCAAAGGCTTGCCACGTTCCTGGGACATTTGGCATTTTCTTGTAGTTTGAAATCAAACGCACAGCAAGATAGAGTACCCATAATAGGAAACTCAAAATGAGCACAACAACAATTTGTTGGCCAGCAGATAATGAATCAATCAACTCGGTTAAAATCATTCCGATTCAAGCAAAAAACAGTAAATATATTTCAAAAGGTGTGTATTGTTCTTTTTTTTGTTTTGTTTTCAGTGTTTCAAAGTTTTTTCCTTTTAAAGGTCGAAGTTTATCGGCGGGATGTAATTTAGGAACGAAGTAATGGGACGGAGATAATGAACGGAAGGAAAGCACCCTATTTCTAATGACCTGCTTTTCAACCTCAATGATTATTCGATAGAGGATGTATTTTCCGCTTCAAATTGATTTCCCCTAATGGAGTTTTATTTATTGGTCAACTGAGTTTGAATTATCCTCCAACTTTTACAATTTTATCTTGAAAATAGCCCTGTTGTTTATTGCAATTAATTTAATAACCATGAAATGAAAATTAGTCATGGAATAATTTTCAACCAAAATTGGAGAAGCAAAAAACCTCGCCAATAGAAAGTAAATTTAACCTTCCACTGAACCATTGATAAAATTTCTGCCATTATATCAAGAAGAGAAAATATCTCTAATTAGGCGTTGTTGAAACTCTTTAAAATGTTTCCAATAACCTAGAATTCTAAATTGAAACCTATTGTCGTAAATTGAAATCTGTAACATGTTTTGAATCCATTAATCACCATTAAAAACACTACTCTTTCTAAAACTCTCCAATTGAACCATTTGTCCAAAAAGTCCATTCTTGTTAATTTCCTGATCGATATCAGAAGGTGGTGGTGATGAATATTTGGTTTTCTGTCTCTGCTCTTGGAATCTCTCAATATTCGTTATTGGAATGAATAATGGACCTTCATCAAGGTGATTCTTCGATGAGGATGAATTACTTGTTGAAATCATTCCATAAACTCCATCATTTTCGAATTGTTCCTGAAGTGTTGAGAGTTCATGCAGGTAGAAACGACCCTTAACAGAACGAGGAATGTCGTCATGATGATCGATGGATTGGAAAATTGGTGGAGGAATCAAACCAATTGTTGTTGATTGTTTCCTGGTGTTCATGAGTGAATTATTGGACATGCCATGGACATGACTGGAAGGAGTATGATTGAAAAAGGATAAAAACACACTCAAAAACTTGATTAGTGAAATGGTAGCCAATGAAGAAACCGAAATCCAACCCAAACTTTTCATCAATTTTCCTGATTTTACAATTTTCTGAATAAACTTCCACAATTTCATCCAAATTGATAATTTTCCATTCTCATCAACAACCACTTCATCAGAATTCAATCCACTTTCATCTCCACTTCTTTCCTTATTTTCTTCCAAAACTTGTTCAGAAATTCCTCCTTCTGATAAATCTAATTGTGCTGATGATAATTCCGCATCTCCATTCTCACTATTATCAATAATGGTAAATGATTTACGAAAATTTGAATTTCCACCTTCCTGTTGCTGTCTTCTACCTTTTTTCTGTTTTACTTCCGATGATAATGATAATGACGAATTTAGTGTTTTCATATTCTTGTTCTTCTTATCATCTTGATCCATTCGGAACAATAAACGATGAAGTGCCTTCTTTTGTAATTCGAGGGCTACCCAAGCAACTTCATCCATGTCATCTTGTTGTTGTTGTTGATTGTTATCATGTTGATGATGACGTTGGTTGTTGTTTTGCATTTTTATTCAAATTGGTTTTTTTGAGGATCTTGTGTGTGAAATTTGGTAATGGAGGGAGAATTGTTGATGACTTTCGCACTGTGGAGAATTGAAAGGACGATTACAATAAGAACGAAACTTGGTTTGTTTTACAATGAGAAAATTGAGGCCATTCCTTTGGTCAACTCAAATATAGTTACATAACTTTCTTAACATGCACCAATACATTTAGAGTCAACCCTTTTCTATCTGAATCTTTAACATCAATTGAGAAGTAATTTTCTGAAGGTTTTGTAATTTTCATAGCTTGCACTTTTTCATATTTACCACTAACTAATGCAATAGATGATCAATAGAAGAGTTTGATTTTAAGTTTTGTTGGTTCATCATCCTCATCATCAGATTCTTCATCATCCTCATCCTCATCATAATCCATAACATCATCATCTTCCTCATTGTCATCCTCAGTTTCATCTACATGATCTTCTGGCTCATCATTGACAATAATCGAGTCCTCAAAGAATGTCCTTAATTCTAAATTGAACTTGCGATGGCATGAATCAAACTGCAACCTTATTTCAACACGGCCATCAAATAATTCAGTTGTCTTGAAAAGTTATCATCACAACAAGTTAAAATTTCAATACTTACTTCAATTTCTTCATCCTCATCTTCTCCAGCTTTTACTTTCCTATACTCGGCAGATGAATAGCCATCACAGAAAAAACAATGATCGTATCTCCTCGATCTGTTTTGTATTCCTGTAATTTTAGAAAAATCCTCATCTAGGTAAATGGCAGATTCTACTCCTGACAATTTGATTAAGGATGATATTGATTGTTTAAATGGTGAAAGCATTTCCATAGTCATTGGGGTAACATTCTTTGTTTTTTCGTGAATCCTTTGACATATTAATCTGGCCCTAGTATGGAATGGAACAATTTCTTGCTGGCAAATGTAATTAATCTCCTCGTCTGAATTTGTATTTTTTGCATGGGGTTGAGAACTTTCAAACACAAACTCTGCAATTTGCTTCTCTGTCATTATTCTAAGCCATTCCTTGATGAGCCATTGTATTTTAGTACTGGAAGAATTGACCATCTCTTGCATCAATGCTGGTAAATCAAGGTACTTTGCCAACTTGACAATCTTTTTCAATTTTCCAAGATCATCAGCTAGCCCATTAATATTCAAATTATCTCCATATAAATATTCCAAAACTACATCAAAATCAGATCTAACCAAATATGTTCCTTCAGTCAACTCTATTTGCTGACTAATATCTGCCACCTTCGTCATATCAACAACATATTTTCCATCCACAATGGCCACATCACTCTATTGTTCAATCATTCTCCGTATCAATCCACTCCTCTTCACAATAAAATCATGAACCTTATACTCAAACCAAGGAGTCTTGATCATCACATTCGGAGGAACAATTAATGGCTGATTGTCGCTCCTTTGATAAACAACCGATTGAGCATCATCATCTCTGTAACTTCCATTAAGACTACGGAACATGTTTAACAAATAATTGGACATGTCCATTTCTTCGAGTTGATTTCGTGGCCAAGCAGAAAGCCAATTAAACCTTTTCGACATTTTTTTTCTCTTTTAATTTCCACTAATTTGTTTCCTTTGTAAAATCTTTGCAAAAAATTGTTGGTATTCAAAGATATTGTTTTATCCAACAATACACCAATAAATTCGGAAATTATGAGCTTTATTCTACTACACGCACGTAATAGATTATTTTCAACACTGAACAACCACAAAACCAATTTCTACTAATCTATTACCCTTGAAATACTAGCAAACCGAATAATGGTTGACAAGATGAAAAACTTGAAAATTAATTTTCAAGAAAATCTTGCCTAATTGTAATAGAATCAATTCTATTACAATTACCTCGTCCAATACTACAACCATTATTCAAACACCCACAAAGTCTTTGACACTCCAAAAAATCCCCTCACCAACCCTAGAACCCAGTTCTATGTTGGCCTATTGAGCGCAGATCTTCATCAAGCATCAAATTTGATCACCTCTATAACACCTAAAAATCCCCTCACCAACCCTAGAACCCAGTTCTATGTTGGCCTATTGAGCGCAGATTTTTAAGCACCACAAAGTCCTTGATAACACACCACTAATAAAATAACAATAAAGACGTATCAAAAGAATTAATATACTCACCGAGTGTTGGGGTGGGTGGTGGGGAATCAAAGTATTAAGCTTGCTCAATGTTGAAAATTTTTTAGACAAATTTTCCTATTTCTTGGTGTATTGTTTACAATAAACTTTAGTGAGTTGAATACTCACTCCAATTTATCCAACAATACACCAATAAATTCGGAAATTATGAGCCCATACTAGCAACCTAATTCTTTTGATACGTGATTGGCTAAAACTTAACCACAAACTCAACTATCTAGATAAACCATACAAGCTAATTCTTCCATATAAATGGAGAATGTGCCTTAAAGGAGCCTGAATCAATGCATTAGCTTAAATCAAAACATCACCTCTCTGGAGAACATCAAGCCAATGATTACTAATCGTGATGAATAAATAGGTTTCGCTGTGAATGGATCATTAAGGGTATTCAATTTTGGAGGTCAACAGGAATATTAATACCATGTGGAAGTGGCGGTGTGTGTTCAAGATTATATGCTTGGCTGATAATATTCTCAAATTTAAAACATCTAGCCCATTATGTCCAATATATTCGGAAGGATTGATTGAAGCCCTGAATCCTTTGTTAGCAATCAAGTTACTGTTATTAGGTGAGATGGAGACTTGCTGGTTCATCAGTCTTAAGGTTCATGAATTTCATAAAAGACTAGAGAACCTAAGGTGGAAGTGATGAGTCGTCTCCACTTATTCCGAAGTAAGTACTCTTGGGAAATAATCTTATCTACTTGCGTATGGTTGAACTCTATCCTTTAGCGTTCACTTTTGCAACCATCAAGAAAAAGGATACTTGTTGTTGTGTATCACCTTGACTATAAGAACAACCGTTTTGAAAGTGTTAATGTGTTCTGTTGACTTAACAATTATTATAAACAGTGTCCGAATGTTGAAGATGAAGGAACGGATGTCTGGTCGGAAGAGAATTGGTGCTAGGTTTATCGTGCTGTTTCTTGCTCTGGTTGAAAAAATTACTCTCCTTGAATCAAAGTATTAAGCTTGCTCAATGTTGAAAATTTTTTAGACAAATTTTCCTATTTCTTGGTGTATTGTTTACAATAAACTTTAGTGAGTTGAATACTCAACTTGGAAAGCTCAAGCAGTGAAATGAAACTCTTGAAAAAAAACCAAAAAAATACCCGTTCGGCAATTGGCTTATCTTGGTGAGAGATCATTGTCATCATTGGCTTTCTACATCATTAATTTATTTGTGCAGCTTGTTATTGTATTATATAAATTGTACATATTCCGAGTGTATATATTTTAATTAGTAATTATAAAGATCATCATGATTGAGCAAGTGATTCAAGTTGCTTCATCATATTGGTATTTAGTATTAGCACCTTTGGGATTATTTAAATATGAAGGAGCAATGACAACTTTTGACTTGTCAATCATGTCAGCCTTTTTCTTATTCTTTTGCCCAGTGGTGTTAATTCCATTGTTATTCTTTGGTGTGAGAGCACCTTATGGAAAGTTTGCTTCTACTAATAGCAATGAAGGAGAATCAGCAGTGAGCAAATGGTGGAGAAGAATATCAAGTAAGACAGATATTGTCTTGAATGGTAGATTTGCATTTGCATTCCAAGAATCATTCGCATTATCTTCCTTCCTCTATGTATTATTAACTTGTGAATGGAATTGGCAGGATAATTTTTGGCTTAATGCCCAACAAGTGATTGCAACTGCCATGTTTATTGGACATTACATTCATAGAGCATTCATATTTACATTGATTAGAACTCATAGTATGAGTGATTCAACCCTATCAACCATGTTGATGGCTTGCTTTTTCTGTTCATGCAACGGTTACTTGAATGCAAAAGGTATTTGGATTTATAGTGGTGGATATTTTGGAGCTATTAACGTCATTATCATGCTATTAGGAATGATTCTCTATATTATTGGATTTTACATTAACTTCCAATCCGACCAAATATTGATTAATCTCAGAAAGAAGAATCAAACCACTGATTCTGAAAAGAAGTACTTTATTCCAACTGGAGGATTATACAAGTATGTTAGTACACCAAACTACTTTGGAGAATCGGTCGAATGGTTTGGCTATTTCATGTGCATTCAAAATAGGTTTGCTTTTCTCTTTGTCATTTTGACCTTATCGAACTTGCTGCCAAGAGCCGTTCAAACACATCAGTGGTATTTGAATAAGTTTGGTGACAAATACAGATCTTTGAACAGAAAAGCATTTGTTCCATATTTGTTATAAAAGGCAAATAAGTAGATTAGAAATAATTTTTTATTGCTTGACATGCAACATTTGGTCTATTTCTGGGATTAGATAGTTGCAGCAAACTGCTCACTATGCTTTTTTACTTTATTTCTCATTTGCCTTTATTGAGGTACGAAATGATCAGATGAAATGATCAGTGAGTGACAATCAAAAAAAACGATCTAACAAGAATAATGGGACAAACTGCAAGTACTGATGTGTTTACATCTCGATCTGCTGGAGTACTTAATATCATTCCAGAAAATGTTTGGAAACAACCTGTCCGATTACAAAACACACAAGTAGATACCAATCCAGTGGAATTTTCATTTGTTGTGGATGAGAATGGAAGAATTCGAGATTCAACCTCACCAGTTGATAAACCGAAAAGAAGGAAAAAGAAAACTACCCATGCTACCCAACCAGAAACCCAATCAGGCACAACACCAACTTTGGAAAATCAACAAAAACCAAGAGCAAGTCAACCAAGCGAGCATGTACCTGAATCAGAAATTCAACAACATCAACAACAAAGAAGTCAATCTTCCAAAAAGCGAGTTGCAATCCCAAAAAAGATTCAACCTCTGCCATCCACTACGACAGCACCACCTACAATACAAGAAGAACCTACTGAGGAAGAACCTGAATCTTTATATCACTCATCAAGTGAATCATCAGTTCAATCATTGGAACCTTCTAATATAGATATGGAAAAACACAAAGGACAACAAATATTTGGATTTGGAACCTCTCAACAGAAACTTTCAGATGAATCAGATAATTCTTCATCTGATTTGAAATCTGCAAGTGATTTGGAGACAAGCCAAGATGGAGAGTTGACTGGAACTCCAAGAAATGATCCAAGACGTGTTGTTATCATTGACTTTGGCCACCAAACTACTAAGGTGGGTTATTCTGGAGAGGATAGACCTCGTCTCATCATTCCAAGTTGTTATACTGTATCTACAGTTCCTGCTCAATCAGGAGAACCTGCAAAGAAGACAATCAAGTTTGGAGGTACCATCTCAAGATTTGACAGTACATGGTTTCTAAAGCATGGAAAATTTTCATTCAAGAGAAATGATCCTGACCAACAGATTTTCGTTGCCTATCTCAGATACATTTCCAAGGTATTGTTAGATCTCAAGAATGCATTCAGAGGTAAAACAGTCATGATTAGTTTGCCATACCTATTCGGTGAAGATAAGGAACAATTGAGAATATTGTGTGAATGCTTCTTCCATGAAAGTGTTCAAGCCAAGAGCTTGTTTTTATGTGGTTGCCCATTATTCTCCTTCCTGAGTGCTGCTGCTAATCACGTGACAGAGAATAGAACAACAGGTCTCAGTGTAACAGTTGGACATGGTATCTCTGAGATTGTTCCAATTGTTGAGGGTTGTCCATTCTCAACATGTGGATCTCATTCGTATGTTTGTGGCTCGTCACAAAGTGAATTTGTGCTCTCCTTGATTAAGAGTGAAGTGCAGAGACAAGGAGAAACTCTCGATGAAGAGCTTGTCACCTATGAAAATGTTGAAAAGGAAAAGATGGACAATTGTACCTTGGTGAGATCATTTAGAGTGAATAAGAAACATCCAAATGAGTGCAAAGCCAAGTTCTTTAAAAAGACATTCGAACCAGTGAAGGGAGATATGCTTGTGGTGTTGGATCATCGTTATTTGACTCCTGAGCTATTGTTCACACCCAAGATATTTATTAAGGAGGAATTACAACTTGGTGAGGATGGAAAAACTGAATCCGAACCTAACTGGCTTGGAATTGTTGCATTAATTGAGACTTGTCTCAAGAAGTGTCCAAAAGAATTTCATGAAATTCTACTTTCTAATGTGATTGTTTCTGGAGGCCCAGCTCAAGTCAGGAATTTTTCAGAGGTATGTTTAATTTGAAAATTACATAGTATAATTCTAATTTTAAAAGAGGGTAAAGTATCAGCTCAAAAGAAAATGTGACATTATTGTTAATCCTTTATCCGATATTAAGCCAAACAAGCCACCTTACGACTTGTCTGCATGGTATGGCATGAGTTTTCTATCCTCAGCCATTGATGTTGACAATAGAGAGCTCGATGGATTACATTGCAGAATTCTATTGGAAGAAACGAGATTGGAGCATTATTCTCTCGAAGATGTGTTATTGTCGAAAAAATTATGCTAATATTGCGTGATTTGTTGATTTGTGTGAAATTGCAATTTAGTGATTTTACAATAAATTAGTATTAACCCAAAAAAAACAGTTTCAATACTCATTGATTTATTGATGTTCGTTGAATTCTCTCAAAAAGTGAGACTTCTTGCTTTCAATTACTTCTTGTAACATGCCAACATTCTTACCTGTTTCCTTAGTGGCAACAAGAGCTCTGATTGACATGGCTCTTAAAGCATCATAAACAGAGAGTGTACCAGTGGCAGAATTCTTTCTTCCTGTGAAAGGAAGGCTATCAGGACCACGTTGACATTGACAGTTAATGTTAATTCTACTGACGTGGTGTGTTAATAAATCTACAAGTGGAATAAAGTATTCAGAGTTTACAGCAACACCTGATTCAGTCTTGATGTAAACTGAGGCTTGTTGACCAAATGTTGTGCTTGTAATGTAATCTTCCAATTCTTGAAGGGTAGAATATGAAACAATTGGAGTGACTGGACCAAATTGTTCTTCGTGGTAAATCTTCATGTCAGAAGTGACTGGATATAATACAGTTGGAGCAAACAAAGCAGATGAACCTCTGTCAATTCTCTTTTCTGGATTGGTTTCAGTGTCATTGGCGAACAATTGTCCTCTTTCATTGACAATCTTGGCACCCTTTTCGACTGCTTCCTTAATATATTCTCTTAAAATCTTTGGTTTTTGTGGTTCAGCAAGTGGAGTAATACTGACACCTGATTCCCATGGATAACCCATCTTTAAAGCATCTACAGCCTTACTGAACTTGGCTACAAATTCATCTACAATTGATTCGTGAACAAAAAGAACTGTTTTGAATCATAATTCCACAAATTAATTCCGAAATTATCCAATCATGAAATACGATTACGTAAAATTTGATTAATAACCATTAGAAATCATGCAAATATTAAAAACCTACTCTTTTGTGCAGTACAACGCTGGCCATTATATGAAAATGCACCAAGAGCGCATTCAGATACAGCAACGTCAATATCAGCTTCTGGTAAAACAAATCCAGCATTCTTGGCATCCAATCCAAGAACATTTCTCAATTTGTAAAGATTAGGGTGAGCATTGATGAGTGAGTTGGCAGCATTGTGTGTACCAATAAAAGCCAAAACATCAATCAAACCAGTCTTCATCATTGGAGGTAAAGTTTCACGACCAGAACCGTGGATAACATTGACAGCTCCAGGTGGGAAACAGTTCTTGAACAATTCCAATGTTGGAAGGTGACATAAACCACCAGTTCTTGGTGTCTTTAAGATGACAACATTACCCATCAACAAGGCAGGAATGAGTGTTGTGTATCTATATATTTTAAATCAGTGAAATTGTTCCAATAATTCCATCAAACAATCATTGGTCAATGCATATTTCAACAATTCAATTAATCGGAAATAAATTGACTTGACACTTACGTTTCATTGAAAGGATAGTTGAATGGAGCAATACACAAGACAACACCCAATGGAGAACGTTTAACTTGAGTACTAATACCTCCTACAGAAATAATTTTAGATTGGTGAGTTTCCAATTTGCTCAATTCCTTGATAGTATCTCTGATATATTGAATGGTACGATCAACTTCTTGTTCGGAAGCACTTCTATTCTTACAAATTTCCCACATTAACAAGTTGACAATCTCTTCTCTCTTAGCCAACAATCCTTCAGTGAATTTTTGCATACATTCAATCTTCTTTTCTGTGGAATAACAAGGCCATTCTCCTCTTCCTTTATCAAAAGCAGTAACAGCAGCTTGAACTGCTTCTTCAGCTTCCTTCTCTGTCATGAAAGCATAATTACCAATGTGATATTTAACTTGAGTTTGATCTTGTGGATTAATGGTAGTAACAGGACTGTAAACATGTTCAAATTTACCAGACCAAGTACGAATCTCTCCTCCGATCAAGTAATTTTCACCATTAGTAAAAGGTGTTGGTGGTTGCACTGTTGTTGTTGCTGTAGTGGACATTTTCTCTGTTTAAAATTGCAGAATGAGATTTGTAGTTTTTTTTTAGATTTTGAAAATATTTTGTTCATCCTTGATAACTTGGTGTCATATTGAGAATTGGGGATGGAAGGAAGGAATGCATTATCGGATAGAATGTTGAGAAGATATTGGAGAGAGATGAGTGAGAAAATTGCTCTCGGAAGCACAATTTTTGAATGGACATCCTGCTAAACGAGTTGATTCAACCAAAGATGTCGAGAGAATGCAAAGATATGATAATACTTTGATTAGGTTGAGCAATACAGGAGGAGAAGAAGAGAATGTTAAAGGTAAAAGAATATGAAATGACAATACTTCCTTCTTTGGCTAATTGGATAGATTTGGAAAGTATTCTGATACAGTATTGTTGTTGTGTGAAACTTCTAAAATTGTGTCTTCTGAGTATAGTTCTTGAGGTACAAACAAGTTGATATTTCAAGGAGAAGGTTCTTTTGATTATTCATTAAGGTTCAACAACTTTACAACAATATCATTCAGCAAAAATCAAAAGATTTGGAAATCATTCTTATTGATTCAGTAAGATAGTTCAATGAAAAAGTTGGTGTCAGCAAATATAAATATTATTTCTTTTTTTTGGATGGTTTTTTCTTATTGGAAGATTGTTTTGGTGGAGGAGGTGGAGCTTGTTTTTTGTTAGGTTTCTTTTGTTGTTGAGGTTTCTCATCCGAATCCTCATAATAAATGTCATCATCTTCCTCATCATCATAGTACAAATCATCTTCCTCATCATCATCATAGTCATCATAATCGTCCATCAGGTCGGAGAAAAAGTTACTGAATGCTTCTCGTTGTTCATAATTATCCTCCCCACCTTCGTCAACCCATTCATTTTCTTCCACAGTTTCAATACATTTTTCTATACTACCATAATGATAAATCATTGACCAAAAGGAATTCAAATCGGTCGAGTAATGTTCAGGTTCTTCATACCTTTCGGTAACCTCTATATATTGAACCAGTTGATCTTCTCCTAATAATTTGACATCCCTATCAATGACTTGTCCTTCCTCCTTCGGAGGAGAATTGCTACTCGATTGCCAAAACATAACATCACCTTTATATTTACCATCTTCCGAATTTCTTTTTCCAAAAGTAATAAATTTATAATTTCCATTCCTCACTGCGTGATATCTTTTCAAGCCTTGTTCTTTACAATGTTGGCATCCTCCTTCTTTCCAAGGATGTACTTCAAAATCACCATGGTCACATAAACTATAGAGAGGACAAATAATTGGCATTTTTTTTGTTGATGATTATTTAAAAGTTTAATTTTTTTTAATACTTTAATTTATTTAGTTTTTGCCAATAAACTTAAAATATTCTCAATGACTGCTTGTGGATTATCGATGGCAATGTTGTGTGAGGAACCCCAAACAATTTCCTGAGATGATTCTGTGGAGAGTGAGAGAATATCATCGACAAGAGTGTCAAGTGCCTTAGCTCTTGGAATCATGTATTTGATGAATTGAGAACACAATTCTGAATCTTCTTTAAGGTGGTTTTCAGCACATGTTCCATTAAGGTTGGCACCAGCTCTCAAAACAACAAGTGGTAAATTTCCAAATCCATTTCCTCTATTTTCGTATACTTGTTGAGCTGAAAGTGTTGCAAAGTTAGTTCCTTCAGAGTAGACTACGTTTGATTGTTTGTTGGAAAGTGCAGTAAATGAAAGAGTTTTAGATTGGAGACTGGTCAAATAAGGTTTGCTAAATGGATTGATAATTTCAGTACCTTGGACTGCAGAGGTCAATCTGAGAAAACCTAAAGGAGATAAAACTCTAGCAGTATTGAGATATGCTTTTTCAATTAATTGATCCTTTTCAATTGCTGATGGTTCGATACTCTTACCTTCAGCTGCTCTGAGGAGTGTAGTTTGATTTTCATGGGATGGATCAATAAGGAGCAAACCAGCAACACTCTCAGGATATTTACTGGCATAGAGTCTAACATTCATTCCACCAAATGAGTGACCAACAAGGAGAATTTTTTCTGTGATATTTGATGTCTTCAATAGTGTGTTCAATTCTTCTACAATTTGAAGGGAAGAACGAGGGAAATAACCATTATCACTAAATCCATAACCAGCTCTATCGTAGACACAAATCTTTGAATGATTTGAAATTGCACTTTGAATATCAGACCAATAGACACCAGAGCTTGAAATGCCCAAACCTGAATCTATCACCACAGTTGGATACTTATTATTTGAATCTCCTCTGCAATCAATGTGAAGTCTGTAGGTGGATCCATCAGAGAGGGTTATTTGCATGAGTTTACCACTTGGCAATACTTCATCAACTGCATAACCAATCGATTGATACAAGTAGAGGGCAGATAAGACCAATAATGGAATCCAGAAAGTTATGAGAAGGCATCCCTTGACACACATGTTACACATGCAATACTTGGTCAATTTAAATGATTCCTTAGCTCTGTCAGCGAAACCATTTCCGTTTTCATCAGTGAGAGGTGAAACTCTATTGTCTCTTCTCATTAACCCAACTGGCTTCAATTCTTCCTCATATTGAGGGTCATAATAAGTACTGTCATTATATTGTCTTGAATATCTACTGTTATTACTGGTGGCATTACTATAATTAGCACTGTTATATTCCAAAAATCCTTCATGCATTGAATCTCGAGGTCTCAATAACTTGTCGTAGTGATAAATTTCAGAAATCCCTCTTCCTGCAACCCAATTATACTTGATAATAGTGAGAACAATTGTGAAAATTCCGAGTGAAATCAATGAAAATCCACACAATCCAGCAACATATTCCACTTCAGCCACACTTGCATATGTAATAAAAATAGTAAATCCCATTCCAATTAATAAACTAGCCATTAATCCTCTCAATATTAAAAAGCACTTTGTTTTGATATTTCATAATACTCTCCAAATGAACTAAACTTACAATCAGTGATGGAAATTGTTTATGTTTGTTCCTAAAATCAAACACCAACTTGATAAGAATATCCGAATACGCATCCAACAAGACAAAGAATGCATAAATTGATGTTATCATCAAACACCAAAACCCAGTAAACGAACTATCGAATAACAATAATAATCCATTACATGATACCAAAAAAGATCACCAAAATCAAAATCATCACACATTCCGATCATTATCAATTTTACTCACCTCGTAATTGTATGAAATCCATCACTAAAACCCTGCACTGCGAACAGAATCGCAACACTCAACGACGGCACACCCACAAACAAGAGTAGAAGTATAGAAAATACATAGAAAAGTGCCCGAAAGATTTTATGTTTTTGCATTTTTTTGAATAATTTAAAAAGCAAAGTATAATCAGTATAATCCTGGATGGTTGGAAGTGGAAATTGAACAAGTTTGGAAGCGCGTTCCTTTAAGTTATCTTAACAATGTTAAAGAGTCATTTACAATATTGGTTTAAATAGTATTAAATAGTGTTGTAACATTAAGTCATCTGTCAAGCCATCAATGATAAAAAATCAAATCATAAAAAAAAATGGCTCTCTCATCAACCTCTTCCACTAAGAAAGATCTCACTGAAGAACTCCGAGACGAATTCTATTCCAGTACCTATCGTAAAGTCTTTACCACCACCAAACTTCCTCTCTATCATCGCAAACGTGTCTGTAACATTCTGTGCTCCATACAAGAAGGTGCACTCAGAAGAAAAATCTCACGATACGAAGTTTCCTTCAACGGTACAATGAATCAAGTATTCCAAGTGACGGAAAATAGGCAAAACCCAGAAGATGTGAGCATGTGGCTTCCAAAATTCGGATCACACATCATTAGATTTCAAAATATTTTAAATTTGAATATTGGCGCCCAAATTAAAATTACATTCTATACACCGAATGATGGCTCGTCGTCGGGTGAGTTGCAGCTAGGTAGAGTGTTGATTGATTTGTTTGATCCGAAGGTTTTTGCAGAGTCGAAGAATGAGGCTCGTTTGGTGGTGGATGTTACCGATTTTGAGAATAAGAATCATGGAAAGGTGGCTGTTTATATACAGGCTGAAAATTTGGTACAACAAAAGTAAATTTAAATTGTAAAATAATAATCAATAATTGATGATACATGTATATATTTAAATAATAATAATTATTTCGTTTTTATTTTGAAGGATTAATTTTTAATTGATCATCAATTCAAGTTATTTCCGATGTGATGAGGATGGAAAAACTTTAAAAAAAACAAGATTAATTCCGATTGAGAAAAAATCCATTTTAGATTAATCTTTATTATCATTCCCTAGGTTGTTTAATTTACTAGTTGAATAGAAAAGCTTTTGCTTATAATTGTACATAGTCCTAGGTTAATATAGCATCAACAACAACACATTCATCATCAGCAACACTCGATTCTTTGTAAATTATTAAAATAATAGAGGAAATTAAACAACAATATGAGTAGTGGAGCAATGGTACCTTTATCGGACAAGGAAAGACAACTTGTTACCTTCCTCTATAGGTCCATCATGAAGGCTTGTAGAAAATACGATCAATATCCTCTCAGTAAGACAACTCTGCCCAATCCAGCCTTTACTAAATCAGAGAGTATCATGACAAGAGGTTGGACTTGTACAAAATTCGGAAAGGAAATATTGGATAGTATTTATGGACATGGTGGAATGTACTATATTCCGAGATATGTTGGAACTCAATCTAGTGCAGCTGAAGAGGTAAAAACTGGAAAGGAATTACTCAATACTAACAAGTGGGCGGAAAGGGAACAAAGAAGACCAATTACCTTGACAGATATGTGTAAAAAGGCATTCAGAAAACCAGAATTATTGGATGAACAGGTCAGACAAGAGGCCTATGAAACTGGATTTGGATTTTTGAGTGAATTCAATTCACATTGGGACAAGACCAAGAAGGAGGAAGAGAAGGGAAATCTAATTCTCAGAAAAGTCGATGGCAATACAGTGAGTGTTGAACTGACAAAGAAGGGAGAATTGGAGCATGATAATTTTGATGAAGATTCCATTGTGGCCAATTCTTACAATGACATGTTAGAGGACGAAAGAATTGCACAAATCTCACAAAAGCCTTACATTCCAGAAAATTTGGAAAAGGCCAGTGTAAATTTAGTATGCACAAGTAGACCTCTGAAGAATCACCTCCTCATAGCTCATCCCATGCTTGCTAACAAGTATTTCGAAAGAACAGTCATTAGAATGGATGATAATATTCAAGATACTGGTTACATTGTTGGAAAATTATCGAATGATGAAAATACAAATGAAGACAAGAAGAAATTCGAAGATCTCCTTGAAGATGATGAAAAAACTCCAGAATCAGAAGCTAAAGCCAAAACCCTTATGGATTTTGTTTCTCAAATTAACAGGGAGTTTGAATCTTTGGAAAAGAAGCATAGTAAAGAGGCAGAACCTGAAAGACTTGCCAGATGGTACACTCATCAATTGGCAAATGAAATTCTCGATGGTGTTTGGATTGTTGTAGCTGTTGACATGGAAGCTTTCCTTCCATTTGCTAAGGAAACTCCATACGATAAGGTTTGGGAATATCTGGTATCACGTCTAGGAGGAGAATACGAATGTTGGAAGGATTACTTTGTAAATAAGCAAGCCAAACCTCTAAAAGAAAGAAATGAGTTTCCTAAGGTTAAAATTATTGTATTGTAAATATATAATGTACATAAGAGTATTAATAGAGATGTAATTAATTATCTTTCACAAAATTGGCGAGAGCTAGTTCATATTCACATTTTAACAAACCAATTTGCTCGCTCAAATAGTGTTCGTATTGATTGGAGTTTTTCTTCTTCTTTGGAGTGGCAATATCTGAATCATTCAAACTCTTTAGATTGGTGGCTGAAGTTGTTGCTGAGGTCAAAACTCCTTGATTTTCCTTAACTTCACGATTCTCCAAAATATATTTCAATCCCAAACGAATATCCAATATTTCACTCACTGGATCGAGAGCTTGTTCTGGAGTTTTCATTATTGGCTTATCAATTATTCCTCTCGATTGAACATTTCTCTGAGTTTCTGTAAATTCCTCTCCAATCTTGGCAACCTTTCTCACCATCTCTTCAATAATATTGAAATCACTTTGATAGTGAGAGAATGGTTCTTTTGTATTTTGTAATTTTTCAATATTTCCCAACAAGTGAGTCAAAATCTTGAAATCTTTGGATACACTGGACATTAATGTCTTGATTTGAATCTTTTCCTTTAAACTCAATTGACCAACTTCGGAACTACTTGTCGAAATGATATCTTTCTTTTGTGATTGCATTTGTTGTATATAAAAATCCAAAACTGCTAGGGCTTTCCTAGAACCACCAACTAAATGTACCTTTCGAATTTCAAACTCACGAATCGGATCGACAACTTTAGATGTTTTGGCAGCAATCATTTCTTCAACATGTTTACTAGTTTCGGCATCTTCTTCAGAGAAGGAAGCAAAAATTGCAAAATCATTTTGTTTTCTCTTCTTTCTAGCTTCGTTGAAGTGTTTGATAGATTGGCTATCACTTTCACTGGAGAGAGATTCGAACATTTTTTTATATCTTTGATAAAACTACTGTTTGAATAACTCTGGAAGGTGATGGGAGACATTTCATACGGTTGTCATGTAATTTACAGTTGTAAATGAACATTTGTGGCATAGGTATACGCTTACGGTTCTTCTGCCCTTTTCATTAATTTCAGTTAGGTCATGTCAGGCCATGGACACAAATATTGAAGAGTGGACATGATATTTGGAATTGCAGCTCGCTGTCAATATCATATCTTTTATATGAAAACTAAACCCCAATCTTTGACAATCCTCTTCAATAAAGTATTCTTCTTGTTTGCATTCTGAAATATCTCATAAAACGAATGATTCGAAATGGCAAAATTGAATATCGTCTTGACATTTCCAATATATTCAAGAATGCAAAACAGCATGTCCTTATCATGTTGAAGTCTACTAAAATCTAAAGGTTTGCCATCACCAACTCTATCATCCTCATCAATTGGATTAATTTTATGCATCATTTTTCTATATGCTCCCAATAGATCTTCATCCCAGTCAAGATTTGAGGTTTCCTTCTTGATAAATTCCAATACCTCCCTATTAAAATCATCCTCATTATTTTGCTCCTTATTATGATCATCATCATTGCTGACCTTCTTTTTCTTTCGAGGTGTTTCACTACTAAAATACTGTTGGTATTCTTCACTCAAAACTTTCAATAAAACTCTATCATTCACTTCAGTGTCAAATTCACACAATTCCACATATCTGAATAAATAAACTGGATGAATGAAAGCTTGGTTTAACACTGTCCAAACATTCTCAAAACTCGAAAACATTCGATAATCAGCAAAACATTCCTTTTCCAATTTAGGAACATTCCTTTCACCAAATAATTGTGCCATGATCACCTTCTCTCCTTCCTCTCCATCTTCTTCATTCTCTTCATCATTCTCTCCTTCAACATCCTCCTCATTCTCTTGATCATTATTTTCCACTATTATCAATTCATCATCATTATCATCACCATCAAATAAAACCAAATGATCATCAAATTCCGAAATACCAAATCCCTTCATTGAATAAAAACTCTGTGTATAGACAATTGTATTTTCAATGGATTGGAGGAGTTGCTTGCAATAACCCGAAACTCTGTTTGGTGTAGCATGTTTTAAAGCCTCTCCTAATTCGATTAAATTAACAAGATAGAAATTGATTGGTGTAGAGTTTCGTGTTCTTGCCATTTTTTTTGATTGTAATTGTTGGTCAACCTGAAATATTAGTATTAAAAAATTAGTTAATTTCAATTTAATTTCAAAGAAGAAATCATTATTTTTGCTGCCTTATTAAAACTCCGTTAACACTCAATTTTTCCAAACTCACCAATGAAGTACAATTTTCAAGCAATTTCAAAGCAACTTCAGTAGCTTCATTACCTCTATAGATCAGCTTCTTTAAATTTGGAAATAATTGATCCATAACAGGTTTAAAGAGCAGTGAAAAGTAAATTAGTTCTAAAGTTTCCAATGAGTATAAACATTCGGCTGAAAAATATTCTGAGAAATCGAATGGAGGATGATACCAATTTAAGGGTCTTTGAAGAGAAAGACTCTTGAGATTCTTACAATATTTGGTAATTAGTGCTAGGTTTTGAATATTTGACATTATTTTCAGTTCCTTGATTAGGCAATTTGGATTAGGTTCGTCTAGTTTCGTATCGGTATTGGATTCTTTCACAGTAATAGACTTTAGTTCCAAATACTTTAAATTAGGAAACCTTGATGAAACTAATTGTGAAAGGAATGATTTGGTTACTTCACAATCTTCCAAAACAAGCCTTTCCAATACAGGTAATTGTAATTCTACTGAGAAGAATGTCATGTAGCTCAATTTCACACGTTTCAAAAGTGGACACTTTGCCATCAAATTACAAACAATATTCCTGTCATTGAAATTAATTAGGTTTCTTCCAGTTACTTCAAGATTGGCGAGTTTAGATAACTTGACATTGTCCCATTCATTATTGGTAGTAGATAATGCTAACAATTCCAAACTCTCCAAATTCGAAACCATTTGCGAGGAGAGCATTTTCTCCACACATCCTGAAAAGAATGAATTGAGAACTAACTTTTTAGGTTTCAGCCTCTTGGTAGAACACAATTGGGAAATACTTTGAACGCCCAAATCAGTCAAAGATAAATTCTCAAGACCTTTCAAACGTTTCGTCTTGCACAAGACCTTAATAGAATCAAGGGAAGGTTTGTTAATATCCAATGAAGTTATACGATTAGCAAACTTGAAATTCTTCATGCTTCTAATCAGGTAGCTCTTCTTCTTTGAGAGGGTTCCATAGAGTGATGTCTTGCTCAAACTCTCTCTCCAAATCTTGGACACGTATTGGCAAGTACAGAGAATCATTTTAGAATCGAGGAATTGGTAAATGTAAGAGATTGTGTCTGTATTTAATCGCTCCGAGGCAAGTTTCTTTCTTAAAACTCCCAAATGACCCAAGAATAGATGAATATTATCCACAAATTCATCGACCATATCACAATGATTCAACATGTACGAATAGTCGACACTGAGGAGTTTGCTATTGAGGGTAATGAGGCCAGAGTTCACTTTTGTCATATAATCAAAAACTTGGTGCTCAATGGATTTTTCTTCACGGCGGTCTTCATAGAGCATAAATTCATCAGTATCCACTTCGATAACATCAAGTGGTTCTTGTGCAATATTGTCGTACTTTCTCTTCTTGATTTGTTGTTTGTGTTGAGACATTTTTTCTCTGGTTTAAATTTCTGTTGAATAATCATCGTGATGGTTTTATTGCCCTTTCGATTGCTTTACATCTTCCATGATAAGGTGGATTTATAGGGCCTTAGTGGAAATTGTAAATTCTATCAAAGCATCTACCTAAGAACAAAGAAGGACAATGTGAAACTAATTCACCACCTCTCACAAAAGATTAGGATTTAAAAAGATAGGTAATCTCTTCTTGGATATTAGCTTGTCCATACTCCAAATCTCTTCATAGTTGGTACCATCACTCGTTGAGATGATACCTCTTCCGTGCTTTTTAGAATAGTCCCACTTTCCCTTAAAGCAACCACCATTGGCAAAGTAATAAATTCCCTCACCATGTTTCTTATCTTGTTTCCAATTTCCCTCATAGACATCACCATTCTTATAACTGTACACTCCATATCCTTCCTTAACATCATTCACAATGCTGCCTTCATATATTCCGTTGGAGAGAATGATTTTAGCTTGGCCAAACTTTCTGTCTCTTTCCCATGTTCCTTCATAGACAGTTACTCCATCACTATAGTACAGCGCTCCAAGACCATGTCTTTTACCTTCAATGAATTCACCCTCATAAACTGATTGGTCCTTGAAAATATATCTTCCTTTTCCATGAGGAAAGTTATTGGAGAATTCTCCCTCATAAGACTCGCTATTACTGTACAGTAGGACTCCACTTCCTTCCTTCTTGTCATCTCTCCATTCACCTTTATATTTGTTGGAGGAGGTTTTTAAAACACCCTTTCCATGTTTCATTCCATTGACAAAAGTTCCTTTGTACATGGAGCCATCTTTGAAGATTTGACTACCTGCACCATTGGCTTTTCCATCTACAAAGTTGCATGTCACTACATTTCCATTGTAGCCAGTTAATGTTCCTGCACCATTTGGAATAAAATCGAAATGTTGACCAGTGTAAATTCCTTCTCCTTCAATTTCAAATGAATCAGTGTTATCATAGGATGGATCGTTCTTAAGGGCTGATTTGTTCAAACTGCTTCGAGAAGTATTTAGTGCTGAACGATGGTTTTCAATCTTTTCAAGAATTGGATCAGATCCCCTATCGAGTGGAACTTCTTCTGAGAAAGGTGCTTCAAGACCAGGCAAATCTCCCTCATCAATCTCCTCAACAATCAACTTTTGGAGTGGTATTTGAGGTGAATATTTACACCAAAAATCATCATTTGTAAATGGTACACTGGATTCTTTCAACATTCCATTCAGATCATCAACGTGCTTTCTCGTTTTTTCTATCTGCTTGTTGATACCGTCAATGTCAGATTCATTTAGGAGTGTGGAATTGTTTCCCTTTTCGAGGGTAGGCATTGGAGTGACCATGATGGTATCGTGGGGTTGGTTGTGGTAATCAATCTTGTAATTAATATATGCTTGATGAGTTGGTGAATTAGGGTTATATTGAGAGAACATGGCAGCAATACTATTATTAAGAGTCCTCTTTTCTGAGCTTTTAGCTGTCTTTGCTGGTTTGGTTTCACAAAGGAAGGAGTGGCCATGAGTGGAGAGAGCTTGTCAACTCCAATTGGAGATACATTTGGGAATAAATGGGAAGGAGTTGAGAGAATATTTTTCATGATAGCTAGGGGAGTTGGAGGTTCGAATGTATCTGCAGCTTCATTAATTTCAATTGGAGAAAGCTCGTCCTCTATTGATTTTGAATTTGAACCACCTCCTGCAAATTTATAAACAACAAAGAAGGGAATGCTTATTCCTCTATTTAACAGAATTGAATAAGGTGAAACGATAAATCCAATTATTAAATCCCAAAACTTACCCTTCTCCAAAAAATTCAATTTCAATCAAATGTGATACAGTCATCATTTTGGTCAATCCTCTTGTTGACTCTGAAATGTCACTCGGAAGAATGACTTGAATTGTCTTGCTGACTTCGTCTTCAGTGTGGCAATCTGTCAGAGTATGGAACACAATGACATTATTGTCTTGCTCCTTAAAGTCATCCAATAATGATCGATAGGAAGTTCTCTCCACTACCTTGATGATTATTTCTTTGGATTTCACATCTAAAGCACAATCTTTAATATCTAGTGTGAACTGAATCACATCCTCTGGTATAAATACATTTCTTGTGAGCTCAATGTTACATTGACACGAGCTGCTCTCGCCGTAACTATAGTTGATTGGTTGCATACTAGCCGTTTCCTTAATGTGTACTGTAAATGAAGAAATACAGCTCAAATACTGCTCTTCATAGTCACCATCCACATTTTGCAGCAAACACTGGACTGATGCATTGATTGTATAACTGATGGTTGCAAAGTTTTTCACAATCGATGGTTCAATATTATCTGGGAGAGTGAAAGAAAATTCCAACATGTGTGCTCCCCTATAAAAAATACTTCTTCCAAACCTAGTCTCAATTTGTGTAATGACATTTTCTTCAACAGATAATTGTGGATAGAATAAAGATTCCTTTCCCAAGAGGGTAATAATTGCCTGACTCATTTCCATTTTGATTGCATTTTTCAATTTCACATATCCTTTTACAGTTTCACCAGGTTTAAACTCTTTAGATTGTTTTTCGTATTGAATTGTAATTTCATAAGGTTGTGTTTCTGCAAAACTATTGTTAAACTTCTTTCTCTCCTCGGAATTCTTCTTCACCTTAATATTATTAGAGTGAGGAAGAATGTCAGGACTCGCCTCATAAGGAACTGCATACATAAGCTCGGAAGATTCCGACTCTGTTATCAATTCATCCTCTTCAGCAGCACTTTCCATCAACATTTCATCTACACTCTCTCCTAAACTAGAAGGCTCTGAAATTTCTTGCAACATGTCATTAGATTGACTTCGAAAACTAGTGGCATTCTTATATGGAGAGGAAGAGTCCAAAAACTCTTCGACTGGTTCAAGTATTTCAACTCTACTTGAGTCCAATTCCTTCTTCACTGCAGCTAAAGTGCGAGGAGAAACAATTGGAGAAGATTGAGGAAGGCCCTCTCCTGTTAATTGCTGTTTTTGGTTCTTTTTGAGGGTGAGAAAGTCTTGAAAGGAGACCATTGATGATGAATTATTTTCCTCAATAAGGCTCAAAGGTTTTATGGTAGAGATTGATACGGCTTCTTCTTCCTCATTGTATGATATTGGTTTTTCTGCAGTTTGTTCGACTGGTTGATCTTCCGAAATGGTTTGATTCGATAGTTGCTGTTCTTTCTCTGCTATTGTTAAATCTTCAACCTCAACCTCCTCATCAACATTTTGTGGAGTATTTATCAGAACGGAGGCTGCCAGTTCCTTTCTTGATGTTGTGGCCATGCTCGAAAGAGAAGGTGTCGAGTCGAGCGATGTCATTCGATGAGGTGATATTGGCAGAGACATTTTTTAAGGAATTTAAAAAACCGTTACATGTAAATGAGTGAGAGAATTGAAGTTGAAAATAAATAAGGATTGAAATTTAAACAGTTTTTTATTAATGTTTTGAATCGGAGGCGTTTGGTATAATTGTGTAATCTTTGTGAAAATTTTTGGGACTGTACAGTAAGATTTATTTACATTAATGTTGGGTCTTGATGCTCATAAGGGACTTGAATTGAGCATATTCGAGTTTGTTTCCTTCGTAGGAAATTCCATTTTCCTTTGCAATTTTAGGAACATCAAAATTCAAGTCAAATCTTTCACAGAAAGATCTCATTTCATTGATAGAGATGGTTCCAGTCTTGTTTGGATTACCTCCGAGAGCAATGAATGCATCCAAAATGTCTTCTTCATTGGCTTCATCATCCTTACTAGCACTATATCTTTGTAAAAGTTCCATAAATAAATAAAATTCAATCTTGTCTGGATTAAAAGAATCGGAATGTCTTGAAGAACTCAATTCATCATCATTACTATCCTTTCCAGCATTGTGAGCCTTGCTCAGAGCATCCAACAATTTTAAAATTTCATCCAAGGAAATTTCATACCCAAGTTCTTTTAAAAATCTAACAATGTCTCGGAATTGTTCTATCACTTACCTATAAATGCTTCTTTAGCATCCTTAGCATCAATATATCCCAAATCATGATAATCATAGGATGTATAAACTTCTCTAATCCTTTCCACGTCTTGTTCAGTGTACATTTTTTTCAGTGTTGTTTGTTTTCATGTTGTAGTTTGGCGAGTAAATTGATTTGGGAATTGGCGGGAAATTTAGGAATGAGATGTTGTTAGGTTTATTTTAACAATTCTTATTTCCTTCCATTCAAAGCAATACCAACAAACTGATAGCAAGTCAATATGATTATTATTGGACTCTAATTTTTTTACTCAAACACCTTTATTGTGGTCTTGTAATCTCAAACTGCATCATTCTATAGATTTATGCGCATTACAAAATATTTACTTGGAACATAGAGTTCCATAACAATACATCGTTACCAAACCATTCACATGACACACGTCAAAATTTGAATAACTAATTCTCTAAACAGCCAAAAAATATGTCAACACAACATCACTTTCCACATCAACACATTGTTGCAATGACATCTTCTCGGCAATACTCTCAAAGACACAAACCACTTCTTATCTTCTCCCTCATCTGTCTTATCCTATACGCAACAAGCCTTCAACCCCATCATCTCATCTCGGCACAACTTGCACGCTGTTCACCACTGATAAAAAATGGCGCCAACGCTGAGGATGCATTCTTCAGCTATTCTTATGCGAGTAGTGATTTTAATTTGACTTCATCTTCTGCGTCATCAGTTTCGAGTGCTGGAGAGTTTACTCACTATGTGGATACGCAAACGTATGTGAGTGGAGTTTCATCCAAGTGGAGACAATTTGATGGAAATATGTTTTATGTTCTTGGTGTGGTGAATGTAGATGGAACAGTGGTAAATTCGGGAGGTGAAACTCTTCAAGAGGTGTTGAGTAGGAAGAAATCTGATGAGAGTGTTTCATTGTTGGATGTTGTTCCTTTTATTAGAAAATCAACATTTGCTATTAGCAGGAATACTGGTGACTATTCCATTAGTATGTACAAGATGTATTTTGGACAAGGAAATGAAGCTAGGGATAATTTGACATCTGTGACTACTAGTAGCTCATCATTTGCTGGATTGAATGGTTATGACGCAAGTGGTAATTTAATGACCATGATGAATGTGAAAAGTTTCAATGCAACTTCTTCAGTTTCTTTGGACCTTGAGTTTGGATACTATTCATCTAAATTGGAAACTGTGTTTATTTTCACTTTGGGAGCCAGAGCTTACAATTCTTCTGGTTTCTCCTTGTACAATAGTAATTACAATATTAGATTGGATGGCTCAGCTATTGAGAGTATTCGAAAGTCATCAAGCGAGCAGCTAGTTCTCTCTTTCTATGTGAGTGATGCCAGCTATACAGGTTTATTTTCTTCTCTTGAGTATACTACAAAGGCACAGATCTACCCATTTCCCACCACAGTTAGTGGCTTTAGTTATCAATTTGTGAAATTTAACATTTCTGATACTTCCAAAGTCACATGTTCAAACTATCCTAGAAGTGTTCTGTATTCTTCCTTCTTGAACACTACACTTGCTATTGATTGGATCCTATTCGGATTGGTAGTCCTATTGACTCCTCTCTTTTTAATTTTCAGAAACGAACAACCACTCAAGAGTCGTTTAATTGTTCCCTACCTAGGTATTGTCTTTTTACTGATTTTATTTATTGGAGTTCAATATTCGATAGATAGTACTAGGCCATCAGAAATTAAGAGCATCATCAGTGTTTCATTCTTTATAATGTCTTTGTTTGCATTTATTTTCCAAGCTTTTCGTTATTATTATTTAAGATATCTCTATTCTAAGGTATGTGGTAAATCAATCTTTTTGGGAAAAGCTAACCCAAAATGAACTATATAGACTGACATTAGTGTGAAACAATCCAGAATTAAGAAATTCCTTTCCTCCAAGACTGTTTTTGTAATAGCACTAGTTGTTTCAATGGTTTTAGGTATCATTTATCTTGTTGTAGTCTTATCAGTTGCCTTGACCTCAACTAGTGTAAGCACGAATGGAGTAAAGGAAGATGTAGAAGTGGAATATTATACAAGAATAGCAATCCCTGCCTTTACAGTTCTTATTTTAATTTCTTGCCTCCTTATTGATATTTTGCTTAATATCAAATCATTCTTTGGTAATATTGGAAGATTCCTCTTCTTTGAGGATCCTCTATTTTTCAGATCTGAACTTTTGCTTGTCATTCCAACATGTATCTTTTACGTGATAGAGTTTGTACTCAATTCTGGTAAGTAATTATTTTCCAATATACATTAACAACTTGTAGAAACTCGTCCATATATTGATGGATCGCTCACAACTTTCCTCATTCCAAAGAACATTCATGAAATTAGAACAATGATTGGATTTTTTGGAATTTTCCGTTTCCTCAATCTATTCTGCTTTGTTCTCTTTTTTGGTGAGGCTCTCGTGCTAGCTGTTACCATTACACGAGTCATTAGGAGAAATTACAAGCGAGGCAAAAAGGGATTATCTCTTTTACAACCACACAATAGTCCTCTAGGAATGTTCAGATCTAAATCAAGTTCTGAAGATGATATAATTGAGAACTTTGTATCAAAGGATGATGGACACAAGCTTTTAGAAGAATTTTCCAGAAATGAGTTTTCAATTGAGAATATTTTACTCTATGATATTTTACACCAGTTCCCTAATGAGAAGAATGATGAAAACAGAAGGAAAATTCTCTTGGATATTTATCTGAAATTCATCATGTCAAACTCTGAGTTTGAAATTAATCTTTCATCTTCAACTCGTAAGGAATATTCCCAACTTATTGAAGATTTACAGGATAACAAACCACTGCAACCAGATGAACTGATTCAAACCCTCAAGATTGAGGTTATTCAAAACATGGCAGATACATTCAGTCGTCTGGAAATGTCTCCAGAATACAGTTCACTTCTTTCTAAATGGGAAACTGAAAAGGCAACAGCCCTTAAAATATAGAGAATTCATTGATATTCAAAGTTATCAAAACTCTTTTATGTACACCACTAGACATTTTCTTCTCGAAAGGAAATTGTATCATTAGTTATCACTATTAAGTTTTAGGAAACTTGTTTAGTAATATTTAATCCTTACCTGAAAGAAGTTTTTATTTGTCCGCCTCTTGCGTTTTCGTTGTTATTAATTAGAATTAAAATTGGATAATGTGCCTTATTAACATCCAAGAATGTAACTTCAACTGAGAATTTATCAATACTTTAAAGATGCATTAATATTAGACCGTTCTCTAGACCTTTCGTACGTACTTTCTACAAAGACATCCAAGAAAATCACTACTCAATATCCAAATTATCATCCAAATTACTCCACCCTCAATTGTATTTAAATTCGCCTCAATCATGCAATAATTTTCTGACTTGAAAAAATCAAAATGTCTGCCACTTTCGAATCAACAACAAGCAAACTCTTCACACCACTCACATTGGGAACTGACAAAATTCCAGCCAGTCAGAGAATTACTTTGTCCCATCGAATTGTGATGGCTCCACTCACTCGTTGCAGAGCAGTGGATGTAAGTATTATCAACAATTTTCATCTTTAACTGTTAAACACAAATATTAGGGAGATTGTGAACAAACAGAACATGCAATTACTTACTACTCTCAACGTGCCACACCAGGTGGTTTAATCATTGCTGAAGCTTCACAAATTACTCCACAAGGACAAGGATATCCATGTTCTCCAGGTTGTTATTCTGAAGCTCAGGTTAAAGCTTGGAAAAAGGTGACAGATGCTGTCCATCAAAAGGGAGGTGTCATCTTTTTGCAATTGTGGCATGTTGGTAGACAACGTTATGCTGACAATGTATCCTCTTCTGCAGTTCCAATTCAAAATGAAACATCTACAAATTTGAAAACCAGAGAACAACAATTGCCAACTACTCCAAAGGCATTGTCCATTGAGGAAATCAAGGTCATTATGGGACAATATAAGCAAGCTGCTAGAAATGCTAAATTGGCTGGATTTGATGGAGTAGAATTGCATGCTGCTAATGGTTATCTAGTTGACCAATTTTTACAAAATGGAGTTAATAAGAGAACTGATGAATATGGTGGTTCCATTGAAAATAGATTGAGATTTATGCGTGAAGCTATTTCAGCATGTATTGAAGGATTTGATAATCAATCTGATCGTGTTGGAATTCGTTTGAGTCCAAGTGGATGTTTCTTGGAAATTAGTGATTCAGATCCAAAACCTCTCTTTGAGGCAGCTGTCAAGGCATTGGATGAATATGATTTGGCATATATTCACCTTGTAGAACCAAGAATATCAGGTGGAGCAAATTCAGATGATGGCCAAGCTGAATCCAAACCTGTGGTTGTAACCAAGGAATTGAACCCATTGACAAGATCTCCAATTATTTCAGCTGGTGGTTTTACTCCAGCCACAGCAAAGAGTACCACAGAAGAGGGTGCCACAGATATGATTGCTTTTGGAAGACACTTTATTTCTAATCCTGATTTGGTTGAAAGAATTAGAAATGGTCATCCACTTAATCATTATGATAGAAGTACTTTCTATGGTTCCAAAGATGTTGTTACTGGTTATACCGATTATCCAACTTTTCAATAATTATCATTTCACGGATTATTTAATTTCCTCTTTTTTAATTAATAAATTATCATATGAGATTGTAATTGAGTTCTGGAATGACACTAATATAGTATTTCTACAAAATAATGGTTGTATTGTTGTTCAACTTTGACATCCTTACTTAAGGTAATCTGTCATAAACTTGAGACCTTCTTCGTTAGCCTTATTTCTTTGCCTATGTCTTCCAGTATTGTTTATTGGTTTATGGTTATAAATACTATTCTTCTTAATTAAAAATGCTAAATGATCCGATGAGACGGAATCGAACCGCCGACCACAGGATGACAGTGTTCCTTGCTACAGTCCCATGCTCTACCAGCTGAGCTATCATCGGTACATTAATGATCATTAAGGTCTATTCCACTATGTGTAATAAAGCATTATTGATGTGGATTGATGACCATTTTCATCTATAATACAACCAAACAGGTGGTGTCGCATCGACAGAATAATTTCGATTTATTTCTCTAGAATAAAGTGATGCTTCCAAAATGATTACAAAATTTAAAAATTAGTTTAAATTTAATATTTTTAATATCAAAAAAATGTCAGCAAATGAACACAGGGAAGATTTTGATTATTTGGAAGCCATGAAGGAATTGGAAGAATTTAAAAGAGATCTGGGCGAAAATCAACGTATTATTAAAATGAATAAAGAATTGGATGAACAAATTGCAAATCTAGAGAATAATAAAGTTTCTCTTTCTGATATGGATGCGGAAACTAAAATGAAACATATAAAGGCTGTTTTTGGAGAGCAAGCTGGAGATTTTCTTAAATATTTAGGGGAAGTGAATGATTCTAATGCTAGAGTGGAAGTAATTGCTGAGAGTATTAATAAATCAATGCGTGATGATGATATGATTGATGATAAATAAATTGAGAAATAGTTTGGAATATTCTAGAAAGATTATCACAATTTTATGTGGAATTACAAACATGAACATTTCTTAGATTCCTCTGGAATCACTGGAAATGGTTGGAAATAGAGAGAATTAACTTGTTCTTGAGAGAGTTGGAATGAATAACCCTCACCTGCAATAAGTTTAACATTAACTTCATTGGTTGGAGAGGAAGCAGAAAGGGAATAAAGACCAAATTTACCATTTTCAAATTCATATGAAATACCATCATCCAAATAGAGAGAACCAGAGCATGTGCCATTTCCATAGGTTTCATAAACTATTGGGGATGTGAAATTGTCATAGACTGACTGTTTGCTTTCAGCTCTCATTGGAATAATAGAACCAGACTTGACAAGCATAACCATCTTGGAGAGAGTAATGTCAGTAAATTCTACGACTTGGCCTCCTTCATAGTGGGTTTTGTTGGTAAAATCAAACCATCCTCCTTCATGGTTTGGCAAGTAGACTCTTCTACTTGTTGATTGACTTTGTAAAATAGGAGCTATCAAAATGGAATCACCAAACAATAATTGAGTATTTTCAAATTCTTCATTGTAGCATTCCTTTTCATGTGGGAAGTCCAACCATATTGGTCTAAGGAGTGGTTGATATGATTGTTTCTTATCGGTGGAGCGTTGAATTTGAGTGTAAATGTATGGAATCAATCGGTAACGAAGTTTGATAAAGTGTTGACATGCCTTTTCGCATTCCAAACCAAAGGCCCAAGGATTTTGCTCTAAAGTGTCCTTCATAGAGTGGCTTCTAAAGAATGGATAGCAAACTGCCGCCATTCCAATCCATCTTGCATAAAGCTCTGGATTACAATCAGAAACGAAACCTCCAACGTCAGCTCCAACCATAACTTGACCTACAAGGGACATGTTCAAAAGCATGGCAATACTCAATTTCATATCCTCAAATGTAGAATTGTTATCTCCTGTCCAAGACCAGGCATACTTTTGAATGCCACTGTATCCACTTCTTGTCAATAAGAATGGTCTGGTATTTGGTTGTAATCTTCTCAAACCTTCATGAGAAGCACGAGCCATTAAATGTCCATAAGCATTGTGAACAAATCTGTGGGCTAGTTTGATTGTCTTGCCACTTTTTTGGGATAATTCATGTTCCACTGCCAATGTAAATGTCTTGGATGTTCCATCATTGAATACAGCTGGTTCATTCCTATGAATTTAAATTTGTTAACAAAAGGGAGTAATTAAAACTTACATATCATTCCAAAATGCCTGAATTCCATTATCCATCAAATTTTGGTAATACTTTCCCCACCACAATCTCACTCTTTCATTGTAGTAATCTGGAAATTCACATCTATTAGGCCAAACTCTTTCCACATATTCCTCACCAGAAAGTTTACACCAGACATTTTCTTCAGAACCTTCTTTATAGACCTTATATGCCATTGGATTGTTTTCTGCCTTGCTGATACCTGGATCAATAATAGAAACGAAACGTTGTCTATTATTGAGCAGTAAATGATTTGCCAGTCCAATAGGATTTGGGAATTCAGTTTTGGAAATTGTAAAACACTCAAAATTATTCATATAATCAATGTCCAAATAAAAAACATCACATGGAACATCATGTTGAATGAATCCATCACTAATTTCTCTGACCTTTGATTCTGGATAGTAGCTCCATCTACATTGTTGGAAACCGAGAGCGTACTGTGGTGGGAGAGAAGTTCTTCCCGTCAATTCATCAGTGAAGGACTGAACGAGAGCAAGTGGGCTTTCTCCGACTATTAAATAAACTGGAAGTGCACCATATCTTTCAACTGAAATCTTGATATTTTCAGAGGTGGTAAGATCCCACTCTTGCTTGCTAGTAGCATCAACAAAGATTGCATGACTCAATTGTTGAGAATTTCCAGAGCAAAACATCAAGAATGGACATGATTGATACAATGGATCAGAATTGAATGAATATCCAAAGTGATCGTAGTTCCAAAACTTCCACTTTCTTCCATCCTTTGACAAATTTCCAGACTTTTCTCCAAACCCATAACATTTGGTATGTTCTTGTGAAAATTCAATTAAAGTTTCATAACATTCTTGATCTTCCCATGTATATGATGAATCTTCCTTGAAATATTTGGAGGTAGGATTCAGATTTTGAACTGGAATTTTATGAGTTTCATGTTTATGAGTGAGTTTGAAACCTCTCTGTAACACATGATCATCACTCACCTGAATTAAATCAAATGTAAAGTTTTCATAAACTCTCAAAAGGGTCTTTCCATTAGAACTAGACAAATCCCATGAATGTTGATCATCATTTTGAACAATAGACAGTACGAGTGCTTGTTCAATCAAGTTAGTTTCATGCTCAACAGCAAATGATTCCAAAGTTTCATGACTATTAGTTGTTAATAATAGTTTTGTTAAATAGTAAATATTAGAAATTTAGTTATGATAATCGTTGATATGGTGGTTAAAAGACTCACCTTTCCTTCGGATCAGAGATGTCCAATCTCCACATATGATCGGAAAGAGCTCTAACACTGATTTTTACCTCTGGGTGAGAATCCACTGAAGAAAGAATAGCAACACGGCCTTCATCAACACTTTCACATTTGATTTTGTTTGCTGACATTTTTTTGATTGTGTCATGTTGTAATCACCAGCTCTAAAAGGTATCGAAAAAATCATAATCATCCAAATCCATTTCCCATTCATTAGTAGTACTATCCACACAGACATCCAAAGGAAAATCATACTGCATAATAATAAGTTTCGGAAAGTGGTTAAAGAGACTTCTAACATCATCGAATGTAACATCATTTCCAATCAAGGTAAGTGATATCAGTGAGTGAGCAAAGAGACCCTTTGAAAGTTTTAACACTCCCTGATTACTCACAGAATTGAATCCAAGATCTAAATCTTCCAAATTTGAAAAATTAGTGTGAGCTAAATAAGTTGCACCTTCATCTGAAATATTATTGAAATTAAGATTGAGTTTTTTCAAATTCCAAAACTTTCTATTCATACACAAACATTTCACAACAGAATCTCCCAACCTATTTCTACTCACATTCAAATTCTTCAATTCTGACCCTTTGAATCCATTCAGAAAGTTTTCTAATACCTTACCAGTACAATCATTATATGACAAATCCAAATCTACCAATTTCTCTAAACTTATCAATGTTTCAAGACCTCTATCTCTCATTGTACAATCATGCAATTTTAAGCTAGTTAATCCTTTCAAATAAGCTATAACCTTACAGCCTTCTGAATCAACATTTTGGTTACTCAAAGCCAAAATACGCAGAGATGAAAAGGCAGCTAATTGCTTAAAGCCTTCGGAGGAGATACTAGAATCTCTAAGTTTGAGTGATTGTATTCTAGGAAATTGAGTCATCTTCTTCAGATCCTTATCAATGACAAATTCAATAGGGAAGGAGAAGAAGAAGATTGCTCCTCGTACCATTTGATTCCATCTTTTACAAATTAAATAACATTTACTAACGAGAATGTATCCGTCCAAATAGGAAAATATATGTTCGGTGAAAATTTCGTCAGGAAGGCTTTGTATTTCCATTTTTTTTAAATATTAATAAAATTACATATTTAAACAATTATACGTAATAGTTAATATTAAATATATTAAAAACACAATTAAAAAAAATGTCGAAACAAGGTGGAATGACACGATCTTCCCTCCAACAACAAGGAAATAGAACCAAAAAATCTAAAAAACCAATCAAGAAAGAATCCATCTCCGATCTTAGAAAGAACATTCTCGGATCAAAATATGACGATGAAGAAGAAGATTTATCCAGTGGTGCTGCTGATTTCTTCAACGTCTTTTCTCCTATTGAAGCACAGGCTGCCTCTCATAACGTAAAGAAAACAATTAGGAATAATCAATCACCACTTTCATCGGCTAATCGTCGAGTCACTAAACATGACAGTGATGATGAATCTTATTTGAAAATTAGACAAGACAGGGATTTAGTTCCAGTCACTTATGAACCTGTGGTTAAGAGGGATTTAAGTAAATTATTTGGAAAAATTAGGATAAAAGAGGAGGAAAGAAGGAGAATGGAGGAACAAGAAAACTTTTTCTTCACTGATGATTCTACTTTGCAAAATAATGCAGAGGATGAAAATCTATTGAGTACTAATCATGGTGATATTGAAATGCCAGAGAAGACGGAAGAGGATGAGTGGGTTGACTTGTTGGAATATTGTAAAAAACAACTATCGGATATTAAAGTTGGTGTTTTCAAACTCAAGTCACTCCATCAACAACATGTAAAATTCACTGTACAAAAGAATTTCCAAGCAGAGGAACAGGAAATTAAAATTCAAACAGACTATGTAAAACAATTAATTGCCCAATCAAAGAAGAGTATTGATAAATTTGACTCGTATGCAAAAGTGGCTAGACGTAGGAAAAAGACACAATTCGAAACGCTTGTAAATAATGCTAAAAAATCACTACTCACTGATTTGAGTAATTTATCTACTGACTTACAGCATGAACAAAGATCATTTTTGGATAAGCTTACCCAACTAAAAACTAAACGAAAAGAGCTACAAAGAATACATCAAAATGAACAAGTTGAGGAATTTTCTAAAGAGGAATTGGAGAGAATGGAAGCAATAGAGCAAAGATTTTACGAACCTAATGTATCAGAGGAGCAAATGCATGATTTAATGTTGAGAGAACGTGAAATTATCAAAAGAGATCAGGAATTGAGGTTTGTTTCAAATATTTGTAATATAATTCTTCTAACTTTATAACAGAGAGGTTCTTCAATCCATTGTAGAGTTGCATGAAATGTTTCAACAAATATCATCACTCATTATTGAACAAGGAAGTCTTCTCGATAGAGTTGACCACAATATTGAACTCACTTTCGAGAATGTCAAATCTGGAACAGACAATCTCATTATTGCAGAAAGAGCACAATCTCAAGGTGGAGGATGTATGGTATGCCTCATTATTGGTCTATCTTGTGTAGTTGTTTTTCTTTCCTTCCTTCTCATCATCAAATTAAGGTTTGTTTCATGTAGTAATCTAACTATTCATATTTAACAATCTATAGTCTTTTGAGAATATAATTCTACTGATGATTTTGTATAAAATATCTATTGTAGATTGATTTTAACTTTTCTAGAGCATTTTCAGCATCCTCTGAAGAACTAGAATAGGAAGAGCTTGAATAATGCTCTGGAGAGGAAGGATTTGATCTATCATTAGGGTTAATATATTGATATAAGGTTTTTGGAGATTGTGAGTTCACTTGGATGGCTTGGTTGGTGTAGGAAGGAGCTTCTTGAATTTTAAACCTTTCCTTCTCAGTTATTGTTGGTTGCTCTGCTTGGAGATTTTCAGTGGCATGTCCTTTTGAATTTTTAAGGTAAACTTCAACTTTTTCAATCTTATTTGTTGCACCAATAATTTTGAAAGCAATCTCATCATCTCCACCTAGTGTGGTTAAACTATCATCAAGTTGTTGAGCCTCCTCTGATATTAGTGGTTTTGATTGCACATTTTCAATAATCATACTTGTCTGACAAGATTTTGTTTCCACATCTCTTTGTGCACTATAATAATTAGGAGCATTAATAATTATTTCCTCAAAGCTAGTACTACCACTACTGCTGGTCAATAAGGATGAGCTCAAGTTTGGAGAAGGCTCAAGAGGAGTTCCGGGTAATGAAATACTTTCATCTTCCTCACAAGGAACTTCAACAATTTCTAGTGCTTTTGGTAGGACAATTTTGTGTTTCATTGAGCTAGTAGTAGTATTGGATGAGGAAGGAAGTTTTGAAGTGGAAGAGCTTCTTTTTGGTTTAGGAGTTGCCAGTGGAGTTGATTTTTTAGTTTCTACTGTTTTTGAGATTAGTTTTGGAGTGGGAGTTGTAGCACGCTTTGGCGTGATTGTCTTTTTTAATGATTTCTTCTCCTCCACTGTAGTAGATGATGAGATCGACTTGGTAGAAGATTTTAATGTTGATACCTTAACTGATTGAGGTCTTGGTTTCTTAGTACTTGAAGGTGGGATGGTAGTCTTTTTGTTGGATGTTTTTTTTGATTTTTTAACTTTTGGCTTGATGTTTTCCTTATTACTTTCTAATGAGGTGAAAGAAATATCCAAATTATTTCTTCTTCTCGTAGGTGATCCATAATTATTAAACAAGTACTTGTCAGAATAGTGCTCAAGCTTTCCGTACAATTCATCCGAGTTTGTGGTCATGGTAGATTCAGAACACAATGAGAGAAGATCATCAATAGTTCTTTGATTTTCATCAGCAACAGGTGCAATCGAGGAGATTGATGTATCCAAATATTTAGTTTGTTGACTCCTTGAATTGTTACTATTAACAGAGTCTTCGAACGAAGAATCTGATAATTGCCTCGTTGGTTTGCATTTGTACTTGTCTATATAATTCTTTAAAAGATCGAGAGTTGAATCCAAGTCACTCAGATGTGTTGTCGACTTGCTTGGAAGAGTTCCACATTTCGGCTGTGTAGATTGCTTAACACTCAAAGGACTCAGGCTACTGTCATCCGATACACTAAGATTTTTAACAGCAAAGGAGTGTAACTCTTTGGAAATCATATTCATCTCCTCCCATCTAGAAGATACTGAGGATGTACAAGAAGCTATTGATGAATTAAGGCTCTCTCTATTACCAACACCAATAATAGACAACGATGATGAACATGTTGATGATGGAGAGTAAGAACCAAGCCTAGATTGTTGAATGCATTTACTCATTTTTTTAAATTTGAATATTAAAAATTGGCGCCAACCAACAGTCACTTGCCTCAATCCATTGACTCTTGATAATGCGTGGTGGATCGCACTCTATTAAAGCTATTTCAAAATATCAATAACAATTAATTAGGCAATTTGAAGTAACTACAACTTTCTGCTTATTTTGAAAATTGTAAAATCATCTTGTTTTCCTCTCCTTGCTTGAATTTCCAGTTATCTACTTTCTCTCGTAAAATTCAAGTAAAAAAAATCGCAAAGATGTCTGAAAAGCCTGTTGTTGGAGACTATAGCGTCGAGTATTCCAAGTCGAACCGATCAACATGTAAATTAACCAACAAAACCATCAAGAAGGACGCGCTTCGTATTGGTAAAATTGTACAGTCGCAATCTTTTGATGGTACCTATCCGATATGGTACAATTTCGAAGGTAGGTTTTTAACTTGGTGATGATCATCAACATGTTATAATTGTTGCTTTTTTGATCGTACAATATCTTGTTTGGATCACTCTTTATTGCTTTTATGTATGATGATATTTGTGTGAATACCTATGTTGTATTATCTTTTATCTTGTGTGGAAAATTAAATCATTTGATGATGATGAATGTGGACGAAACAATCACCGATACAGATTGGGCAAAGGATAAGAAACTTGTTAAAGAATTCCAAACAAAATGCAAGAAGGTTCATGGTTTGTCCAAGATTCGTCTCGAAGATCAAGAACGTATCAAGAAATTGATGGGACAATCAAGTGATGATGCTAATGGTGCTAGTGATGATAATCTCTCCGAAGAACAAAAGCAAAAGAAGAAGGAATTTGAAGAGGAAAACAAAAAGATTTGGGAAATTAAAGACAAACTTAAGAAGTTAAAGTCTTTACCATTACTGAGATCAATGCTCTCAGAGAATGATCAAATTGAAAAGGGAGGTGAAGATTTATTAATTGATAGATGTGCTCTTGGATTATTGTTTGGTAACTTGCCTGCTTGTCCAAATGATGAATGTGAAGATGGATATATGACCTTCGCAGGTGGTGTATTTAAATGTAAGTAGTTTTTCACCATTTTCAAAATGTGGTGTTAAAATATCAAATTCTAATACATGTTATCTTCAGGTCATGGTAAATTACCTTGGGCAAAGTGTGACTACACATTATCTGTTGATGATGCATATGAAAAGGCAAAAGACTGGATTATTCCAGATGATATTGCCGAATCTAAACAATTTGAAGATTTTGAATTTAAAAAACACAAAAAATGTAACTTTGCTTTGGATACAACTGTTCGTGCACCTGTTGCCTCTTCAAGTGAAGAAAAGAAAGAGGAAGAAGAGGAAAAGGAAGAAATTGATCCAGAAAAGGAAAAATTACCACTTGGTAATTTCAAGATTGCTTGCTCTGGTAAATTGAGTATGAAACAAAGTGAATTGCAAGAAATTATTGAAGAAAATGGTGCTACATTCTTGAAAGATGTTTCAAGTGGTTGTACTCACTTGGTTTGCTCAGAAAGTGAATATGATAAGGAAACAACCAAAGTTAAAAAAGCCAAGAAACAAGGCGTTTTAATTGTTGATGAAGATTGGATTCACATGTCTGTTGAGAAGGAAAGAAAATTGACAGAAGATGAAACAAAGGAATATGTACATTACAATCCTCAAGATAAAAAGAGAAAAAAGGAAGAAACTGAAGAAGAAGAAGGTGAAGGACAAGCAGTTCCAAAGAAGAAGAAGGTAACCATTAAAGGAAGAGCTGCAGTTGATGAAGATTGTGAAGATGCTGATGTTTTACATGTCTATGAAAAGGGTGATGATATTTACTCTGTACATTTGAACTTGACAGATTTATCTACTGGTGCTAATTCTTACTATGTTGTTCAACTTTTGGAACATGATACTAGAAAGAATTATTATGTATTTAGAAAATGGGGTAGATTGAATACAAATATTGGTTCAAACAAACTCACTGAATATGGATCTGATTTATCATCTGCCAAATCAGAATTTGAAAATACTTATTATGACAAGACTGGTAATTATTGGTATGATAGACACAATTTCCAAAAGAGACCTGGTAAATTCTTACCAATTGATGTTGACTATGGTTCAGATGAAACTGATTTGGATAAGTTACAATCAGAAATGAAGAAGGATTATAAGGGTAAATTGCATCCAGAAATTGCCAACTTGGTCAAATTAATCTTTGACGTTCAAACAATGAAGCAAACATTGAAAGAAATTGAAATTGATACTGAAAAGTTACCTCTTGGTAAATTGAAAAAGTCACACATTTCAAAGGGTTATGAAGTGTTAACAGAAATTCAAAATCTCATTAAGAGTGTTCGTGAAAAGGAGAAGGAAGCAGGTGTATTTATGGAAGATGATCCACCAGCAACATCTTCAGTTGATACAACCACAACTGCCACTCCTTCATCATCAGTTGATGCCACTTCTGCTCCAGTTGATAGTTCAAGTGCTACTCCTTCTGCAACTCCTTCATCATCAGCTGATGTCGCTTCAAGTGCACCTGCTGCTGTTGTTGAAAAACCTAAGAAACCTAAAACTTCAATTCATCAACAATTCAAACAACAATTCCTCACCCTCTCCAACAAGTTCTATACCATCATTCCAACTTCAAATCCAGAAATCATTGATGATGAAGATGCTTTGAGTGCAAAGGTTAAGATGATTGAAGCTTTACAAGAAATGGAAATTGCCACCTCACTCTTGAAGAAGGATGACGAAAGTGAAGAAGATCCATTAGATGGATACTATAAGAAGTTAAAGACTCACCTCGAACCACTCGGCAAGGATAGTGACATGTTCAAGATGGTTGACACTTATTTGCAAAATACTCACGCCTCTACCCATCGTGAATTCTCACTTGAATTATTGGATGCCTTTGAAGTTGACCGTGAAGGAGAAGGTGAAAGATTTAAGAAGTATGAGGATTTACACAATCGTAGATTATTGTGGCACGGAAGTAGAGTTTCAAACTTTTGTGGTATCCTTTCTCAAGGTTTGAGAATTGCTCCTCCAGAAGCTCCAGTTACAGGGTAAGTCAACTTCGTTCAATATTCTTTTTTAACAATTTTTCTATCCATATTTGTTGTAACTATGTAACATTTTTATTATTTCAATTTTATAGTTATATGTGTAAGTAGTTTAATTATTTCACTCATTTGTTTAAAACTAAATTGTTAACAGTTGGTAAGGGTATTTACTTTGCTGACATGTCTTCCAAGTCTGCCAATTATTGTCGTACTAGTCCAGATCAAAGTACTGGTATTTTACTTTTGTGTGATGTTGCTTGTGGTAATTTATATGAACGTTTACAAGCTGACTATATTGAAAAGTTGCCGCGGGGTTATCACTGTTGTTTTGGTCATGGTAGAACTGAACCAAATAATACCATGTGTCAATATATCCTTGATGGTAAGGTTATGGTGCCACTTGGTACACCATCTGCCTCATTGTTGTACAATAGACATACCTCATTGTTGTACAATGAATTTATTGTCTATGATGTTGATCAAGTCCAGATTCGTTACTTGCTCAAAGTTAAATTCAATTATGACAGACGTTATTAAATTATTAATTTATTCATACAAGACTTTCACTATTGATCCTTAAACATTCACCAATATTTCATCCCACTAAACGACAACAACAGTACGGCTCATCATTACAAAAATTTTGGCTGGAAAATAAGCACAGCGCCTCAAGTCGTTTAATAAGAAATTGGCCAGAAAAATATTGTAGTGTTGAAAAAATTGTGCTTAATTGGATATTTATTTAACTGTATCCATACATCATATTGACAAAGTTATCAATATAGTATTCAGCTCCATTCAAAACTCTGCATGGTTCACATTCTAAATTGTTAGGAGTATTACACCAATAAACTCCAACCATTGGATAGACATTACCTCCTCCCCAATTCAATATTGGAAGAACAGCAGAACAAGTAAGGAAGAAACTGACTACTGTCTTGACACTACCATTGGTCATTGGTGGTTTCTTACATAATTTAACTAATCTCCACTTGTCCAAATATAATTCAAGAATTGAAGCAACCAAGGCAATCAATGTAATCATTGGGAAGCTAGCCATACCACTGTAAATAAGGTATTGTCTATAAATGACTTCCAAATATTCTTCAGAGACGTCAAAGTCAGGTCTAACACCTTCGTCACTGCCTTTGTTTCTTCTCTTTGAAATAAAGTATGAAACATATGGAACTACCAATTCAATAGCATTGAAAACTAAAAAGTCCAACAACATTTGGATTAAATACTGATTACCCAATGTACGAATAACACATGGAACGTTGAATAAACCCTTAGTAAAACCCATAAAGAAGACGTTGAAAAGTTTGAAAAATAAGTACTTGAAAGTATTGTGAGAACGATATCCTGACCATGTGTGATGCTTTTCAAAGTTGGTCAAACTGATACAAATCTTCTTCCACAAAAAATTGACCAAACCAATCACAACTGAAATGGCAATAGAAATCAAAGTCAAATAAAGGGTATTTTGAGAAAATACTGCATCAGCAGCTTCATAGATGGTTGTGAAATTTTGAAGAATTGTAAAACCAACTGTAATGGCACAGGAAATTAACATGAAGAGAATGAAGAGGGAATAACTGACAAAATATCTTCCCAATCTGTGCCATCTGGTTGTAGATAAATTTTCCTTAATAATATCTGCATCACGATCGAATGCTTCGGCAAGATCATGTTCTTCCATATCGTATACGTCACGTTTTTGGAAACTTCTTCTGACAATGAACCAATACAATGGTCCAAAACCTAGTGTGGCAACAATACATAATCTATAATAGAGTTCATATTAACAACTATTACATTAGAAAATACATACATGTTTGTCGCAACCCACAACCAATAAAGTTGTGGAGAATAACTGCTACCATATAAGATATCAATAAGACCACCATAGTTAGAGAATTCTCCCTTGAAAAAGTTTGAAAAAGTCTCAATATAAATAGAGTCAATAACAAGATGAGGAATAAAGTTGATTAATTGGAAAAATAGCAGTAGGGCATTCAAAATGATAATTAAACGACCAAAGTCAAAGTACAGTCTTACACCCAAACCAAAGTGGTCTTCAATTTCCTTCCATTTACAACAAAATCTCAAACGAATTGAACTAAATTCGTTTTGAACTCTATTAAGGTTAGATCACTCTTATTTGAAATTATTACATACTCTTTGATTTCATCCAATCCTAAACCTGTCTTTAACAAGTAAGGTTGACCTTTTGCAGTTCTCATAACTGTATACTTTTTGTGATGTTGTACATGTTCTTTGGCTTGATTTTTTCCAAGTTGGTCAGTACTTTCAACACGATTCATTTCTGATATTTCCTGTAACCTTTTCTTTTTACCTTGTGCAAAGACATTCAAGCCAAAAAAGCCAGATTCCCATAAACTTTCCTGATTATCATGCTTGGCATTGCAAATGAATTGAGTACCATAAATATCAGTCATATCCTCATCATTCTTCTTTGTAAAGGTTGTTTTTGAGGTGAGTGCAATATCATTCACACTCATTTGACTAGATTGACGGTTAGCTCCTTCCGAAGGGGCTTTAGGACCTGATTCGATATATCCTGGAGGATATTCATGGGTAGGGTGTTGTTGTCGAGTTACATCTTCTGTTATTGGTGGTGGTACTGTTGTATTATCATTATTATTAGTATTTTGTTGTAATTCATACTCTTGTGAATGGTGATGATGAGAAGGTTGTACATTATAATTTGGAAGATAACTTGGAACTTGGGCATTGTTTGTGAGTGGAGGATCATTCGAAGGATAATAAACATTGGTATTATATGATGTTGTATTGGGAACATAGATATTTTGTTGTTGTGTCCCTGGCATGTAGCTGATATTGTACATTACATTTGGATCTTGTGGTTGATAACCACCTGGTTGTTGTGGTGGATACTGATTGTATGGATCCATTGTGTTGTTGCTCTATTCTCTCGAAATTATTATTTCTATTATTATTATTATTTAATGTATTATGTTGATGATGTTGTTGTATTGAACCAATATCAAAAAGGATGATGAACTTTTTCCGACGATCAGAGAGCTATTTCCTCTTCCTTATCTTCTTTTCAATTATTGTTTTAAAAGTAGTCGAAGAAAAAGAGTCTCTGATGATGATGATTTGAATCAATGTAAATCGGTGAAGTGGATGATGAAAATCTACAATTACGAAAAAAAGAAGCGGCAAATGAAATTCGCTGTTTTGATTTTTTTTTAAAATTGTTGATGAAGTTTTTTCAACGATAAAACAAAGCGAAAAGGAAGAGGAATGAACTTTTGGATTCTAATTAGAGGAATCGGATATTGAATAGTTGAAATTTAATACTCTACTGACAAGCACAATAGATGGCTTTCAACACTTTCAATTCTGGGTTTCTGATCTAATTGAGAATTATTATTGAACCTACCTAAATTGATGGAAAACAGCACTTCACAACTCAAAACAAGGTCTCTATAAGATTATCACACTCGATGGTATTTTATTGTTTGGTGATGGATATTCATCGTTGTTGCATTGGTCTAATGTTTACGAATCACCAATCAAGTTGATTGGATCGAACCACCAGCATTGATCAAGATAGAAGAACTGTTCCAGTAGGTTTTTATAATTGTTTATAATAATTTGTTACTTTAAAAGTGGTCGACAACAGTTTGGTGCTATTTTGCTAAGAATTTTATTGTGGATGGAATTTGGGTTGTTATTCTGGAGTTGGTGGAAAGATTGATACCTCAATCGATAGAAAAACATTGACTTTCACCTTTTCGAATACTTTGAGTGGTTCATTCAAATATTCCATTCAATCCTAACAGGAATTATCAATTCAAACAGCAACAATTCAAGTGAAGAGAATTATTCCATCCCCTGTAAAATCTTCTTCAACACCAGTCAATCCAAAGACTTCAGGATCTACTGGTATTAAGAAGGCTGTCTCATCATCTCCACAACTCTTTTGTATATTCATGGTTACTGCTATTATGACTCTTTTCTCTGTATTATTGTAATTTCAATAAAGTGTACAAAATTTAAAGTTTTAAATAGTTGTAAAATTAATTAATAAAAAATGTCTTCAACAACAGAAAGCAAGTACAGAAATCCATCACTCACAGTTGATGCGATCGTTCCGATCAAAACAAATGAAGGGTTTCAAGTTTGTTTAATTACCAGAGGAAGAGATCCTCACAAAGGATCTTTGGCATTTCCTGGTGGCTTTGTTGATTATATGGAAGATCCGGAAGTTGCTGTTATTAGAGAACTTGATGAAGGTTTGTTATTCTAGAAATTCTCCTTTTAATCATGATAATTAATTAATTATTTAATTATTTAATTATTAAATAATTATATTTAATGATGATTAGAAACACACTTGAAAGGAACACAAATTAAATTAATTTGCGTAGCAGGAAAACCAAATCGTGACCCAAGAAGACATACCGTCTCTATAGTTTATGCTATTAAATTAGATGGTCCTAATGCCTTATTCTCCCTGCAGGCTGATGACGACGCTCAAAATGTGGGCTTTTTCAAGATGAATGAATTGATTTCAAAGGCTCATCCATTAGCTTTTGATCATCAGGAAATATTTGAAAAGTTTAGTGAATGGTTCGAAAAGGAGGGAATTACTGAAAATTTCTACTATACCTTGAGTAAGGAAGAAGAGGAACATTTGAATAAGAAATAATGATGATTTTTGACAATAATCTACAGATTCATGTGAATCTTGCCTGATGAAAATCAGTATATGGTGATGGAACACTTGTAAATTCATTAAAGAGGAATGAGAAGAACCATTCTTGTCCTGTAATTAGTTGACCTTTTCTAGATGGACGCTTTTGGTAATAGTTATTAAGGTCCTTTCATTGCCGTTCACCTCTAGATAACGTTCTCTGAAATCTGGTGGCCAAACCAAGCTTTTCATCATCAAAAAATTAACTCACACGATGAACACTCTCAACTTGTTTGTGTTGATATTTGCCTTAATACTTGGCATGCTCATCAATAAGGCAAATTCATCATCATTAAAATTGAGAGCACTCCCTAATGTTAAACTTCAAATACAAGAGCAAATTAACAAGATGGGAAATATATGTGTGTTGTCCATGTCTGGTTTGGATTGTCCTGGAAAAGCGCAAGATATGAATTTTAAGACTTCAATCATCCGATCTGCTTCTGGTGAAAGATTAACAGTTGATAATTTACCAATTATTGCTGGTGTTGGTTACTCTAGAGCAGATAATAGCATTAATCTGCCTATTCTCAAATCTACACAAGCTACCACCGTTAGTGGAAGTCAAACATTGACCCGTTCGATTAATAGTGCCACTGATTATTTCAACCTCTTGCATCCAGGTGATGGAGCTGAGATTACAAATACTGGATTATATAGTTATGGCCAAACAGCTACAGATATGATTTTTAAAAAGTTCTTCCAAGGAAACTTGAAAGGTTACAATATTCAAAAACAATTTTATACTCATAGAGTTGAAATTTCTAACATTGAACCAACTGATGATTTCAAGAGAATTATTGATCTCTTACCTGAAAATATGGATCAAGATTTGTACATGATGGTCATTAACTCATTTGGTGATTCAATTGCCACAAAGATTACATATGGCGGTATTGTAGACATGACCACAACTGTAAGATCATGTTATAACGATCCAAGCATGGAACAATATTTAGATATTCAATTGCAAATGAGTATAAATGGTGATACTGACACTAAAAAGTTGCCAAATGGATATTTGAGATATCAGAGAGTTGGTTCATTGGATATTATTGGTGGTAACCCACAATTAAGTAATATTAATCAAAGAACTCAAACCTTTGCTAAAAATCCTGTACCTGTAAAGATGGAAATTATTCCAATTTGGAGAGCATTCCCAGCTGGCATCAAACAAGAAAATATGAAAAAGGTTTACACTGACTATGCAGCTGCCAAAATAAGAGATGTTAAAGCACGTGTAGCTGAAGTTGAAGCAAAAAGAAATGAAGACAAATTGAGAGCACTACAATTCTATGCTTTCAAGACTGATCTCAGTAATGGCCAAATTCAAAAATTTGCAAATGGCAATTCAATCTATGTACAAGCAGGATCAGTTGGTTATTTCACAGAAGAAATGATAACACTCGACTATTATTTCTGTGTTCCAATTGGTGGCTATCCAGAGAAATGTAACTTGATTAAGGCAGATGTATTGAAACCTACAGTACATAGAAGTTCTGATGGATCTTCTTTCTATTTTGATTTTATTCGTGGAAAGTGCGACAAATCCAATAGATCCAATTGTATCTTCCCAGACAATGAGGCAGATAGCTGGAAGGTTGGACAAACACCATCCTCTACTGTTAGTGATAGTTGTACCACTGTTAAATTTGATACCAAATCTAAATATTTCAAATTGAGTACTGGTTCATTAACTATTTGTGGTGGATGCATGCCTATGCCTTCTTCTGACTTCAAGAGTGTAACTTGTGGTTGTCCTTACCTTGAATAAAGGTTTACTCTTATTCATTAGATATATTAGATTACATTCCAAAAAATTTATTGTTGGGTATTGTATAGACCTACGGTTACAGGACTCTCTGAAGGTGTGTTAAATGATGTATATGAATTCTTAGACGACTCAGAAGACAAAGATCTACTTGATCGTGCTGTCAGTGAACCACTATTCATGTAAGGGGTAGAATTGCTAGACTTTCTTTTCTGTTGTTGGGAATGGTAGTTTGGAGAGTAGAGAGCTGAATCGTGATTGGTAGAGACTGCATCACTGTTACTGATTGTGTAGAGTTCTGTTTCATCAAATTCGAGAGGAGTACCCACATTTTTCAATACTTGATAGTATGACGGGAAGGAAAGATCCATCTGAGCTACTCTGGAAAATATCTGTCTATGTTCTTCAGAGCTGAAATCAGTCGATTGAAGGTTAATGGTTGACTTTTTTCTGAAAGGAACTTCTGGTTCCATCATTTTAGATCCTCTATTCTTATTGTTGCTGTTCATGTAGAATCTCTTCTCCATCTGTGGCTCCTTTGAAATTATATTGCATTGCTCTCCGATATCATTCAACACTTCACCAATTTCATCAAATCTAACCGTTAAATAATCGTTTGCTTTCATTATATTTGAGAGAATTCTGTCTAGAGCAAGGGGTACCTTCTCGGTCATTAAGCAATCAAGATGGCTCTTTACATTTTCCTTAGTAATACTCAGGGTTACCTGTTGAATTGCATCATCAATTAGCTTTTCAGTCAATCTCAAATCTGTTAAGGTTTCTTCCATGAAGTTGTCATTATTACAAATGGACCTTCTATTATTTGTAATGGAAAGACTCAACCTATTTGTTGACTGCAATTTTGGAAGCGTTTGATTAGTAGGTGTAGTATCTGCTCTCAAAGTTGAGGGAGATTGATTTTCAATAATTGAAGGTATTATAATTGAAGATGGGGATAGCACTTCTTCCACAAGCTCATCCTCCTCAATTTCTTCAAGTAATGGCTCTTCCTTATCTTCTTTAAGGTTTTCTGATATTGGGATTTGCTTCTCTTCACATATCAAGATATTTGGAGGAGATGGAGTATTAGAGCCTGTTGAGAGAGATTCTGAGTGAAGAATGTCGTTTGAAATTGAAAGCATGACTGGTGGGGGAGGAATAACTCCAGGAGCAATGTTAACAATTGGAGTCACTTCCTTCTTTTCTTCTTCAATAGATTTTGCCTCAACTTTAGTCTGTGGATTGATTTTAGAAAGCCTATTTCTCATTTCATCCATGAGATTAACAACTGGTCTGATTTCTTTCTTTGCCTTTTCTGAATTGTTTGATTTAGCTATTGGTGCTGATGTCTTTTTCACAACTATCACGCTTGACGGGGTGGAGGTGGAACTGAGCCTACTGAAAGAGTAGGAGGAGGAGGAGGAATGGAGTCACTATTCATCATTGGTGGAACGCTCGAACTAGCATTAGATGGTGGAGGAGGAATAGCCAAAATTGTTAGGCTCTCTAGTTTATCTTCCTTCATCTCAATCTTTTGTTCCTTAACAGGAGAAGAATGCTTCTTTTGTGGAAGAGTAGGAGGTGATTTTGTAAATGATGTTTTCCTACTGATTTCTGACTGCTCACTTGGAGTGGTTGGAACTCTTGGAAGAGGACGTGCCACATTAGATGTCTTTCGTCTGATAACAGAAGGTAATGGAGGAAGTTTTGAATTGAGAATGGATTTTGTTTCTTCATCAATCTCAACTGGTTGATTCTTATTGAGCAGGTCCACTACATTATTTTCTTCATAGGAATGAGCCATTAGGACTTCTTCCATCATTGAACGATTCAAATTAGACTCTAATGAATTACTGACAACAGTTGGTTCCAAAAGATTACTAGATAGATTTACAGATTCTTCTTCTTTAACAACTAACTGAGTGGACGACATTTCTTTTTCAATCTTATTAAACCGATAAGGAGATGAAAGTGTAGGCGATTTTGGAGACGAAACTAAATGATGAATTCGCAGAAGGACTCTTTGGCGATGATGGATTTGAAACACTTGTTCTCTCCTCAATAAATTCCCTCATTCTTTTAACGAAAAACCTTGTTCCAACCTGAGGAGGTTCTGATAAACTTGCAGTATTAGCCAATAATTCCTCTTGATTATCCAATGATGATAATAATAATTGCGGAGAAGGAGGTTGTTGTTGATTCAAATTTGCAGGTTGATCCTCCCCTGATCTGATGAGCGGTATTGATTTTTCTTTTTGATGATCATCAGTATTCATATTGTGTTGGTAGGTTTGTTGTTTGCCAAGTGTTCTTGTTGAGGCTGTTTGAGGTAATTTACGATTTTTTTTCTGGTTGGCTAAAATGATTTTCCCGCCATTTTTTTATAATGTTCTCAGCTTGATGGTTTGCTTTCAAATCTTTTTAAGATTTCGAATAGAAATTATTGTAAATGCAATAGTTTAGAATTAAAAGTTTCGAATAGTTACAAAAAGTGAATGGTCATTTAAATCAAGTTTACCAAAAACTTCAACTTTCCAAAACCTATCCAATTAAATGTAACCGCCATCATTCACTTCATCTTTCGTAACTAAAACAGAGATACTTTCCGTCGCTTTTCGAATAAAAAATTACGAAAGTAAAAAAACACAAAAAACTCACTCCAACATGGCCGCTCTCGATGCCAACACAGTGGACGATGACTATGTCGATTCGTTTGCCTCCCTTGAACATGACAATCACCTAGCCAGCATACCAGATATTCATCTCAATAACACCAACACCAACAACAATACTTATAAATTAACTCCAATAGGACAATTCGTAAAATCCGATTCACCACCAGCAGACCTTCATGATAATGATCATACTGTTGAAAATGGAAGTGATGACAATATTAATCAAACACAAGAATTGCCATCGACTTCATCTCAACCAAATCCACAAAGTTTTTACTATGAGAAAAATTCTGCAACAAGAAGAAAAACACCAAAATTTAATAATTTGAATGAGGAAGAGGAGTTAATGATGGGAGAAATGATTGAATTGGATGATGTTGATTTGGGATCACCTCCTTTGAAGAATGGACCTTTTCAAAGTCAATTGAGAATGTTGGATGATCATCAAACAATTTCAACACCAACAGTTGACAGTTCGAATGATGACAAGCATAAATCAGTTTGGAGTGATTTGGCATTACAGTTTTTGAAAGGAGATATGGCTGATGAATTTTTGACATTTGAAGATGCTGAGGTATCACCTGAAATGTTGAAACTCTTACATGAGAATAAGAAGACAATTGACAATCGAAAATTATTATGGAGATTATTATCTGGTGGATTTTTATTTAGTTTTTTATATGCATTGGGTGGATGTTTCATTTTCATCTTGTTTGGATTTTGTTTTTCATTGCCTTGTGCATTACAATTATGGAGAATTGCCAAGTTTCTTACCTATCCCTATACGAAATCAGAAACCTACTTTTATTTACTATGTTTAATCAATACTGATCCTAAGAATACCCCATCAACTAGCTCAACACTTGACAGAAGAATGTCAATTGCCTCCTCAATGACCACTCAAACCCTAGATAGAAAATATAGTGTGACAACAGTCAAGGAAGCACGACAAATCCTCTTCCAAGAGAAGGAAAATAAGGGAATTTTATTGTGGATTGCCAATATTGTTTGGTTATGTTTATTTGGTTGGTGGATTGCCTTGTTGCATTTGATATTTGGTGGGTTAATGCTTGCCTCTAGAGTTGGAGCTGATTTTGGAAAGAGACACTTGTCATTGATTAAATTAGCACTATTGCCATTCGGTTTATCAATTAAGAAATAGTTTGGCAATAAAATTGTCAATCAGTCCAAATAAACATTGTAAGTCCTGTACTTGTTTGCTTAATTCTCATAAACAGCAACTGTTGTAAAGTCCTCAGAAACCTTGTAATCCCTTGATATCACTTAAAATTAATAAGTGAAATTTTTTTAAAACGCTTAATGCTATAAATGTTTTATAATGATATTTAAATTATTTAGTGGTAGAGTCAATACTAATTTATTTTACATTCTTATCATATTCTGTAATGTGGTAATCCATTCAAATCATATTGAGGTTGTGATTGGTTGTATTGTGGTGGAGGTTGTTGATTTGGTTGATTGTATAAAGCAGTGTTTTGTGGATATTGTTGTTGTGGTTGTTGATTTGGTTGTTGTTGTGGTGGTTGTTGAGGATAGGAAGGTACATTAGGATAAACTTGAGGTTGACTAGTACTTGTTGATGAGGAAGAAGCATTGGTATTATTACTATGGAAATCAGTATTACCATTGTTGAATCTTAGTGAACTTGTTGGTTGATCTACATTCAGTTTTGCCATTGAAGCACCACCATAGAATGAATCAACTTGAATTGGAATTTTTGGCTCAATTCTGTGAGCTTTCATATAGGAAAGGAATTGAGTTGGAATTTCTTTCAAAACTTCTTGAGCCAACACACTTGGATGACTATTCTTGTAATTGTTGAATGGAACAAATTGAACAATGTCTCTTGACATTCTTACTCCAGTGCTAGAGACGAGTGGTGTTTCGTCAGCATCCAATATATTCATGTTGGTAAAGTCAGCATTTCCAACACCAACAATGATAATAGAGAGTGGTAATGTGGATGCATTGACAACGGCATCAATGGTTTGATTCATGTCAGTAATTTCACCATCAGTCAAGATTAATAGAATATAATAAGTAGTTTCTGCATAGGTTCTGGCAAATCCAGCGGCAGTATTGATAACTTGAGAAAAGTTAGTAGGACCATAGAGTTGACATTGTGACAGGGCATAGTTATAGGCATCAAGAATTCCTTGAACACCTGACACTTCAGGATTTTGCCAATTTAAATTGGCTGGAAAGCAATGAGAAACATCATAACGAGGTGGAATCTTGGCCCCAAACGAATAAACCGGAAACTTCTTATCAGTATCATAATAACTCAAAATATCACCAACTGTGACAATGGCACGTTGGTAATCATTCATAAAGTTTGGTTGACGGTAATGGAGAGAAGTAGGTTGCATTGGGTCACCATTTGAAGCAGTAAAATCAATAGCACAAATGAGCGAAACTTCTGATCCTCCTCTAATATATTCCAAGAAAGTATGCATTTGTTCCACTTTGATACTTTCAATCGTAATATTTCCACTTCCAATGTATGATTTTTTCTTCTTTTTCAATTCAGGATTCACCAAAATGTAACTCTTTTGAGAACCTGACTTTACTAATTCGTCCAATGTTGTCTGGTGGAAACCAATTAATTCATGGTTTCCAGATCTATTCCAATCATAAACCTCCAATCTAATAGGTCTATTATAATCACCATTACACAATCTTTGAACAGTCAATTCAAATGGTTTCCAACTACAGTTCAAAGTCTTGGTGAAATATTCACTCTTATAAACAGGTGAAAATTGCTCGGAACTAACATCACCTCTAGAAATAATCAGGAAGGGATCAGATTTACCAAAAAAGTAATTCTTTGAATCAAGATTCTTGGCAGAACATTTCAAATAGAGCATTTGGTTTGCATTCTTGACTTCCTCAGCACGGACAGCAATGTATCCTCTCTTTACGTGAGGATTTTGAGGAAGGAGAATTGGCTTCATCAATCGACCTCCTTTGGATCCGACAATTTCAGCCAATGTGCAATACATTTCACCAACCATTTCCTGATCTTGTATTCTGATGGAATGTTGATTATCAATATCCACAATGACAAACTTTAAATATTGATTGGTCTCGAATCGATATTTGAGAATGAATTTTTGGACAAACTATTTCGTTCAATATACATATGTATTGATAATGATGAAATGATATTATTGTGATCAATTAATTATATTATTTGATGATATAATTTAATTAAATTAAATAATCATCATGATGAGAATACATGATGAGAGAATACATACCTTTGGATTTAAATTATCCCAAATAATTTCTGTCTTGCCAATTTCCAACCAATTGTTACCATCCTTCATGTAGATAAAAACCTGTGGATCGGTCTTGGACATTAAATCAAGATTGGGCAATTGACTACATGAAAGTGATAACTCAACTTCTGTGCTAATATCTTCGGTGGCAACAGTATTTTGAACACCGAGGTTTGTTGGAGCAGAAGAAAGCATCAAAAGAGTTTAGTTTGGGTGAGTTAGTTTGTGTGTAAACCGACGAGAGAACAAAGCTTTAAGCTTTTTTGTTTTTTTTAGAATGGACAAGAAAAATTGCTTGATTTTGGTTATTTTCCAGTATTATCAAGTGGAACCAAGATGGAACACATGAAGAAGAGCATTTCATTGTTTCAATATGAATGATAAAAATAATAATATTTTGTGGTGGGAATGAAGAATGAACAATTCACTAGGAGGGAGAAAACAAATTAGTGAAGAGTTGTAAAATTTGTTAATCTCAATTCCGACTACTTTGTTGCATAGTGTTTGTGAACAAAATATTAAGGCGTTTAAAATATAAATAAAAAATGCTGTATTAATGTTTTCGTGATTGAAAACACTTCAATGAGGTATAGAAAAATAATCTCGGAATGTACAGCATGATAATCATACAGGTAATCATTAACCTTATTTAATAACAAAAAATATATTGTTTGATTGTGGATGGCCATTACATTAATAAATCAAGATCTTGTTGATTTCAGCTTCAGTTTGACCTTCATCTCGTGTCCAATATCAATCATCAATCACCAAATATTTTTCTAAACATCAAAAAAAAAACATTAGGAATGTGTAAGTAATTAACAACCCTAACATCAGTCATTAATCACCCAATAATCAAATAATCCATCCTGTTGATTAGCAAGTGATATTAAAGGAACATTGACCAAGATTAAAGGTGGTAGTGTTCAAAATCGTTTGGCAGCCATTGGTGCTTTATTTTCTTTAGCATCAGATGATGATATTAGAGAGGAAATTAGAAATATGGGAGGAATTGGTACTCTTGTTGGATGTTTAGAGGATAATTCTGATCCACGTATTCCTAGACAAGCCTGTGGTGCTCTCTTGTAAGTTTTTTATTACCAACTAATTTACTTACATAATAATTATTTAATATTATAATTATAATAATTATTAATTGAATGATGATTGTTTATTTATATTATATCTATCTAGAAACATGGCAAATGATGATCAATGTAGAGAGGAAATTCGTGATTATGGTGGTGTTGAATTGATGCTCAAGCTTATTGAAAATCAATTCAAAGATGCAACCAGTGTTGAATATGCTACAGGTGCCTTGCTAAATTTGAGCTCTGACGATGACACTAGAGAAATGGTTAGAGAAGCTGATGGTGCTCGTATTTTGGCTCGTTGCTTGTCTGATGCTCCAAGTGAAGAATCTAGAAGAAACTCTGTTGGTGCCATTGCTCAATTGTGCTTTGATCAAGAATTTACTAAACAATTGGTTTCTGGAGATGCTTTGAAACACATTGTTGAATGTTTAAACTCAAGTGATGAAGAAACCAGAAACAGGACCTCAGGTTGTATCTGGAATTTGAGTGTTACTGCTGATGAAACTAGAGAAGCTTTGGCTCGTGAAGGTTGTTTGGAAAGTTTGGTCAATTTATTGCAAAAAAGTGAGGATGTTAATGAAGATCCTGAAACTGTTGGTAATTGTGTAATGTAAGTTTTATATAATTATATAGAAATATTCTAATTTTAACATTTTACAATAATTACTATTGCACTACATTATATTGTCAAATGTATGATGTTTAAACAGGTGTCTTTCAATTTTAAGTTCAAATGACATGGTTGCTGAAACTTTACGTGAAATGGACGGATGTTTCGAAATGATTATTAAATTATTGAGTAATTCTGATTCTACTATTGCTCAAAATGCTGCGGCTGCCGTTTGGAATTTGGCTCACAATGATGATAACAAGAAGGTTTTGGCCAATTTGGACACAATGGCATCTTTGATTCCACTTTTGGATTCTTTCAACTCTGCTTCCGATTGGGAAGCTTTGGAAAAAGTTTTGGGTGCTGTTTTAACTAGCAGTACCAATGACAATATGGCTGATCAATTCCGTGAAAATTCTGGATTTGGTCCACTCAAGACAATCATTGAAGGCAAGGTTGATCCAACCACTATTCAAAATGACCAACATAAGAAGTGTGTATTATATGGTATTATTGGATTTGCCGTTTTGGCTTACAATGATAAGAATAAGGATGAGATTCGTGAATGTGGAGCTATTGCTGACTTGATTGAATTACTTTCTTTGGAGTATGATGACGATTTACTTGAAAAGGTTACTGCAGCCATTTTGAACTTGACTCACAATATTGAAAATAGAACAGCCATTCGTAAGCTTGACGGTATTTCAGTTCTTATTGAGCTTCTCTACCATCACAATGAAACCATCTCAATGAACTCTGCTGGTTGTTTGTGGAATTTGAGTAACGACGAGGCTTGTAAAGCAGTTATTCGATCTTTGGGTGGTTTAAAGCCATTGTTAGCTTTGATTGGAGGTGGCAAGGTTGAACCACGTTCAAAGAAGGACAGAAAGATTTCAAAGGAAGCTATTGAAGCTGCCAATCGTCTTGTTGAAGGTGAAGAAGAAGAATCTGAACCAGTTCCAGAAGAAAAATTCGATGTTATGGAATTTGTTGAAGACATCTTCAATCCAAAGAAGGACTTTGAAAAGTTGGACGATGAGGATGGATCTTCTGATAAGAAGAAACCTCAAGTCAACAGAAATGGTGAACAAAGAACCACTACTGGTGCTGGTGTTGAATATGGTGAAGAAACTGGCATGACTCCTGCCAAGATCATTGTTGGTGCTGCTCGTATCGATATTAAGAACAGAAGAAAGGTTGCAGAGGCCGAACGTGAAAAGAAGGAGGCAGAAGAAAGAGAAGCCAGAAGAAAGGAACGTGAAGAAAGAGAACGTGAAAGAAAACGTAAGGAAGAAGAAGAAAAGAAGAGAAAGGAAGAGGAGGAAAAGAAGAGACAAAAGGAAGAGGAGGAGAGAAAGAAGAAACTTGAAGCCGAAATGAAAAAGAAGGCTGAAGAGGAAGCTGAAAAGGAAAGACTCCGTTTGCTTGCTGAAGCTGAACAAACAAAGAATCAACTTAAGGAAGCTTTCAATGCCAAACACAAGAGAAAGGGTGTTAAGGATGAAGACATTGATTGGGATGAAATCTATGAAGATGGATTCACTCCTTCTGCTACTAAGGATGAAGCCAAGGACAAGTTGGAAGGTCAAATTGATGAATATTCCAATCTCATTGACCCATTCAATAATAATGGTGTTTATGATCAACTCACTCCTGATGATATCAAATTCATTGAAAGTGAAATTGAAAGAGCTAAACGTTTCCTCGCTGAAAATCCAAATGCTACCAAGGAACAAATTGATGATGCCAGAAGAGAACTTGATGCCAATGTCAAACCAATCATTGAAAGAGCTAAGGCCAGAAAGGTTCTTGGCGACATGACCACCAGCATCAGAGATCGTCTCTTGAATGACTCTGAATTGTTGAACAATTTGACTCCTGAAGAAAGAAAGGAATTAGAACAAGCTGTTGCTGAAATGGAACAATGGTTACGTGACCATCCAGATGCTACCAAGGAAGAAATTGAAGAAAAGGAACGTGAATTGCTTGCCAAGATTAAGCCAATTTTGGCTCGTGCTGCTACCAGAAATGATTTGGAAAATTATGCTCATGATTTGAGAAAGAAGGCAGCCAATGAAGATGATGACATTGATTTTGACTTGTTGGGTGATGAAGATAAGGGTACTTTCCATGATGCTATCAAGGAAATTGAAGATTTCTTACTTGAACATCCAAATGCCTCTGCTCAAGATATTGAGGACAAGAAGGATGAAGTCAAGAGGCGCATTGATCCAATCATTAAGAAGGCCAAGGCCAAGAAGGATCTCTTACAATATGCTGCTGACATGAGAGATAGATTGAACAATGATCATGATTTGAAGAAGAGACTCACTCCAGAAGAAAAGAGATCTATTGAAACTGCTTTGGATGACTTTGACAAGTGGATTAAAAACCATCCAAATGCTGATGCTGAAAGCTTGAACAAGCAAAAACAAAGACTCAAACAAAAGTTGGATCCAATCGTTTCCAGAGCTGATGCTCACAACAACTTGGACGAATACATCAACAGAACAAGAAAGAGAATTGATGATAATGATGATTTGGGTGAATTGTTGGATGATGCTGACAAGAGAACTCTTCAAAAGGAATTGAAGGATGCTGAAGAATTCTTGAAGAAGGTCGAAAAGGAACCAGTCAAATTCACTGCTGAAGAAATCGACAACAAGAAGAAGGAAATCAAGGAAAAGCTTGCCCCTCTTATTGAAAAGGCTGAAAAGAGAAGAGAACTCAAGGACTATGCCAGCCAAATTCGTGACATTGCAAGCAATGATAATGAACTTGCTGAATTTATCACACCAAAGGAAAGAAAGTTGCTCGAAAATGAGGCTAAGGAACTTTCTGACTGGGTAAAAAACAATAAGAAGGCCACTCCTCAACAAGTTGAAGAGAGAAGAAAGAAGGCTGAAGAAAAGGTTCAACCAATCTTGGATAATGCCAATCAAAGAAAGGCTCTCAAGGAAACTGTTCAAAGATTGAGAGATCGTTTGAATGATGACAAGTATGTCGAAAAGTTGAAACCAGAAGAAAAGAAGGCTCTCAAGGATGCTGCTGATGAATTGGCCAACTTTTTGGCTAAGAATCCAGAAGCTTCTGCCAAGGAAATTGAACAACAAAGAGAAAAGACCAATGAAAAGGTTCTTCCAATCTTGGACAGAGTTAGAGAACAAATCTCACTCGAAAATCATGTTAACAATGTTAGAGATAAGGTTAGAGATGATCCAGCATTGAACAAATTCTTATCTGATAAGGAGAAGAAGGCCATTGAAAAGGCTGCTCAAGATGTTGAAAAAGTCCTTGCTAGTAAACCATCCATTAAGGATACCAAGAAGGCAAGAGAAGATTTCAATGATGCTGTCAAGCCTCTCCTTGAAAATGCTGCTGCTAGATCTAAACTTGCAATCTATGGTGATAAGGTTTTGGATGATGTCTTGTCTGATCCACATACAAGTGATAAGGATAAGGAAGCTGTCAAGAAGGCAAAGAAGGAATTGATTGATGACTTTTTGGCTAAGAATCCAGATGCCACTAAGGAACAACTTGATCAACAAAGAAAGAAGTTCGATGAAGCTGTTGCTCCAATCACTGATCGTATTAATAAGAAGAAGGAATTGGAAAGAAAGATCAATGATATCAAGAGAAAGTTGGATGATCCAGATTCTGCAATCTGTTCAAAGGCAACCCCAGAAGAAAGACAATATTTGGCCTCAAAGGTTGATGAATTGTCTAAATTCTTGAAGGAAAATCCAAATGCCTCTGCTAAACAATTGGAAGAAAAGATTAACGAATTCAACTCTCAAGTCGAACCAATTGCCAAGACATGCGAAAAGAGAGACCAATTAGAAAAGCAAGCAAACACTATCAGAGACAGATTAGTTGATCCAAATGACGATCTCAACAAGTATATGAGTGAATCTGAGAAGACTCAACTCAGAGACGCTACCAATGAAGCTCTTCGTTTCTTGGAAAAGAATCCATCTTGCTCATCCTCAGAAGTTGCTCAAGCCAAGAAGAAATTGGACGATAAGACCAAGGAATTGGTTGAAAAGGCCAAGGCTAAGGGTGGTTTGTATAAGAGAGCTGGTGGACTTCTTTCTGATGTTAACAATTATGGTGAAGGCGGTCTTGGAGGTAAATTGAACAGTGTTGAAAAGAGCGAAATTGCTGATAAATGCAATGATATCATCAATCACTTGAACAAGAATCCAAACCTCTCAACCAAGCAAATCAAGGAAAAGGAGAAGGAACTCAACAAGGTTGTTGCTCCAATTCTTGATAAGATCAGAGAAAGAGACAATCTCCGTGAAATTATTAATGGTATTCGTGATCAAATCTTCAATATTGATGATAAACTTGAAGATGACAAGTCAGATGCTTCCTCTGATTCTGACAGTGATCGTGAAGATTTGGAAGATTTATTGGATGGACCAATCAAGAAGTCTAAGGCTCAAAGAGATGAAAAGGGTAAGACCGACAAGTTGGGTAACTTCTTGTCCAACGAGGAAAAGAAGAAGATTGACGAAACTACCAAACAAGCATTGCAAGCTATTGATTCTGATCCAAATCTTTCAGTCTCTGACTTGAAGGAACAAGCAAGAAACCTCAAGCAAGACACTGAAAATATCTTGAAGGCTGCCAAGACCAGATCTGATCTCAACGACTATTTGAATAACATTCGTGAACAAGTCAAGGATGAAGATGGTATGATTGCTAATCACTTGAGTGAAAAGGATAAGAAGTTGATTGATGAAACTATTAATGAAGCACTCAACTGGTTGAATAAGGAAGGTGCTAATGCTACACCAGAAGCCGTTGAAAAGAAGAAGAAACAAGTTATGGACAAGATTGATCCAGTCATTCGTAATGCCAAGCAAAGAGGTGAATTGGAATCAATTGCTAACAAGGTTAAGCAACGTTTAGAAGATGATGTTGATTTGACATCAGCTCTCAGTGAAAAGGACAAGAAGGCATTACATGATGAAGTTCAAGAAATTCTTGATTTCTTGAAGAAGAATCCTAATGCTACTCCTGAACAAATTCAACAAAAGAAGAAGCAATTCGAGGAAAGAGTTCTTCCAATTCTTGAAAAGGCTGAAGCCAGAAACAAGTTGAAGGATTTGACCAATGAACTCCGTACCAGACTCTATGATGAAGATGATCTTGGAAACAAGCTCAGTGAAGCTGATAAGAAGAAGGTTGAAAAGTTGATTGATGAAGCTGTTGACTTTTTGGAAACTAATCCAGATGCTTCAAAGGAAAAGATTGATCAAAAGAGACATGCTTTGGAATCCAATGTCATGCCAATTATCAAGAAGGCTGAAAAGGCCAAGAAGGCTGCTGACTATGCATCTGCAATTAGAGACAATTTGGAAAATGATTCTCTCCTTAAGGATGCTCTCACTCAAGAAGAAAAGAAATTGATTGATACTCACACCAAGGATTTGCTTGACTGGATTGAAAAGAATGCAGCCACTGCTACTTCTAATGAAATTAGTGATAAGGAAAGACAATGTAAGGAAAAGGTTGATCCAATCCTCAATAAGGCCAAGGCAAGAAATGCTCTCAAGGAAGATATTGAAAAGTTGTATGAAAAGTTGAATGATGAAAACAAGCACAAGTTCTCTGAAAAGGAAAAGAAGGCCATTCTCGATGAAATCAATAAGGCCAATGACTACCTTGATACAGTTGCCAAGAATCCAAATACCACTTCTGATGATATTGAAAAGAAGAGAAACGAATTGAAGATTGCCACTCAACCATTGGTTCAAAAGGCCAAACAAAGAAAGGAATTGCAAGAATATGCTGCAGGTGTTCGTGATAAACTCCAAAATGATAGCAAGCTCACCTCTCGTATGACTCCAGAAGAAAAGAAGACCCTTGATAATGCTGCTAAGGAAGCTCTTGACTGGGTCAACAAACATGGTGATGATGCCTCATTGAATGATTTGAAGGAAAAGTTGCGTCAAACTAAAGCTAAGGTTGAAGCTACTATGCAACGTGCTGAGAAACATCAAAAGTTGGAAGATATGGCCAACAAGATCAAGGATAAGGTTGAAGGTGATTTGAAGGACTGCATGTCTTCAGAAGAAAAGAAGACTGTTCTCCAAGAAGTTCAAAAGACTCTCGATTGGTTGAACAAGAATAAGACTGCTCCAATTGGTGAAGTTGAAGCTCAACAAAGAGCTCTCGAAAATAAGATTGCTCCAATTATGGAAAAGGCTCAAACCAAGAAGGATTTGGCTGACTTTGCTAATACTGTTAGAGACAGATTGAAGAATGATAAGGAACTTGCCAGTCTCTTGTCAGCTGAAGAAAAGAAGGCCATCAATGATGCTGTCCAAGAAACTCTTGATTGGTTGAACAAGAATCCAAATGCTTCTCTTGCTGAGTTGAAGGATAGAAAGAAGAAATTGGAAGATGTTGTTAACAATGTTCTTGGTGATAAGGAAGCTGCTGAAAACTTTAGAAATTATGCTGAAAAGGTTTTGGAAGTCTTGAAGAAGAATAAGCAAGTTCAAAAGGACTTGACTGATGAAGAAAAGCGTGCCATTCAAGACTTTGCTGAAGAAGCCAGAGATTGGTTATTAGAAAATCCAAATGCCACTGCCAGACAAATCAGAATGGAAAAGAAGAGATTGGAAGAAAAGTTGGGCAAGATTAAGAAATTCAAATTTGAAATTCCTGCCACTCACTACATTGGTAACTTCTCAGAACGTACCAGATGGGGTGATGACAGTAAGCGTACCAAAGATATCAACTCATTATTGGGTTCATACATTAAGAAGGGTGACAAGGTTGCTACTACTCCTGTCAAGCCAACAGCCACCTCTACTCCAACAAAGACTCCACAAAGAAATTTGAAACCAGTTGCCACTCCAAAGAAGCTCACCAAGGAAGAAGAAGAAGAAATGAAATTGTTCGATACCATGAAGTTCAATAAGGGTGGTTTGATTCAAGCTAAATTACAAAGTCTCATGGGAAGTGTTGGCTCTGCAAGTGCTGTCAGCGGTTCAGTTGTTGAAGAAGAAGAAGAACCAGCTGTTGTTTATCCATACTCTGAATTGAAGAATAACAAGCAAAAGAAGTATCCATCAGGTATTGACATTAACAAGAGAGAACAATACTTGAGCAATGATGAATTCCAACAAATTTTCAAGATGTCTCGTGATGAATTCAAAAACTTGCCAGAATTCAGACAAACCAAATTGAAGAGAGATGCTGAATTATTTGCCTATGCTTATGAACTTTAAATAAATTAATTGTGTTCAATTAATTCCCTTGAACAATCTTATAACAATTTTTCACACGTGTGAATAATATCAATTTTCCATAATTATAAACAAAATTTCAACTTCAACAAACAATTAATTTTCTAATTGATTGAAATTTTTAAATTCCTCAAAAAAAATGCAAAACTCTAAAATTTTAAATTCCTCTTCATCGTTAGGGAGAAAATTGTTCATCAAAAAGTTTCAACCTTTCGGAACAACTTGTTCGTATAATAATAGTAACAAATCAACATCCCTTCTTCAACAACAATATCAACAAGAACAAACATTAAATTTTTCATCATCGAAATGTACTCTCCGAAAGAAGAATTTCAGCGAGAAGAATATAACCACTATTATTAAAGTTAAATATGATCCTAGAAAGGATGCTACTCCACGTAAACATATTATTGAAGGAAAATTCCATCAAGACCACGCAGAAAAGACACAAGAATCTATTCAACAATTTAATCAAGTACTTTCTCAAGTAGATGTTGATAGAATTACAAAGGAATATTTAACTCAATTAAAAGAAAGAGAGGAATTTATAAAGAATTATCGAGAGAAAATTGTTAAAAAGCTTTCCGAAGAGGAAAATCTCTTCTTTTCAAACATGATGGATATGGAATACATGAAGAAGGCTAAAACATTTTTGAAGGATTTGGGTATTGAAGAAATTCCTATTGAACAGTTTGTTAAAGCAATGACTCATATTAGTTTTGTTCCTCCTTCTGCTGATACAATGCAAAATCCGAGTGTTCTTGGACAATGTAATGATGAATATCAACCTATGGGAGGTCAATTATTTACAACATTGTGTAACAAGTTTATGTACATGTTTTTGAGATATAGAGAATTTAAGAATAATAGTTCTGAAAAGAATTTGAGATGGTTTTTAGAAGATGCTCTCAATATTGAAAAGAGAGGATCTGAATTTGAAATTCAATTTAATTATTTTAATAGATTGAGAAATGATGTGTTGCACCATGTTTCTAAGGAGATTGGTCTCACAGATTTTGTTTTGTTTGATACCAATCGATTGACAATTGAAGCACCTCCTTTGAGTAATATTGAAGTGGACGAACCTTTGGATCCAGAAGCTAAGCAATATATTAAACCTAAGGAAGCTGTTCCAGTAGGATATCAATTGGAAGTTATGTCTAATGCAAGTGCTGTTAGATCTTTACTCTATCTCATTGAACATCACTATAATTTTGATAAGGTTTCAACAGTGTTTGAACAATTCATGATACCCAAACTTGCAGAATACATACAGAAGGAAACAACAGTTCTCAGAGAAGATGTTCACTATCCTCAATTATTGCAAACTTATTTGGATAAGCATACTGAAATGAAGGACAAATTCTACCTCGAATATAGATTCATCACCCAATTTATTGATGAAGATAACAAGAAGAGAGTGCAAGTAGGTCTATTTGTAAATGATCAACAGTGGGGAAGTGAATTGGCTCCAAACTTTACAGAGGCTAAATTTATTTTGGCAAAGAAGTATTATGATTTGTTCACAACCAATCCAGTAATGTTGAGAAAACTGGTGGAACAACTTGCCAATGTCAACTATATCTATTCTCTTGAAAAATTGACAGGAGCAAGAGATCAAAAAAAGAAATAAATTATTTCATAAATAGGTGCTTAGTGGTTTTAAATCGTATACTGTTACAAAAGCTTGGTGAGCTTATCGAATCTTGGAGGATCATTTGGATCTGTACGTTTTTGAATTTCTTTCTGAATAACTACTAAATCTGAAGATGCTCTATTTTTGACAATTTCGTTTCTGAATATTTCTGGAGAACGATTATTGATTTGTTCGAATGCCTCACAAATTTTGTCAATGAGCATATCATAAACTCGTTTGGAATACTTTTTCTGTTCAAATTGATCAGAACTAAGGAAGGTGCTCGAACCCAATGTTCTATAAACACTATTGGCTTGCTTGCACATGGTAATGAATGGTGTTGGATTCTTATCATTTACATTAGTCCAATTATAATTTGGAATTTCAGATAGTTGGTATTTGAGAGCATCACCCAGAATTGAGACAATCTTTTCGAAAATAGCAATTCTGTGCTCTAGTAAATCAGTTATAAAATCTCCAAATTTGACAAGTTGCTTCTTCTGACCCTCTTGAAGTGCTGTTTCAATCTTGGATTGAATGTAAGGCATCAAGAGAATCAAATAATGCAAACAATCAGAGGCCAGGATTAAATGTTTTGGTGTTATACTTGTGATGGCACTATTGACCTCTCTTGCCTTGGCCATGAGTACCAATTCTTTGAGTTCTGAATTGTAAACTTGCAATAATTGCAAAATTCTTCCATGAAGATCAATTGCACTAATAAATGAAAAATCGTTTGATAATAGCTGAGAATATTGATAGATAAACTTGAGTAGGCAGAGAGCACTGGTAGATAATTTGAATTTGATACCATTGGCTAAAATATAAGATGATTTGTCTTCTTCTGCAGTCTTGGCATTCTTCTGGGAGGTAGTAGAGGCAGGAACAGTTGTTGGAGGAGGTAAAGACATGGCTTGAGCTTCACCAGTCAATAGGAATGCACACTTTTGATACTTTTCAGGAATGGATGGCACGGCTTCCCAAGTATCTCTGGCAAGTCTCTTCTTTAATCTTTGGACATAAGTGGTGTGGAAATCATCCAAAAATACCTGTCCATGATGTTGTAATTTTCCTTTCAGTATGGTACATTTCTTATAAACCATACTGTCTGATTTGGTGATGAATTTACTACCTGTAGCCATGTATGTGGAAAATAGAGTTGGTGAAAATTTGGAAATGACCTTATCAATACCAGAGCAAAAGTTTGAAAGTTGTTGTTGAGTACTCTCGTGCATGAAGGATTGAATTTTGGCAACTTCACGGCCTAGGTTTTTCAGTTTTACAGTATTAATGATAATCTTGTCGGTACTGGAATCGGCTTTCTCATTTTCTTCTTTGCAAAATTGATCCACAGCAAAGCAAAAATCTGTAAATCTCTGGAGTTTAATTAGGGCTAATGAAACAATGGAATCAAACTGAATTTAAATGTGTCATCAAGGCAAATGTTACAAAATTACTTACACTCTTACACCATGAATCTGCCAAATCTTTGGTCACTTCGGTGGAGGGTGTGAAAACTGGTGGCTTGATCGATTTCATCAGCTCTTCAGTCTCTGAAGGTACTAGCTTTTTGGCATGAGCCATTACAGGTACTGCAAGATTTCTGTATAGAGTGGCTTTCAATAATGAAGCGAGTTTAGTGTTCCAATCTGAAGAAGTCGTATCCTTTTGAAGTATTTCAGCTATTAATTCCGAAATTTCTTGTTTGATTGTCATGTCGATTACACCTAATTCAACTTCAATTTCTTTTGGTATGTGCTTTAGGCAGTTAACATTGCTCAGTTCACTGTGTTCCTGAAGAGTAGATTCAATAGTATTGATAATTTCAAGGGCTGATAAGACGTCCCCTCTATTTGCAACCATAACCTTGACAGCAGTCAGACTTTGTTGAATAGAATCAATCAAGACAATATACTCCAATGTCTTGGTTAGATTTTGCTTTTTTCTTACAAGATTACCAACTTCCAAAGGTTTCAAAACAGCATTCTCCTCATATTTCTTAATTTTAGATCTTAAAGATCCAACTAGAGGTATAGAGCTGATCAGTGTTTCATACAGATCATTGTATTGCATCATGGAATCGAAAATTTCACTGGATCTCTTATTGACCTGAGTTTGAACTTGGTTTTCAACCTGATCCAGATAATAACTCAATTTCTCCTGCAAGAGTAGTGATGCAGATTCATTCTCCGAGCTAAAAACCTTATTGAAATAAGTTGGTGTTGAAAGTTCAAAATTTTCATCAAAAAAGTAGGCAGGTACGCCCTCTCTCCTTGACATGTAATCCACAATGTTAAGATTACTTGTTAAACTCTTTTCCGATTTGTGTGGCACCAACTTTGTCATTTCTCGATTAAATGTTTCTATTAATTGAATATATTCTTTAAAACTATCAATATTAATAGAATCTCCGAATGTTGGTGAAATTGTTGATGGTGATGTTGTTACATTTCTATTATTTACATTCTTTACTTTCGGGTTTTTCACAAAACACGATTCTACATTTACATCTTCAAATTTTCTAGCATCAACATTTGCAATTGCTTTAAAATCCTCATCCGTCAAATCATGAATTTCCATTAATTGTTTTTCCAATAATTCAGCCGATGTTAATGAAGTAGCACTATTCAATGAAGAACTACTACTTGATCCAAACCATGATGAAAACAGTGTTGATAAACTTGGTGATGAATTATTCAAAGCCTTCGGATCATTCAAAACCGATGAAAAATCCATGTTATTATATGAAGTAAATGATGAGTAATACTTGTTAATACGATCTCTCGGTGCTATATTTTGAAACTCTTCTTCCATCCTCGTTAAACGTTCTCTTGCTGATGGCGTTGATATAAAACTGGGCAAACTCTCATCTTCTGTATTGTTGTTGCTTCCTGCTGTTGTTGTTTTGTTAGTCTTCACTGTTTGGACGCTGAGAATTTCTATTGAAAAATCATCATCATCCGATTCTATTTTTCGTTTATTTTCCATGTTATTATTATTATTAGTATTGTTGTTGTTAATTTATTATATGATGAATTGATGTTAGTGAAGAGAGTTTTTGTTGTTGAATATTTTTGATATTTTTTTTTAATGATGAAAAATTATTGTAATCAAATTAACAATTTTTAATATTATTTAATTTGTTACAATTTTATTTAAATATTTTTATAGAGTGATTGTTTTCATCGGCAACCAAGAGTTGACCATTCTGATCGTCTATTGTTAAGCCGAATGGACAATACAATGGTCCGAATGAACCGTACGATCTAACAAGTTTGAGTCTTTCGTCTTTCTGTGGGCCGACTAATCCTGAACTATTCCATTCGAAGGCTAAAATTCGATTTTTGAGTGGACTTGAAACTATAATCTTTTCAGGTCTCAGAGTATTCTCCCTACTCTTATCAATGCAGATTCCTAGTGGACAGATTCCAAACAGATCTGAAGAATTTACCGAATCTTGATCATCATTTAGAAATCCTTCTGGGATGAAGGAGCAAACGAGTTCTAATTGAGAAGGATTTGAGGATGATTCTCTTAGAATCTTAATGGAGCCGTTCCAATATTCTGAAATGATTAGTTCACCAGCAAGAGAAAAGTCAATCATCCAAGGCTCATGCAAATGACTCGTTTCGAATAAAGGTTGTGATGAGATAATTCCAGGAGGAGATTTTAAAGGAAATGAAAAGGAAGAAATGGAACGAATGAAACTACCATCTAAGGAACTTAATATGACAATTCTATTATGTCCACTATCACAGACGTACACTTGTTTGTTTCTTACTGAGATTCCAATAGGATAATAAAACTCAAGTGCTGAATCGACTAAAGAATTGGCTGCATCTTCTTGTGAAGGTTGTTGAATGGCAGTTTCCACATCAGAAGCAAGATCTATTTCGTCCAAATTCAATTCTTGTCTCACTTGACGAAAGTTCTTTGCCTTCTCTCCTCTTTCCCATAGTTTCGTATATTTTACATCATCTAACATGAGCCAAATTCTCAATTTGCACACTTTTGTAAAACTCAAAGTGATGAACAAGTTGTCAAAATCGTCTTCATCCACAGCTAGGCATTGTGGACTTTCGTCCAACTCTATCGAATAGAGAAACATTTTTGTAAATAAATTGAAAAGTGCAATTTTTCGATTTCCAAAATCACTCACAAACACAATTCCCATCTGATATGAAATTTTCACATCTTTCGGATAAGAAAATCTATAAGAATCCGAATCTTCTTGACCTAAAGAATGAATTTGTTCGAAATTTGCAGAAAATGAAATTCTATTTCGTTGATTTGAAGATAATTTATCTCTAAGCATTGGTTGCAGAGGTAGAAAGTCAGAGAGATGGAGTGTTGTCATTTCTTTTAACTGTTTTTTGGTTTTTAATTTTTTTTGGTTGCCTTTTTTAGATTGTCAAAGTCAACAATTATTCGAAACCATTCGTCTACAGCTTTACAGTAGTTAAATGTTACAATAATGTTGGGTAAAAAGCAAATTGGTACAATTTCCATAATGTAAAAAGTTATTCGAAACTTCGCTGACATCAAAAACGAACCTTTCACATTGTAAACTTTAGATTTTTAACATTTCACCTGTCTGGCAGGATATTTCACAATAAAAAAATGTCTCAACCAACAGATAAGAGATTGTGCTTTCTAACAGCATCAGAAATGTTAGAAAGGTTTCGTTCACTTTCCCTCTCTCCAAAAGATGTAATTCTCGATGTTTTGAATAGAATTGAACAATTAAATGATCGTGCCAATGCTTACTGTTACGTTGAAAAGAGAGAAACTTTGATCAAATTGGCAGAAGAATCCGAAGGTAAGTTTATTCGAAAATTCTATTCGAAAGATCTAAAAAAATCAGCAAGATATCAAAAGAATATTGCACTTCCAATGGATGGTATCCCAATTTCTGTCAAGGATTTATTCATGGTCAAGGGAATGCCATCTTTCTTTGGTTCGAAAGCTTACTCCACTCAACGTCAAGAAGATTTTGACAGGAAAAATAACACAACACAAGATGAAAGAGCTCTCATTGATGTAATCGATTCTCCAAGTGTTGAACATGCTAGAAATGCTGGTTGTATCATTTTGGGTAAAGTAACTAGTCCAGAATTTGGATGGCAAGGTGTCACTCTTTCACCAATGACAGGTGTCACGCCAAATCCTTTTAATTTCAAATTGAGTGGAGGTGGAAGTTCAGGAGGAAGTAATTGTGTCATGTTGGGAATGGGGCCTTTGAGCATTGGATCAGATGGAGCTGGAAGTGCTAGAATTCCTTGTGCATTTTCAAATGTTTCGTCTATTAAGGTGAGTTTCTAATATTGTCAAGAGTTTAAAATTTTATGGATTTTATTGGAAAGGCAACTGTTTCTGTAGTGCCACACTATCCAGCTTCTCCATTAGGAACTTTGGCTAACGTGTGTCCTATGGCTACAACCATTCGAGATGCCGCACTATTTTTGGATATCATAGGACAACCACATCCTTCAGATCCGTTATCGATTCATCCTTCCAGATTTGAAAATGCAAACGATTATCATGATTTCAAAGATTCTTCCCATGAAAAGAGAAAATTCTCCACTCAACTCGATACTGGAATTAAGGGTTTGAGAATTGGTTTGAATTTCTCCCTCTCAACCTATTGTGATCCTAAAATTGAGGAATCTGTTAGAAAGGCAGCCAAAATATTGGAAAATCTTGGAGCTATCGTTGAGGAAGTTCCACTTCTCCCATTCCAAAAGGAGAAGCTTGATGTTTTTGGAACATTTAAGATTTTGTGGTGTACGGGATGTAAGGCAATGGTAGAGAAGAGGATTCGTCCAGAGTATCGTCACTTGGTTGATCCAAATTTGATGGATGCTGCCTCGAGAGGAGAGAAATATAGTGCCTATGATTTTATTAGCTCTGAAATGGTGAGAACGACCATGTCTTCCCTAATGAATACTCAATTCTTTAATAGATATGATCTATTGATTACACCAACACTTCCAATTACTCCTTTTGAAGCTCATTTGGAAACAATTCCAGATGAAAATATTCGAAAGCTCTTGTGTGGATTTGGTAATTCAACCAACACAATTATGAAACCATCTGATTCTCCATTCTTTGAGGAAGAATATGATCCAATGAGATGGTGGATGTTCTGTCAATATACATATCCATTCAATTTGATGAAATTACCCGCTTCAAACGTTCCATGTGATAAATATGTTGGCTTGCAAGTGATTGGACCTGAGTATGGAGAAAGTTTAGTCTTACGTGTTGCTAATGAATTTCAAAAGAGTATTGATTTGGAATTCTTGAAAGATTTATCAAAGAATACCTTCACTGATTAATAAAATGAGGCAACTAAAAACTTTTAATCCATTGTAATATTTTCATAGTCTTATTTTCTTTTATTTAACAAAGCATGGAAGGATTATCAAATGCCTCAACACAAGAATACCTACTGAGGTTTGCATTTTCCTTGACCCAATTATGAAGCATTGTAATGAAGGGAAACACACAGGTAGAACTTCTTGTAGGAGCTGCCAGAATTTGAATCATTCTAATCAAGTGCTCAATCTGTAAATGCTCAAAACCAAGATAATCAATGAGACAGTGAAAAATTGATTTTTCAGCTGGTGAGTAGGGTGTTTGTGTGATGAAGGAGAAATCATATGTAAATTCCTCATTATTCATGGAAAATATTGGCTCTTTCTGTCTTCTAAAGATACAAATTTTTGTTTCGTCCTCAAAGGCCTCAGCTAATTGAGGATATTCTTCTTGAATTTTTGGATAGGTACATTCCAGTGAAAAATCCGAATGATTCACAGAGTATTGGCTTCTCAATTCCAAGCAACAAATATTTCCATTCAATCCCTTAATGGAGATGGATGAATGATGGTGCTTGACTGCCAAGTCTTGATCAATTCTCACCGATTCTATCACTGTATGATTATAGAAATAGTCAATCTCATTAATTATTGTGGAGAGTGGTAATTTCTTCTCATGAGGCACATAGTATACACTTTGATAATTTGCAATATTTCTCGTATAGAGAGTACTGGCATATTTACATTGTTCCAAGTGATTTTTCCAATCCTCTCCTTTCTGAATATAATTCTTGTACAATTTAAAATCGTGGAATGCATTCTTTCGATGTCTCAATAAATTCACAATTGATCGTTCCATCTCCAAAGCAATATTTTTCGATCCCTCAATCTCATAATACAGCATGGCCAGATTTAACTTGTCTGATTCTGATAAATTTCTTCTCCATTCATTCTTCAAACTTGAAACCCATAATAATTCATTCACATCTCCATTGTAAAATCCAAGAAAGATATCTCGATGCAAATACAAGAATCTCCAATCTAAATCTCTCCTCTTCCAAACAACATTATTAGAAAATTCAGAAAATTGCTCCGAATGGAATTCATGCCTCTCGAATGAACCTTTAAATTCAATCCATTGTCTTTCTAATTGTGTTACAACAAAATCCTTCCAATATAATTCCTTCCATAATAATTGAGCATAATTTTGATAAGTCTGAGCATGATGATGATGATCGGAAGAATTTGAACAAGTAATTAATTCATTCCAAAATTTTGAAACTCTTCTCCATCGTTCCAATTCCTTAGCATCATCCGTAATGAAGAGAAGAATATGAATGATTACATCCTCCTTGCCAGGAGAGAAGAGTAATGCACATGGATCGGAATATTTACAAATATGTGGAAGCATTTTTTTCTAAAAAAATAAAATCTTATTTATCATATGCAAATTATTTAATAATATTTTGATTTTTTATGTATAACTGAATCATTGGATTAAAATGATCAAGATTTATGCATAATTATAATAGAAGTTTATTGAACGAAAACTTCAGTCTTTTCAAAGATGGAAACTCCAAGTTTGGCAATAGAACTGGCACATCTATTAAATGTCGTGTTAAAAAGTGTAAAAATAATATTCGAAACTTACTCTCCCTTCTTGACAACCTTTCCTTCTTTCAATCTTGAGGCAATAGTAACACCATCAATTTGAATCATTACCCACCAAATAACCCAGAATGGAAGAACACAAATACCAATGAAAACAAACATTAAAACAACAATCAAGAAGTAAAAGAAAATATTCAAGACAATATAGGTGATACCCTTTCCAGCCTGTAAAGAGAAAATAGTTTAGAATAGTTATGTACATTGTGTACTTACTTGTCCCATAACAATATGGCCAAGACCAAGGAAAAGGAAGTTCAATAAAAAGACCAAGATTGGTTCAATGTTGGTATTTGGCACTTGGTCGTCGCTGGCAATAGGTTGTTGTTGTTTCATTGTGTAGAGCTGCACTGTTGATTATGTTGTTTTGTTTTTTTGAAGTGGGGTGAAATTTGGCGATAATAAGCGTTTGGTTTCATTGTGTTTTTACATGACAGTTATCTCCAAAAGAGAACAACAAACCACAAAAGCATAAATTGTAAAGAGCAGTGAAGTTAGCTGGAAAGAATTTGGAAGGTGGATGAATTAACAGATGAACGTACGAATGGTTCATAACAAGTGGCAACTACAGTTCAACCAGCCCTTCTACAGACTATTTCATTGTATCATCTTCCTTCTTTCTTCTAATTATGCTTGTTGCCATTCGTGCAAGAGCACATGCATTCCATCGTTCCAATCAATGTTTCATCAATATTATCCGAAAATTATAATATGTAATATAATAATACTCTCCATGATATTCCTCCATCAAGTCATCATATTAAATAATATTAAAATAATAAATATAATTTTTCTTTCCGATTTAATTTCACTCATAAAATTCATGGCAATTTCCCTTATTCCACTTTCCATATATTTCCCAGAACACAAATCTTTCCAACACCAACCAATACCTGACCACCACTGAAACAATCTCAAAGATGATGAACCTATTAGTGATGATATCATCACAGTTCCATCACAAACTCGCTTCAAAAAAATAGCGCGAAAACTCAAAGCCTTTTCTCTCCATTTTTTAGGCTTGTTTTTTGTCTAAGCCTACTTGCCTGTTGTTCTCTATAGTTCTAAGCAGACAAGGAAACAAGCCTTCCTCATTGATTACAAAGCATAACTATTGACAAATATACAAACACACGGTCCAATTTAAGGTCGTTACGATATAAAAGGAATGCGCTAGAGTTCAACAAGACTAAAAAACAAACTCAAAAAAAACAAATCAATTAATTGCATTGCACTTTTTGCTCTCAAAGTTCACATATTGAGATTTAACAAGGCTTTGAAATTTATATTCCCTATATTCATCATCATCATTAATCTATTATATTGGCACATAGACGAAACGTTTCGGTAAGTAATTATGCAATATTATCCAACTCATTGATTGCTTCCTATATGATAAAGAAAGATGGAAACTATGCAAATTGACTCAACTCCACAACACACCAAGGCTATCACACAATCTCCACATTCATCATCATCACTCGTCGACACTTGCACTCCAATCAAGAAGAGAAAGAATTATTCCAATAGAATGTCAACTTCATTATCATCTGTAGAACAAGGCTCCGCTCCATGTGACCAGCCTTCATCAGCTACTGACTCTAACATTTCCTCACTCTCATCAGGTCACAACAATGAAGTGGATCATGATGATTCATTCATGCATCAAATCTCTTCTCCTATTCCTCATTTTCAAGTTGGTTCATTGATTAGAGGAGGTCTGAGAAGAGATTTCGAGGAAGATCATCTCCTTTTGGAACAAGTTGAAGGTGCTTTAGATTCTCCAATGAAAACAACTCTTTCATCTCCAATGAATCAAAGTAACACTCCTCCAAGAAGAAAGAGAAGCTTGGATAAATTAGATGAAATTCCAGAATGGAGAAAGAAGGAAGAAGCAAACACCAACAGTGAATTCTCAGCCTTTTCAAGTGGAAGTTCAACAGCCACTCCAAAGAAGACAAGATCTAGGAATGGATCCTTTACCACTCCTCAACATGGTCGTAGCTCTTGGTTCAGAAATGTCACACCAAACAAGCCTAGTCCTGCATCCTCTGATTGTGCTTCAACTGATTCCACTCCAACTCAAGCCTCAACTGATAGAGCTAATTCAAGTCCATTCAAATCAGATTTGAAGAATAGTAATTTTACATTTCAAAAGTTTGCCCCTCATGCTTTGCACGTTCACTGTTCCTTAATGAAAGCAAAGGCTCCAACTGTTTACATGCAAAACGAATCCAAAGTTGACACTGATGGCAGAATCAATTACACCTTCGAATGTGGTCTCTCCTGTGTCAGCAGAGAGAATACGATTATGAGTGCATCTGGTAAGCATCATAACAAGACTCACGCCAAATCCATTGCTGCAAGAAGACTCCTCTCAGACTTGTATCCAGAGTTTAAGGGTAATTTGGAGCAAATCATCAGGTTTTTGGATAAGGAACTTCAAGAAAAGAAGCTTAATTTGAGAAGAATCCTTCCAAACGATGTTGAAATGAATAAGCAACAGCAACAAATCAAGATGGCTAATGAACGTCTCTTGAAAGAAGGTTTCAATTCTATGGACACTGCTTCTGATTCTAGCTCTCAACAACTACCAACTCAAGATTCTAACAAACCAGCCAGCAATCAACCAAATCAATACAATTTCTTCCATGTTCCTTTCGAGGAAGCTATTAAGGTTTTGAATGAATTGATTCACATTAGAGGATACAATTATCCAACTTGTCAACAGAGAGAAATTGAAGAGAATGGAGGCACTGTTCAACAAGTTACAATGATTTTAGAAATGCCAAACGACAAGGGGGTTTACTACTCTGAAGGTAAGGCATATGATCTCAAGGTTGCCAAAGGAGAATGTTCATGGAAGATGCTCTGCTACTTGTTCCCTAGCTTTAATTCTAACTGGTATTTGATTAGAGATTTCGTCGAAGATTTGAGAACCAAGAGAAAGATGGAGAAACTCAAGAAGAGAGAAGAAACCTTGGTGAGAAGAAAGTTGGAATTTAGCAATCAAGAACAATCTGAAGATTCCAGACAAATGGCTGAACACTCCCAACATGAATATGGAAAGAAGGGAGAAGAAGTACTTTCCAAGCAAGTTCCTCCTCCACCTCCTATGCCTCCTCGTGATATGAATAATGGATCTCCAAGTTGGTTCTATTCCAATATGCACAATATCAGTCCACCAATGAACATGTATCATCATAATCAATTCTTGCAATATAATCCTCCAATCAATAGTCATTCAATGATGTTCTCCAATCAAATGCATCATCAACATCCTTACTGGTATCACCCATATCAAAACAATCATGGCCATTGCTATTGTAGTAGTTGTGTTGCTTCCAATTCAAATATGCCACCTCCATACTACTCACAACAACAACACTCCCTCTTTTCTCAATCATTTCCAAACGAACAATCTCAACAAGGAGAATATCGTTCCCAAAAACATTAAGCATCAAGTTGGTAAAGAAAAATAGTTAAGTCTATAGTTCATTCCAACTTGGCTTGTTTAAATTGTATATTTATAATAAACTGTGTATTTACTTGACTGAAGAGTAGGTGTTGATTTTTCCATCAAAGGAACAGCTCAATAAAGTAGTAGAATTTTTAAATTTAACATCAGAAACAACATCTGAATGATATCCAATAATTTTCTCAATGCACTTTTCAGATGTTGTCAAATCATAAAGGTACACACATCGATCTTCACTTCCACAAGCAATGTATCGCATACAAGGGCTTATAGCATTTCCAATGGAATGGATCGAATTCTTATGTTGACTATATCTTCTAATTGGATCTTGTTGCCTTGCATCCCACAGCTTTACACATCCATCAACGGAGGAAGTAAGGAAAAAGTTGATCGAATCGCTAGTGGCATTCGGAGAATTATTTAGAGAAATGGTATGAATTGGTCTTTCATGGGCATTTTCAATTGATCTTACTACTGTATCTTTGCAAACGTCATAAATCTCCAAAGTTTTACTAGAATATCCAAGTAAAATATAATTTGACAAGTAGGAATTTGGACATGTTAGGGCTGTAATCTTTTGGGCCTGTCTGCTTTCGAAAACATGACCAAGTTTGTACTTGTGATTATCTACTTGTCTGTTTAAGAATCAATTGATTAGATGAGTAAATATGATATTAAACATACTTTTTCAAATACTTTTCATCAGAGTTTGTACTCTTGTGAATATAGTACTTGTAAATATACATCTTATTAGAGCTCGAAAGGACGGTAAATCTATCTTGATGGAAGAAACTTGCATTATTTACACTCGATTTGAAAATTTGCTCTGGTCTCTTGTTTTCCTCAGAGGTTGTACTCTTAATATTTCCCAAAATACTCTTAAAATTAATAGCTGGTTCAATTCCATTCTTTCCATTTTTCCAAATTGTTGCCGTATTGTCAGAGCTTGATGTTAAAATTAATTTTGATGAGAGTGTCCAATTGATTGAATTGACAGCAACAGAATGTTTCTCAAGTGGTACTCCCTTGTTCTTGTTTGATAGAGGAAGTTTAGAAAGCATGCAGAGCCCAGAATTAGATCCTGTTACAATAGATTCCTTATTGGGGGAAATAGACATGCATAGAATTGGAGAGTTGTGAACTCGGAGCTCTGATGAAAGATTAATTGGAGGTTTTTCAAAACTCGGAGTGACAAGTTCTTTGGTCGTTGTTGTTTTCTTAATTGTAGATGAGGTAGATGATGAGGAAGAGGAGGTGGGTTTTTTCTTCAAGTGAGCAGGAACAAATGGTGCTTCTGAATAACCTGAAGATTTGATTCTTGTGGAAAAAGTTGATGGCTTGTCAACAAGTGCTTTGGTCTTTTTCTGAGGTGTTGGAGTAACCTTAACTAGTGTTCCTCTCAAATAATTGGGCAGTTCATCTGTATGAGTCATGGAAATGACGTCTCCTTCAATTTTAGTCTGCTTTGGTTTTAGGATGGAATCTGGAATTTCATTCTTCCTCTCGATGGTCATAGATTGATGGTTAATATCCATGACATAGATATATGGTTGAAAGGCACTAGCTGCCACCAAACGTGTACTACATTCCTCAATGAATTGTGCATCAAAAGAGTGAAACAAGTCCTTGCATTGGTCTGTCACGTTTGCAATATCATACATTCTCTCAATCTCAAAAGATGACAGATCAATATCAACAGCCAATGATTTGGAGCATATCATTACATAGTCATTGTCATTCTTCGAAAAGAAATTCATCTTGGATGCACAATGTGAATACTCACATAGAGTCAGCTCTTGAGAATCTTCCTCAGTATCGAATTGTTTTTGAATGAAATTATGTTGCTGTCTCCAAATTGGCTCACTACTAATGACTTCAAATGAGGGTATTGGAGATTTCTCCTCTGGCTTGATGAACTTTTTAATCTTCTTGTTGAGGTCAAATTCGTGAAGCAGTTTCACCCAAAGGCACTTTAAACTCTCATCATTTTTCGTCTCGTATATTTGAACTATTCCATTACTAAAACCAATCATGAATCTATTCACGCCATATTCCTCACAAACTGAAATAATTGGATACGGTGAGAGAACTCCTGATTTGTACAATACTTTCCTCTCATAAATATCCCATATCTTAATTACAATAGAAACTTTCAATCAGAATTATCAAATATTGAACACACAAACCTTAAAAGTTCTATCTTCGGAAACACTAATGATACAATGTTGTAAATGTCTCAAAAACAAAACCTCAGTCACGGGAGATTGATGCCCCTCCAAGCTCAGTATCACCTTTGCCAGTTCTATATGATAAATTAATATAGAATCTTCCAATCCAATATACAACAATTCATCGTTATCGCTAAACTTTACAAATGAAACATTTCCAACATTTGATCCAATCACCACTCCATCATCCTGAAATCCATCCCGATATGCAAGAACATTCCACAACTTTACACAAGAACTGGATGCTGAACATAACATTTCAGATTTTCGATTTCCAAAGCAAACACAACTAATCGGATCTTCCTTTTCATGAGGCAGTATCACAATTGGCTCCAAATCATCATCTATAACAGGTGTCAATACAAGGGCTGCCTCATCCACCTCGTCGTCATCCCCCAATTCTTGTTTGATTCTTGTATTATTTGATTTTCTGATAACATCATTGCTTCCACTACTACAACCCGATAACATGACATTCCAAATCAATACTTTTCCTGTCGATTCACCTCCAGCCACCAACATTTGAGAGGAAGTAGACCTCGAAATGGCCACACTCGTAATGTTTGTTCTCGGAGTTGATCCTTTCAGTATGCTTACTAATTGATGTTTCTTCATTTTTTTAAAGTTGTAGAATGGGTATGGAGGGAACATATAATTTCATAATACAACAATCATTTATGGGGATTGGTGATGAATTTGCTGGACTATCATGAATTATCATGTATTGAGATGATTAATACACATTGAGAGTTGACAATATCGGAATAACATGATATAATAATTATTGTTTTTTTAATAAAATTAACAAAATTTGAAATTAAATTTCTACTACTACATATACTATTATTCGATTAATCCTAAAATTTGTTGTGATAGCACTTAATCAGACTTTTGCTTTTGATTGGCCAAATCAACAATTTGGTTATTAGCATACATATAGACAACATATGGCAAAGCAGTAGGAATGAGAGACAAGATGAAGAAGACGATCCAATCACCAACGTGGGAAGCGTGCTTTCTATCATATTCAGCTTGAGTCATGACTGGAATAGCTGGCAAAACGTTACTCTTAGAGATGAGCTTCAATGACTTTTCGTCCTTTTCAGCAGCTGGAGCCAATCTGTAAGTGGCCAAAGCATGTTGAGTATTAATTTCACCAACACTCTTTGGAACAATAGTATACTTGTAAGAGACACGGTCATTTGGAGCAACCTTTTCAAAACTAGCCTTGGTTTCACCTTCAGCAAGTTCGAATTGAGCTTCTGGCCATTCATTGTCCTTAACATCAATATCATAAGCAGTTTCTTCACCAACATTGATAACAGTGATCGTGAAAGTAATATTAGTATTGACGATTGGTTCGGCTGGAGAAACACTCTTGTGGAGGAAAAGTCTTACATTGTTTTGTTGAGTTGTTGTTGTTGTGGTAGTAGATGTTTCATCGACAGGGGTGGCTGTAATGTCTTCATCTTGAGCCAAAACAGATGTTATTGTGCACAAGGCGAACAAAATGGCCAAAATAACGGCGAGAGAGAATTTCAAAGACTTGTTCATTTTTTTTTAAAAAAGACCTGCTGATGATCATGCAGTCAAGCTACAGAGCAATGCTGTGAGGTGTGAAATTGTAAACGCAGCAAGTCTTTCAGCTGAAAAAACGCACGTCATGCTCACAAGCTGGCTTGCGAACAAAAAAATCATGACAACATAATTCTTCGACTCACAATGATAATCATATAAGGATGATTGGATAGGATACCAATAATGGATTGAAAACAAGGATATCTAGGAATATACAAGTATTACAGGATAATAATATTATTATTGGACAAGTACTTCCGAAGTGATGAAAAAGAATAAAAATCAAAGATTATAATTTCATGTGTTTATCAAAATTTAAAAGCTCTTCAAAGAGGATTCCATCAAGTTTTGCAATCTATTGACCATTGATCTTGGATCATCCAATAAACCGGCACTGATGAGAGCATTATCAAAGATTTGTTCAGCAACAAGCTTGGCCAAATCTGGATTAGCTGACTTGGCATTGAAGAGTTTCATGATGAGTGGATGGCGAGGATTGATTTCAACTTGTTGTGGAGAGAGGGCAATATCTTGATTTTGCAATTTACGAATCATTCTGAGGGAGGCATTTTCTGGATTCTTAATGACAGCTGGAGTTGTTGAGAGACGCTTAGAGATCTTGGCAGATGAAACCTTATCCTTCAATGAGGTTTGGAACCATTCACACAATTCCTTAGATTGAATTTCAGAGAGTTCATTTTCACCAGATGTCTTGTCAGCTTCATCATCTTCCAATTCAGCTCTATCAATGGCCTTAGTTTCCTTACCATTGAAATAACCAATTGAACCAAAGACAAAGTCATCAGGTCCATCATAACCGAACAAGACTTCGATACCCTTCTTCTTGAAAACTTCAAAGTATGGAGAGTTTTCGGCATATTCTCTAGTTGGAGCAATGAGGTAGTAAATTGTCTTTTGTTCAGTTCCCATTCTGTTAATATATTCTTCCAATGTTGTCTTTTCACCCTTTGGTAAGGCAGATGATTCGTACATGAGCAATTTGGCAGCTTCATCCTTATACATGTAATCAGTGACAACACCTTCCTTAATGAACTTGTTGAACTTTTCATAGAAACTAATGTACTTTTCACGATCTTGCTTCATCATGTCATTGAAGAATTTGGTAATTCTCTTAACGAGGACAGATTTAATCTTTTGAATGAGTGGAGAATCTTGCAAGTGTTCTCTGGAAATGTTCAATGGTAAATCTTCAGAGTCAACAACACCCTTCAAGAATCTCAACCAATCTGGGAGAATATCTGGATGCTTGGCACGAATCAAAACTCTTCTACTGTGAACATTGACACCAGGTTCCATCTTACCCATACCCAATGATTCAGTGTGGTGATCTGGGACGTAGAACAAGGCATTCATATTCAATGGAATATCCAAGTTAAAGTGGAGAATATAGAGTGGGTTTCCACCATAGTGTGAAAGATACTTGTAGAATTCTTGATGTTCTTCAGCAGTGACAGAGTTCTTGCTCTTCAACCAGACAGCATCAAGAGTATTGACCTTGGCACCGTTCAAAATGATTGGATAAGAGACAAAGTTACTGTACTTTTGAATAATCTTTTGAACAGTATCCTTGAAAGAGAATTCCTTTTCATTCTTCTTCAAATAAATGACAATCTTTGTACCTCTGGCAACTCCTTCAGCTTCGGAAATTGTGTAATTTCCTTCACCAGTACTTTCCCAACAATATCCAGGTTGACCTTTGATAGCAGATCTAGTATAAATACGGACCTTATCAGCAACCATGAATGTACTGTAAAAACCAACACCAAATTGACCAATAATGTTGGATGTAGCTTCACCCTTATCGGAAGCTTCCTTAAGTTGTTTAACAAAGGCACGAGAACCACTGTGAGCAATAGTACCAATATTCTTGATTAATTCTTCCTTGGACATACCAATACCAGAGTCTTGAATGACGAAAATATTATTCTTATCATCACAAGAAATTTGGACAGATAATTCCTTTGAAGGATCATCAACCTTGTCTGGTGAAACTTGATTCATTCTTCTAACCTTTTCCAAAGCATCGGAAGCATTTGAAATTAATTCTCTGATGAAGACTTCCTTGTCAGTATAGAGAGCAGAAGCAACAATGTGTAAAAGTTGTTTAGTTTCAGTTTCAAAAGTCTTATTTTCCTTGGCACCAACAATGTGTTCAGTTTCTCTAATAATATTTTCTTCCTTGAGTTCATTGACTTCGGCATCCTCAAAAACATCATCATCAATAACATCCTTCTTTTCATTTCTAACAAATAGTTGTGATGAGAAATTAGCAATCAATTGTTGTTGTTGTTGATATGATGAACAAGAATTCTTTGAAAGAACGGAAGAAGAAGATGGCAATGCTGATGATGAACATCTCACAGCAGCAGAACGCTTTGAGACGAGCGAACGGACGATTTTACCAGAGTTTCTGCTCAACATTTTTTTTTCAATCAAAAACTGAAGCTATTGATTGAAGATGGAACGGAAAGTGTTGTGCTTCCGATCCAGAGCCATGTTTGCTTTCTTAATTGCTATTAAATGGAATAAGAAATTCCGATTAGTATTAATGAAAGTAGGTTGGGATTTTAAATTGATTGAGGGAGGTTGAATGATATATTTATTTGCTACTGATTGAGGAAGCACAGTTAGAAAACAATAGAGTTCTTCCTTAATATAATCAGTAACATTGAAAAGATACTATTGTTAATTCAAACAAGGAACATAAATTTCAAAGCTCAACTGAAACATCCTTTTAGTTAAATGAAGTTATTGCTAAGTGAGGTCTTCAACTTGAAATGAGATATATTGTGTGGGTTTAACATAAAGGAATGGTTTCATTATCTTCCCCATGATCTGGAGATTATTCAATAGACCTGTTAAAGAGATCAAATCTCCATAATAAGATCCAGAATCTTAAAGATGAAAATTCCGCTTCCTATCCAGATTTTCCGCACAACCACACAATCACAATCTTTGTTATCATTCTCACCTCAGCAGAAGTAACAACAAATCATCAACTGTACCTCAGCAGTAACAAGAAAAACCATTTGAAAAAAAAATTGTTTAAGGTCGTGCTCGTCATTATTGTGCATGAAGAAAGTGGCCATTGTATTGTCATGTTGGTGGCTCTTGTTCATCGCTTGGAATTGCATGCACGAGTGGCTAGTATGGAAGATAACTGTTCATGGCCAGCAACTCGTTGTACCAAGGTTTGAATGTTCGTGATGCTAATGGTCGTGTGATACGTTCATTGGGACCTGAGACTGCAGTTACTGTCTATGGTATTATGGTTAAGGATGGAGGAAGATGGGCAAAGATTGGAACCAATGAATATGTTTCTGCTGATTATTTAAAAATGTCATGTGGATGTGGTGGAGGATACAATAATCAAGATCCAACACTACCAGATAAGCTTCAATCACCCAAGCAAAAACTGGTGTACCGCCACTGGTTTCAGTCTGTGTTAACTTTTCCGCCACTTACTTCGGATACATCCCAACATCAGTCCGCCACAGGCAATAAGCAAGAATCGCTACACTAGTTTTTAATATGACATTTCAATCAAAAAATCAAATGGTTTATTACATATTGACATGTGACATTAATCCAAACAAGATTATTTCAACATTCAAAATTCAATCAATAATTGAATGAAATTTATCTCATTTGTAAATAAACAATCGTTTCCCAGTAGCAACATAACAATATCCAGTTATTTCATCAATTGTTAATCCAATAATGTCACTACCAACGACTTTCGAATTGATTTTTTTGCATTTGCTAGAAAGTTGAATGAAAGACACAGAGAAGGTTATAAGAAATGGGGTGGTAAGTATCGTATGTATTTATTCGTGAATTTTTTGTTCGATTCCATACGAATTGTTTCAATTTTGCAAAGTATGATAATATTTAGACTCCAATTTGATTGAATCAAAATTCTCGAACTTCATTGTAAAACAAATCCTATGTACTTGAAGAAAATCTCAAAAAAGAAAGTATTATTTCAGAAATTGGACATTTTGGATTTCCCATTTTGTTGATTTACCATTTAAGTAGGTTGAGTTAGACCAATTTAAACAAATCAATGTGAAACTATACCCAATCAAAAACAATCAAAACAAATTGATATAATTCAATCACGCTTTTCAAACTAACTTTCCAATCAACTTATCAACTCTCCAACTCTAACTCTATACGAAACCATGAAAAAGATACTCTTCATAGTCCTTGTATGCATCTTGGCTGCTCTCTTCTTGAATGCTGATAAGGCAGATGGTCAATTGACATACAGCTATCGTTATGCCTACAGCTACCCTTCCACCTATGGTTACTCATATCCATCTAGTTACGGATACGGCTATCCTTCAACCTATGGTTACTCATATCCATATAGTTACGGATATGGCTACCCTTCAACCTACGGATACGGCTACCCTTCAACCTACGGATACTCATATCCATCCTCCTATAGCTATCGTTACGCCTACAGCTACCCTTCCACCTATGGTTACTCATATCCTTATAGTTACGGATACGGCTACCCTTCCACCTATGGTTACTCATATCCATCTAGTTATTCTTATGGTTATCCTTACTCATATGGTGGCTATGGATATCCTTCTTCATATGCTTATTCATACAGATATTGGTAAGAAATCAATTAATTGTAAATCTATAATAAAAATGTAACACTTTGAAAGAGTTTATTGTAATTTTGATGGAAAGAACCACCCAAAACATCACCAATCAAACTAAAATCACTTGAGAAAGCTTGGCATCTGTTACGAAGGAGTCCTTTAGAAATCAAATCAGTTTTTCCATGACTCAATCGAGAATGAAGTATTTGTTGAAAACGAAACTGTTCCGAAGAGACTGAGAAGGAAAGAACACATACGTGTGAAAAACAACTGACACCAAAAGGTCAAAACACTTCATTGCAAGACAGGAACAGTTTTGATGAAACAAATTAACAATTTTTGTAAATTTAATAAAAATGTTTATTTACAACACAATTTATGGAAATAGATCAATTTCTTCTTCGTCTTCCAATTCCAAATAACAATGATTGAATATTTCATTCAGATCTTCTTCAGTCTCATTCACTGCCAAATGGAAATCTTTAAACGCCTCTCTAATTTGGTGTTCCCTCTCCTCTTCTGATAAATCATATTCTGCATGATCTGAACAACTTTCAATCTTTTGTTTTTTACTCAAATCATTTAGAGGAGTGGGTGAATCCTTTCTCTTATTGTGATCTTGAGTTTTTCTTAGTACTTTTCGATTGGGAGTTTTGGAAGGTGTTAATTGAAGCATTTTCTTTTGTAGAGTTGTGATTAGTTTTAATGTTTGAAAGGTGGGTTTCGAATCATGTTAATTGATTTCAACTGGTTTATTTTTACCAATTCCTCCTCACTATTTTTTCTCTATTAAGGCATCAATGACCAAATTAACAGAATCTTGCAAGATTTTTCTCAATTTCTTCAATTTTTCATAATCCAATGTCTTGATTTCTTCTTCTGTGAAGGTTGCTCTTTGCATGACATCCGAAACCATCTCCTCTTGTTGTTCACAATCACTTTGAATTGAGGTCAGCAATGTTTTTACCATTTCCCATCGCTTATTCATTGACAATTCCACACCCGAATCATTTTCCATCATTTTACAATTTGGTGGTGATGAGAATGATGATGTTGGTGGAACTGTTGTTGTGCCATGTTGAATGGTTGAAGTATTATCTACCAATGATTTGAATAATTGTTGCTCACCACCATCACGACTCGATTTTTCATTCAAAGTTGTGTTTTTTGCTAAATCTCCTTGATGATCAGCTTGATGTGATGTAGCCACTGCAATTTCGGAAGCAGTTTCCTTTTGTCTTTTCAAGCTCGGTTCAAGATTTTGCTCCTCTTGTTCATCATTTTCTTCTTCAATTTCATCAATTTCATCAATTTCATCATCATTTTGTTCATCAATTTGTTCCTCTTCATCCTCATCATCGTTTTGTGAGCAATCCCTGAATTCATTGTAGGATATCTTTCTCTTTTCACGTAATTGGTACGGTGATGACTTTGAAGTGGACGACATTTTTTTATTGTGTGTGAATTTGAGCTCTTGTCCATGTCATCATCGACAAGTGAGCGAGGAAAGGTTAAATAACTTAGGACAGATCTCATTGTATTCTTATGTCGTTGTAACGAAACTATTTCCTTGTTGTTTCTTCTTGCAAGAAGTTTTGTTGAAATGATTATGAAGTACTTTTATTTGAAAAATGATAATTGATGATTGACTTGATCACAAACGATAAGTTCACCACTCTTTCTGTTAAGGCAACATCCCTGTGGATATTGCAATTTTTTGTTTGTGCATTTGGCATTCAAGTTGGAAATTAGTGTGAAATTTTGGTCAATTGAAAGGACGAAGATTTCACAACTAAAATGTTCAATGATAAAGAGCTGATTACTTGATTCATCAATTTCTAATCCTCTAAACTTGTTTCTTGGTTGATTAAATGGATGAGGTAGTAATTGACAGGAGCTGTCGTCAATCAAGAATAATCTGCCACATCTACAATCATTAACTATCATTCTTTCACTGTTCGGGAGCATCAATGCATAACACGGTTCAATTAATAACCCATTATTAAACGTTGGCGTTTTGGGTCCAAAGTTAATTTCCTTAAATGGCTCTCCGTTTATGGAATGCACAAATAAAATTCTATATTTGGAAGGATCACAAAGAATAATTACATTCTCATCTCTGCTCTTTCCATATTTAAGACTCATCCCAATCTGGCATCCAAAATGATCCCAATCATCATCTCCAAATTCATTAGCAGTTCCAGAAATCCAAATTAATTTCAATCTTGAATTGAGAATTTCCAATAAATCCAATTTGTAAACACAATAATCATCACAGGAAACAAGAATTGCATCTTGTGATCTTCCACATCCATTCCTTTCCACTAGAACGTTTTCAACCATTTTTGGAAATATTGCACTTGTTAAATATTTCAAATTTTGGAGGGAAAAAATCTGAACTCTATGGTTCATGCTATCTGAAACTAGAATGCAATTATGATTGTAGGATATATCAACATTGTTTGGACAATCGAATTGAGTTTCTTCTCCTCCACAAACTTGATATTCGCCTAATTCTCTTATCAACTGAAAATTTAATGAAAATGGAATTGTGTCGTCTTGTTGGTTTTGAAACTTTTTCTTAAGCAAAGGGCTTGAAAAGTTGCAATCGAGAGCAACGACAACAGACTGATCATGTTGATTCATTTTTAATTCTTTCAAATTGTTTCGAATAGTTGAATTTGAAACTTCTTATATTTGGAATTTGAAGGTTACCTTCAATTTGAACATTTTTGAGTTTGAATTCAAAGCAGTAACACCCAATACAACAGTTTACAACCAATCTACAACATGTTAGAATTTCTTCATTTCAACCCATCTTCGGATGCACTTTTCGACATTTTTCCTTATCCTCACCAAGATTTTTAAACTAATCTCTGTGAAACATTTAAAACAGATGAGCCCAGCACCAAATCCTCTTCAAATCAAATCAAAAAAATGTCTTCAGTTATCGTTCTTGGAGCTAATGGTTATATTGGCATTGGTGTTTCCCAATCTTTACAGAGAAATGGTTTTTCAGTGTATGGCACTGTTCGATCAGAAAAACATGAGAAATTCCTGTTGGCGAATGAAATTACTCCACTCGTCATTCCAAAAGTTACATCCTTGTTTAGTGATGAGAAATTTGGCAAGATTTTGGAAAGGACAAGTGCAATTATTGATTGTATTGGGCTGACTGATGAAACTGACAAGATTGTGCAATTGGTGAAGGAACATTCTGCTGACAGATTGAAAAGGAAACTTTCCAAGTTGGTTTTCGTATTTACTAGTGGAATTATGACTTATGGAAAGGCCTCTGCTGAACTATTCCTGGATGAGAATGTGAGACCAGAGCCAACTCATGCATGGGTTGAGAAGAGAAGAGATGTTGAATATGAATTATTGAATGGAGAGTTTACCCATTTGGATACTGTTGTAATTCGTCCTGGTTTCGTATATGGTAAGAGTGGTGGTGAAATTTTCAAAGATTTTTTCAATCCAAAAATTACTTCAGATGGTAAATTGACAATTATTGGATCTCCTAAAAAGAGATGGAGTTGGGTTCATGTAGATGATTTAGGAGAAGCCTATACTAAGGTTCTAACAGTTGGACGAAACTTAGTTTCTGGTCAATTGTTCAACATTGCAAATCCAAATGATTATCCAACCTATGATCGTGTCAGAATTGAAATTGCCAAACAAACTGGATGGCAACCAAACTCTGAGAATGAAACTGATTCACTTCTTATTGAGCCAGTTCCACAAGAAAATGCTGGATTGGTTGTTTGGGAGAATACAGTGATGATTAATCCGAGAAAGGCCATTGAAGTATTGGGTTGGAATCCAAAACATTTGAATTTTATTGAAAAGATTCATGTTTATTATCAATCATGGAAGAATTCTCAATAAAATTGATTCAATTTTTGTGATTATTTGAAGTAACGGTAAATTTGGAGGGAAATTAAAAAAATTGAAAAACAATTAATTCGCATCACCAACATCACGTGTTATAATATTAATATTATTGGAAGATATTAATTTCTATCATGCTTCTAACATGGAACACACTGTGTTCGGAATGACAATTTGACGTCGACTGAAAGGAAGATATGCAAGAAGAATAATTTTCTTCTATTTGAAATGGTCGGTGCTGCTAACGGAGGCTAAGTCGAACAACACAACTCTCAATTAGAAGTAGAAAGTAATGAGTAATATTTGTACATTCTTTCGAAACATATATACTCAGTAGAAACAAAAGAAAACAAATGAATATGAGGATTCTTCTCTTCCTTCTCTTATTGGCACTTCTCTCCCCAAGTATTTCCTCCACCTCATCATCATCATCATCATCAACACTCCTTAATCGCATGTGTAGTAGTGATGATAGAGCTCCCTCTTTCAATCAGAGAGATTTGTGTTCAGCATCAAATAATTCAATGATTACTCCCTCCTGGTGCACTCGTCATAATCCATTCTCTTCGGTTCCTTATTTATTTAGTGATAATAACTTTCCGAGTTGGTTAAATGTTGAGGATGGAGCCATTTGTAATACGGCCAATCCCTACGTGTTCAGTTTTATTAATGGAACAATTAGATATTCTGCTCCGTATGCTCTCGATGGAAATGCACAAGTATTGCCATCATCATCTTCATCTTCATTGAGTTATTCTGCAATGATTTCACCAAGAGACAAGTGTAGATTTATATCAAAGATTAATACGATTGAGTTTAGTGGTGAATTTGGATTCAATAGTAGTACTACGATTGAAGCTAAGAGATATCTGGTTTTGGGATTAGTTTCTGGACAAATTATTCTAATGAATTTCAATAAGGATGATGAGATTTACTTGTTGGGAAATACTGAAGATAAGACAAATATTAGAACATTGGAAACTTTGACAAATGGTACTGATTTATATGTTTCGACTGTTTCATTTGGTAATTCAGTTTCTCTATTTTATGGAAATTCTTCAAATATTGCTTCTATTCAACGTTGTGGAAACATTTTACAATTTGAATCGAGAAATCAATTTCCACCAGATGTCAAATTAATTACTCACGATGGAAAAATATACGCCTCTCTCATTGTTTACAATAGTACCGAAATGTGCTATTTCATTTACTTTTATCAACTAGATGGTTGCTCATTCACAAAACAATTCCAGTACAAGGTTAAGGAAAAGTGGGAATCTAATCTGAAATTCAAAATTTCCACTCAAGTTGGTGGATTTGACAATGTTCTCACCACTAACAATTTTGTATATTCGAGAACTATACTCCAATTCTCCACAAGAAAACATGTGAAAATCATTGAAATGACCACACAAGATATTGAAATGGATCTGAGTACCAATGACAATTCCACATTTTATGTTGCCACTGATGAGGAAGAAATTACAGCATCTACCATAGCATATGAATACATTAGAAGGATTGACTTTACAAAATCCTCATGCGCCAAAATTTATGCCAACCCAGCTCAAGGTGCAAACTTGATTCTTTCACTCAAGAGGAGAAATAGCAATTATTTGAAAGCAAGAAATTTATTAGAGTTTGGAAATTATCCATTCTATAGATATTCGAATAGAACTTATAATAATCCTGTTGGAAGAACAGTTGAGTGCAATGTTGCTGATGGTACATTTTATGATGCTTTAACACAGAGTTGTACTCATGCTTTTGAGGTAGAGAATGTGATTGGAGACATTTCTATTGGAGAAGAAATTCAAGAGCTTTCGAGTAGATTCCATGATGCTCCACTCAATTATTCACAATACTTTGAAGTTGATTTGACTGAAAAACTTGACACCAAAGATATTTGTAATAATATTGCTCAATTTCCAGCACTTGCTTCCTTATGTGAAGAAAATTTAAATCAAACAGAGTGTGCATTTGATGCATTTACCATGTTTGGAAACAAGTTCCTTCCTAAAATATTAGCAGATTTTTGGGTAAATCAAATTTACATTTCTAAAACTGGAAAGGAGGTTTTGGTTTATGGTTTACAACAAGAAATGTGTTCACTCAATGGTCTTTATATGGACAATTATAATACGATTAGTTTAATGGGAGAATCTACATATATGGATATCACAAGGAATGCTCAACACATGTTTGTAACAGTGTCCAGAGAACGATGGGAGTTACAATCCCTTACCAGATTTTACAATATTTGTAAACAATTAGAAGTAGATCCAGAAGATCCATTTTTGAAACCATTTGCTGAGCAATGTAAGGCAAATACACCTTCTCCAGTCACTCTTAATCAATTTGGACAATACACCTCAAGTTGTTTCAGTGGAATGAGTTGCCCATCTCTAAAACATGTGGAAATTGATATTATACCTGAAGGATTTTACACAACCAGACCAAATGTTGTCAAAGAATGTGAGGAAAAATACTTTTGCTTACAGGGTGTGAGACAGCCATGTCCAATTGGATTTTATTGCCCAAACAAGGGAATGACTAAACCATTGCCATGTAAATTCTCCACTTCACATAATTTACACAAACGAGGTCTTTCATGGGAGGAACCAAAGGGATCAGATACTTGCTACTCACAAGCCAACAGTTTACCTCAACCTTGTTTGAATGGTACTCTATGTATTACACCTTATTTTCCACCTATTCCTATTTCTCCTGGTCTTTATTTGGAAGGAAACAAGATTAAAGAATGTCAATTGGGAGATTATTGTAATTTGGGAAGATATATAGGTGAAAATCAAAATAGCTCAATATTGGCATGTCCTGAAAACACCTATTGTGAAGAACCCTCTACAATGGAACCTTCATTGTGTATTCCAGATGAAAAGTTATCATTATATTGCCCACCTGGAACTACATTCAGAAGACCATGTAATAAGGGATTCTATTGCCCAAAGCCAAGTGTTGAAGTTCCTTGTAAATTGACTCAATATTGTGAGGAGGGATCCTATATTCCTGAAACATGTCCAGCTGGTTATTACTGTCCATCACCATCTGAGAAGTTGATTTGTCCAAAGGGATTTTATTGTGTTGTTGGCAGTGTTTATCCTACCAATTGTCCGACATTTAGTATTTGTCCAGAGGGAACTAAGGCCTATGAAGATTATGCTCTTGGTGTCTTGATTGACATTTTAATTATCATGGGAGTAATTTTGACATTTAAAATTTATTCGTGGACTTCTAATTGTTATATTCGATATAAGGCAAAGAAACTCAAAAACCAACAAGATTTGGAATTACTAACCATAGATGAAAATGATGCTGAATATATTGTTGTGGAACAGAAAACTCAAAAATTGACACTTTCACAATGTATGCAAGGACTTTACAAGGACATTGGAGTGGAAATTTCATTTGAGGATTTGTCAGTTGACTTGAAAACAAGTAACAGAAGAATTTTGCATAATCTTAATGGTAAATTTGGCGCTGGTAGATTGACCTGTATTATGGGTCCCAGTGGAAGTGGTAAGACCACCCTATTATCAGCCATTAGTGGTAAAGCATCCTATGCCAACATTTCAGGTTCTATCAGAATTAACGGAGAAATATCATCCATGAAGAAATTCAAAAATATTTGTGCATTTGTACAACAAGAAGATTGCATGCACAGAGAGTTGACTGTGGAAGAGTGTATTTATTTCAGTGCTAGAACAAGATTGGCCTCTCAAGTGAGCCAGAAAACTGTGGAATCCATAGTGAATGGAGTGATTCAAATATTGGACTTGGAAAATGTGAGACATTCTGTAATTGGAGATGAGAATAAGAGAGGAATATCTGGTGGTCAGAGAAAGAGGGTCAGTATTGCTATGGAGCTAGTAGCTTGTCCTTATGTTTTATTTTGTAAGTTTTAACATTTTCGAAAATGAAAGACTTATTAATTTTTCAAATATAGTGGACGAACCTACATCTAGTCTCGATGCATACAGTAGCTTTGAAGTGTCTAAGGCAATGAAAGATATTGCCTCGAGTGGAATTACAGTTGTTGCAGTTTTGCATCAGCCAAGATTTGAAATTTTTGAAATGTTTGACGATGTGGTCTTGCTTGGAAATGGAGGTAGGATTGTGTATATGGGACCTTCCTCTGATGCTTTGCCTTACTTTGAGGAGAAACTCAATTTGGAGCCACCACCAAGAGTGAATCCGAGTGATTTCTTTTTGGATGCAATTTATGATCCTAAATTGGCATATGAATCACAGAAAAAGATTAACGGAAAACAAGTTCAACAATATACATGCAAGGAAATGTTTGATGTTTGGGAAAATAATTATAAGAAACTTGACGAATTTAATGGAACCGATTTTTCCAAATTAGTGATGGAAGAGAAGGCAAAATCTCAGAATCCTCTCATTCATTTCTACATGAACATTAATAGATCATTCCTATTGAAGATTAGAAACATTTTTGGATTTTTCATGGATTGCCTATTGGTATACGTTGCTGGACTAGCTCTTGGATTGACTTTCCTCAAAGATGCCTATGTTGGACCTCTTCCTGAAGACATGATTGACTCGTGTCCAGCAGCCATGAGAAAAATCTGTGAATATCCACTCAACAATCCAATCATCAACATGGCAAGTACCATTCCACTTGCTTTAGGATTGTGTGCAGGTATGTCCTCACTGACAACATTCGGTTCCAGACAAGAACAATTAATTTTCAAAAAGGAAAGAGAATCTGGACTCTCAGTTCTTGCCTATTTCAGTTCTAAAATGTTGGAACAATTGCCAAACATTCTTCTTGGACCAATTGTCTTTCTTTCCATTTTCTTTTCACTCTACTCTCCAAGAGCAACATTTGGAGAATATTATTTGGTTCTCTTTTTAATGCATTTCACAACATTTGGATTGGGAAGTTTGGTGAGTGTTGTTGTACCTTTGGATTTGATTCAATTGGCAACTGCAGTTTCAATTCTAGTTTCTCAATTGGTTAGTGGTTCTAAACCAACTCTTCCACAAATGAAAAAGATTATTCCACCTCTGTTTTGGATTAGTTGCATTTCGTATATTCGATATGCCCAGGAAGCACTTTACCTCATTGAAATCAAATATTATAAGGACATTTTTGACATTAGTTCATCATTGGAAATGTTTGATTATCATTTAGAGGATTTGGATTATTGTATCTTTATGATTCCAGTCTTTGGAATTGTTTTCAGATTATTAACATTGATAGTTTTGTATCAGAAGAGCGACGATTCATTGTGGAATACTTGTTTAATGTTTATTTCTTATTATTCGAATTTTGATCATTTTAAAACTGGCATGGTTTCAATGTGGAGAAGAATACAAATGGTAATGATATGGAAAGGTCATGAAAAAGAAGGATTATTGTAAAAGTAAAGGTTTCGAATATTTTTTTCACAATATCTTTATATTGTAATCAAATGCAATCATTCAAAAACGGAAATTTTGCTCTACAGGAGATTTGAAATGGGAAATTTCAATATTTATCTTTGAATTGAGTGAAAAATTGGTGACCGAGGTCAATACATAAATTGAACCCACCCTCAATTAATATCCGAAAGTGCAATTTCAAACAACATTTCACTGAAAAAAAATGAAGATATTCATTCTGCTACTAGTGCTGACAACAGTTGTCATTCATGGCCAAACAACATCGGTTCATGATTGGGAGAAGAAACAAAATATGCTCACCAAGAGAAGTGACCTTTCGGCTCAAACTATTGGAAACTTGATTTATTTGACTGGTGGATGTACTTCTAATCAACCAATAGCAAAAGATGCCACTTGTCCATCAATCACCAATTCAATGGAAATTTACAATCCACAAACTAATTCATTTACTTTTGGAAAAGCAATGCCTAGGCCAAGATATAGACACACTACTGTTGCTATTCAAAATAGATATTTATTTGTGATTGGTGGAAGAGATTTGAATGAGAATATTATTACCCAAGTGGATGTATTCGATACTGTTAATGGAAACTGGACGATACATAATGCTACGTTGACTTCTGACTGTTGTTCTGACTCTATTGCTTTCGTATTGAAGGATAGCAATGGAAATGAGAATATTTACTTACCTGGTGGATATTACGCCAATTACACAACCTCAGGAAAAGTTTTACAGTTGACTACCAAAAATGGAGTTTATTCTGGAACATTCCAATCAGGTTTAGTTTCAGATATGAATGTCAAAAGAGGTGATTCCATGACATTAACCTATAATAATAAGGCCTATGTAATTGGTGGATTTTTGGAAGATAATTTTTGTAAACCAATTACAACTGTGGAAGTATACGATTCCTCAACTAATAAGTGGACAATTACATCACCACTTTCACATGAGAGAGCTGATGGTGCTGCTATCATGGTTGGTTCTGCATTATTTGTTTTGGGAGGAGAATCTAAGGATAAATCATGTAATGTTTCATTACCTGTCAGTGATGTTGAGAAATTTGACACTGCTAGCGGGAAATGGAGTGATTTTGTGGCTCTTCCAACAGCTCGTTTTAGACAAACTGGTGAAATTGTCAACAATGTCATGTATGTGTTTGGTGGACAAATTGAAATTGAGATAGCTCAGCAATATTCAGTTTTGGATTGGACCTATGCTTACAATTTCACAGATTTTGTAAAGATTTCTGCAGCCAACTCGCAAATAATTTCATGGATATTTGTTTTCTCATTACTTTTCATTCTAGTAGTATAAATTGTTTTTGAAATTTTTAATTGAAAATCCCAAATATTACAATTCTTCTGATTCTCATTTAAATTCATTCGTATCTTATTCAATTTTCAGAATGTCAAAGGAGTTTTTGAAAATTTACTCAATTTCCAAAAACAACTTCCTTACTCTTTTTCATTGCATGGAGTTTCAGGAGATTAAACTCCAATCTCCCGCCAAAAACTTAAAGTTCGAGAAAAAACAAATTGAAAAAAACCACAAAAAAAAATGAAGAGATCAACAATTCTCTCCGCGCTCATCATGATGCTGCTGAGTTTTGCAGTCGTGATGGTTTGTGCCGGAACATTAAATAATTTGGCTGATGAATTATTAAAGAATGGAAATTATGTTAGAATGGAAAGCGAGAGAGTCAATAGTAGAGCATCTAAAAGTATTGTACCAAAGGGATGGAGAGTAGTTGAAGGAAAATTTGAAGATCAACATGTTCATCTTACATTTGCATTGAAGAATCAAAATATTGAAAAGTTGAAAGATTTATTGTTGAAGATTTCTGATCCAAAGCATCCACAACATGAAAATTATCTTACCACTGAACAAGTTGCTAGAATGACTACTCCTACTGATGAACACAAGAGTATTGTTTTGAATTATATCAAGTCTATTCCAGGAGCTCTCCTTGTCAAGGTTTCCAAGCATGAAAACTTTGTTTCTGCATTGATGCCACTCTCTTCTGTCAACAAGTACTTTAAAGCTGACATGAAAAAGTTCACTCATGAAATTACTGGAGCTGTTGCTTTTAGATCCGAACAAGGATATGCATTGCCACAAAAGTTGGCTGAAGCTGTTAATTTGGTTTCTGGTGTTTATGGTTTCCCAACTATGAATGCCAAGTTTGATAAAAAGCTTGAATCTAAGAGTAGTCAAAGAGTCACTCCACAATTCATTTGGGCTAGATACAATGTCACCTTCCCAAGCACTGTTAGTCCAAAGTCAACTCAAGCTGTTGCTTCATTCCTCCAACAATACTATTCCAATGCTGATTTGCAACTCTTCCAAAATACTTTCAAGCTTGAAAGACAAACTCCAAAGGTTATTGGACCAAATGATGAATCCAATCCTGGTGTTGAAGCTTCTTTGGATATTCAATATTTGTAAGTTTTTTCAACACGGTTATTTACCAACATTTCATTGTTTCAATTAATTAATTGGAAATAATTGTGGAATAATTTGGACTTGTTGGATAAAATTTTAAAATAATACAGGATGGGTGTTGGTCAAAAGATTAATACTACCTTTGTTTCCACTGAAGGTGTCAATCCAATTACTCACCAAGAAAGATTTGTTCATTGGGTTATTGGTCAACAAGAATTAGGAGATTCTTCTGCTTGGGTTCACTCTGTTTCATATGGTGATATCGAATATCAAGCTACCGTTGCTTTGGCTGATCAATTAGATGCTGAATTCATCAAATTTGGTGCTACTGGTAGAACTGTTTTAATTGCTTCTGGTGATGATGGTGCTAGATGTAATGATAATGGAAATGCCTTTGAACCTGAATGGCCAACCTCTTCCCCATGGATTACCTCAGTTGGTGCCACTGAACCATCTGATTCTGATTATGAAACCACAACTAGCTGGTCTGGAGGTGGCTACAGTAATTATTATGATCGTCCAAAGTATCAAGATGAAGCTGTCAAGGCCTACCTTGCCTCAAATGCTGCTCCTCCAACTTCATACTTTAATGTTTCTGGTAGAGCTTATCCTGATGTTGCTGCATGTATGTATTTTATATTTCTAATCTATATCAATATCATCATACCAATAATTATTTTTCAATTATTTTCAATTAATTATAGTTGGTGTTAGTAAGTAGTATTAATAATTATTCAATTTTATTAACTTGTTATCAGACTATCAAGTTTATGTTAATGGAATGATTCAAAATGTTGCTGGTACCTGTAAGTAGTTAACATTTCACTTCTTTCAATAATCAACATTTCAATAGCTGCCTCAACACCTTGTTTCGCTGGTATTGTTTCCTTGATGAATGATGCTCGTTTCAGAGCTAACAAGAAACCACTCGGTTTCCTCAATATTTGGCTCTATCAACATGCTGGCAAGACTTCTGGTGCTTTCTATGATATTGTTAAGGGTAACAATGCTCACGGTGCTTGTCAATATGGTTTCTCTGCTACTAATGGATGGGATCCAATCTCAGGTTGGGGTGTTCCAAATTATAAGATTTTGCAACACTTGGCTCTCCTTAAATAAATTGGAAACTTGTCGAGTGTTACATAATTGAAATAATTTAACATTTTACAAAAATCTTCCATTCCAGTTCTGTATTGTTCTGGATGAGCACATGGTGGTGAACCTTGATTTTGGTGACCTCTAATTGAATGAGAAGATATTCAGTATCATGCAAATTCATCAAAAAAATGTCCACAAACAATCCATCATTGGAAACCATTAATTCTAACAATTTATTCTTTCAAGAATTTCTGCAGAAAATGGAGGAAGGAAATAATTTACAACGTAAATTATTGGCAACACAACAGGAAATTCTCTGTGCTGTTAAAGAGAATAACGATTTGCAAGTACAAGTATTGGAAAGGTTATCTAAAAGTAAAAAGGAAAAACGAAAGGTTTCATCCGATTTAACAATAATGAATGCTGATGATCAATTTGATGATTCAGTATCAACCAACTCTAATTCTACCACTATTTCTCATAGTACAACAACTGAAAGAGAACGAAAAAAGAGTAAGAAAAATGTTCAATGTTCAGAGGACGAAATATGCATTATTTATGAAGGAAGTTCGAATCATTCACTAATTATTCGAAAGGAATTATTGAAAGGACCTGTTTTGAGAGCTGCAATTTCTGGTAATTTCTTGGAGGAAAGTAATTTCATTCTGCCAAGTGATTCGATCAAACTTTCGAATATTCCCAAAGCAATGAAACAATTGAAGAAATTCTTTCATGATGAAAAACTAGACAAGTGCAATGAAGAAACAAAAAAGGATTTGCAGAATTTGGCTGATTTTCTTGTCCTCCCAGAACTCAAACTTGAATTACTGAAATATCAAATTTGTGATATTCCAATTCTTAAAACAAACAAAAAGAAAGGTGAACACAAGAATTATTCACAAGTTTTGGAAAAGATTGAAGAAATTTCAACTCAACTTCCTGGAATTTTAATTGATTTGGAGTCTGATGGCATGTTATCGGTATTGGAATCATTTCATGAATTTCTTAAAAGTGATGAAAAAAGAGCAGAAACTTTCGCAAGCGTTTGTGAAATAGTTTGGGACAAGAAGTACGCAAATAGAGGAATACTCTCGATCATATTGAAAGGATGTAAGTCATTGGATGCTTTGAAATATTATCTATTGGAAGAATGTGCAACTAATAAGGATCTTTACAATATTGATGAGGAAAAGGTTCAATTATTGAGCAAGTCCATTAGTGAGAAGTGGCAACATCTTTTACCTACTATTCACGAAAGTTTTTTGAAAGATTCATTCATCTAAACAATAATTATTGGAAAACAGTGCAAAACGTGTATTGCTCTTACACTAGATATTCAAAATTTGTCTGATAGATTGCTTGTTAGTCGAGTAATAAACAATCTTGCCACTTTCTCTAAACTTGGAAACAACATTTGGCTCCTCGCTAAATTCGTTTTGATAAAGACTGAGAACTCTTAAATGAGACAAGTGCGAGAAACAGCTTTCAAATGAAGGAATTTCACAAAGCTCATTATGACTCAGATCCAACATTTCTAAATTCCTCAACAAGGTAGAAAAGAGCGTGCAGTTTGCATTTGTAATCTTCTCAATCTTGTTATGTCCGAGTCTCAAATCGACAATCTTGTTCGGTATCAATTCACTATTCCTATCATCCACTGTAGGTAATTGTTTTAAATTATTAAATGAAAGATTTAAAATTCTCAATTGTGGTAATGTTAGCAATTCCAACGGTATAGTTTCCAAAAGATTGTGACTCAAGTCTAACTCAACCAATGATTCAACTTGATAATTGAACAGAGATGAAAGGCATGATATTTGATTCCATTGAAGTTCTAACATGAGCAATTTAGAAAGACGTTGTGAAAATTTCATCTCTGTACTCTTTTTGTAATTCTCAATTTCTTCTGGCTCAGTGAGAGATGGATCAATGAATAAAAACTTGGGTGGAAATTCCTTGAGCTTTAAATAGTTGAGACTAATCATGGCAGAGTGATGATTTTCATCATAGTTAAAAATCTGCCTTTGTACATAAGATTCAAAGTTTGGTCCTTTAAAATCCTTGCCAATATCTTCGTAGAGTTGAATTTGTAAAAGAAATCCAGTATTTGGAGCAATACAACATCTCTTATCTCTAACGTAGACAAAAGCCTCTTCAGCACTCATTTTCATTCGATTCATGACATAGGCAATAATAATGGTTGCAGATCGAGACATTCCTGCAGAGCAATGCACAAGAACCTTGTTGGAAGGATCAGCATTGAGACATTCATCGATCCAATCTAAGGCCTCATCAAATCGTCCCATAATATTGGTCTTTTCTTCATCTGTCTCTGATATTTGTTTGTAATTTTTGAATAGACGAGATCTTTCCTCCTCGTCTGGGAAGGGAGAAATAACATTCACACACAAAATACTATTAATACCAATTGATTTCAACTCTTCAATATTTGTAGCAGCAGTAACGGATCCCAAATAGAGTCTATCTGCAATCCTTTGTGGCACTCGTTGCATGTGACATAAAAATCTCATTGCATTATGTGAATTGTGAGAGCCCTTCTTGGTTAGCACTTTAGAGAAGGATAGTCTGGCTTTTGGTGAATTTTTCTTGATTGACATTTTGATTGGAGAGGAAAAGTCCTCGTTGTGGTGAGTTTGAGACTTTTCTCTTCCAGTAATATATTTCAATTCTATAGGAATAGCATCAGCTAAATCTATGTAATTCTCCTGTACATTCAAAGTTAAAAGACTATGTTGAATAAATAGGTTGGAAAAGTATTTTGGAATCCTTTTGATATTATTATTGGAAAGATTCAAAACTTTGAGAGGACATAAAGAAGCAACCTTGAAAAACTCTTCAGAAATCTCCTCAATAGCATTCGAGCTCAAATTAATGGACGTTAATTGTTTAAATTGTGAGAGAAATTCAATAGGAATCCTCTTGAGTCCACAATTTGTTAATTCCACCACTGTAATATTCTCTTTCAAATAATTTGCCAATTTCCTCTTCTCGTCAAACATAACTTCTACCAAATTGACTCTCAAATATTCGTCCATATCACTCACACCATCATGCAATAAATTATTAAATTCCAAACCTTCAAACGGAGCCACAACCTGTTCATTCTCAATCAATTCATTTACATTATTTACAATTGAAACTCTATCAGAATTTTCATTAAACTTCAGGATTAAATTTTCCAAAGCCTCCGATCTAATAGTATTCTCCACAACACTCATCGAACACTTTCTAAAGAAGAGAATCTTTCCATGCTGTTCTCCACTCTCGACTGATGCAGCAGCGGTTGAAGAAGTTGATGAAGCAATCCTCTTGGAAATATCCGTAGTATTGTCATTTGTAGAATGAATAGCTTGTTCTATAGTAGAAAAGAATTTACTAAGAGTTTCACCTATTGAAGAAGTAGAAGGAGATGAAGAATTTGTTATTGTTGTATTACTGGATTTTCTTCTGGGAGAATTTTCAGAGTTTGAATTTGTTGTTGTTGTTGTTTTTGTTGTTGTTGGTGATGAGAACCATCTCCGACCACCGGAAAAGAACGCCAAGACCGGAAGAAGCGTGAGCCACCAGAGAGCGGCAAGCATTTTTTTAATTTAAGAAAATTGGATATTAATATTTTAATATTTTTAATATTTTGTAAAGTTGTTTTGAAATACAAGGGCGAAATTCTGAAAATAGCAGATTAGGAAATAGTTATGAAACAGGCTGCTGAAACATGAATTTCCCATCCAACTAATGCATTCTGTTGCATTGCATTAAGGAAGAGTTTATGATTTAATAACCTTGATATTAGTGCATGAGCAGAATGGCTGAATATTCGTGTTCACACCTTTCAAGAAATAATCTTTCTGAATAAATAGTAAAGAATCCATCAGATATAGAGGCTGCTCTTTGAATCTCTGGATCTGTTCTCAATTTCATAGAGAGTATGTTGATATTATTTCCTGTCTTCTTGACAAACTCCATGGCAAGCTCTTTATCTATCTCACCATAGTAATTATTTAAACCACCCCTTATAGCTGCAATCAATACATCTCGATCAGATGGAAATAAGTTACGCAACATTGAATAGTCAGAGCCCTTACGAATTAGTCCCTCAATTGCTAGCTCTTTATCCAATTGACCTGGATACAAAGCACGTAGATCTGATAAAGACAAGCCACTTCTTACAGCCTCTAAAGCAAAATTTCTATTGGATAGTAATAGTGCTGGTGGCTCAGCATCTGGTGGACTTTCCAAAAAGTTGGGCATGTCTTTTGGAACAAACAATGCAACAGAACCATTTTGCTTGACAGCTGCCATAATAATTTCACTGTCTCTCGTTAAACGTGGAGAAACAAACTGATAGCAACATCCGTTCTGTTTGACAAGTTCCAAAACCACCTCTCTATCATCTTGCAATATTTTCATCAAGTGTAAATGCAGTGGATTGTCTCTGACAGCTGTCAATGCCAAATTTTTATCATTTAACAGATCTGGATGAGCATAAGCATACATTTTTGCCTTAACCAAAATATCTACATCTGTTTTCAATCTGTAAGATGCATAATGATATGCTTGATTGTCATTCTCCAAGGCCAACAATACAATTTCCTTGTTATCTTTAATTTCTTTCGAAGCATAATTGAGAGAAGTTCCTTTTCTAGTAATTGCCCTTGTTACCACTCTCAAATCCCCCTTCAGTTCTTGGCTTGCAAACTCGAGTGCATCTGGATTCTGATTAATTGCCAAGTTGACAATTTTCTTATTATTTTTCAATTCAACAGATGCATATTGCAAACCTTTTCCATAAACCTTTACAATTTCTGTAAGTACATCAGGATTCGATCCATAATTCTTTAAAATTTGATCCAAATACCTTGTATCTGTCCATTCCTTCACACTAAACTCTCCTCTATTAAACAAATCCAAAACAAATGCAATATCCTCCTCTCCATACTTATTGTGCATAATTCCACTCAATTTTCCCTTTTCATTTGCAATATCATTCAAATACTTTTCAAATCCCTCAACACTTCTCAATTGTCCATAATCTTTCAAACTGGGATTATAAATCTTCCTCATAATTGCTCTCATCACCAAAGCATCTCTCAAAACCTCTCGAGGTAATATCTGAATAATTGTCTCTATCGATAACTTGACCAAATTCCTCATATAATCAATTACACAATCTCTGTGCTTCATAAACTCAATCGGAATAAAATCATTATTTGTTTTAAATTCCTTCTTACGATCCAATCGGAGATGAATTCGTTGAAACCACTTGACTCTTCCTTTCTGTTGATTTTCAAATTTTGATTTTAATTTTAAATATAAATGATGAAGATGATCATGATGATGATTATTAATATTGGAATGATGATCGGAGAGAATTAGAATGACAGCATCACGATGATGATAAGAAGCAGGAGGAGCAGTTGCTTTTGTACCTTTTCTAATTGTTGTTTTTTTGCTTTTGTTTGTAAGCATTAGTAATTAGTAAAAGAAAATTTGATTAAAGTATTGGCGGGAAAGTTAATGTAAAGATATTTTTTTTGTGAATGGTAAATATCCCGCTAAACACTTACTGTCAAAGCGTGCTGGTACTTTGACGATTTTGCGTCAAGCTATTTTCGTCAAACAAGCGAAAAGTTGTCTTAGCAGGAGGGAACTTGGAAATTTTTCCAATTTCAAATAACAAATAAATTTCCAAGTCAATAAATTTCAATTTATTAAAAGTTTTGATATGCATAATAATGCACAGGAATATATTTCTCTTCATCAGGGAGTTTGACAACAACACATGGGAGCATTTCAAATGCTTCACTTCTACTAATCTCCCTTGTCTTATTGGTGGTGTTGGAAATTAAGGTAATCTCATTAAAATCTTTTGAGAAAGATGCCACTTTGAAAACTTCGTTCGTTTTGATATCCTTGATACAATCTAATTCCTTTCTTACAACGTAGTGACCAACTATACATTCAGAGGCAATAAGAGGTTCATTTAAATCCATTAAATCACATAATTGGCACATATCAAAGTACATGATTGAATATCGAGCAGAATTTGAACAAACGTAAGTCTTTGAGAGTGTGAAATTGAGTCCTTCTCCAATAAAAGCAGAATTTACACCAAGAGGGCCGTACATTCTACAAGAATTGACTAACTCAGTACAAATATGAAAGTTTGGTGTTGCTTTCTTTTCTCCAACCACTTTCTGATAATCAATTAACACTTGAAACAATTCAACCTCAATGTCTCCTAATTTGGATAACTGAAATGAGTCTGTCAGCTTATCAATTATAGAGGCAAATCTATGAATTATTTCAACCTTTGATTCTATTTCCTTAAATCCTTCGATATGTGTAAACAGCTCTAAATAATGATGACAGATCATGTAAATTTCAATTGCCTTTAGACTGTTCATAATCTGGCCATTTGTGGTCTTTCTAGGATGCTTGTGAAGGAATGATGGATACTTTTATTTCAGAAACAATGTCAAATCTTTCCCAGTATTGAACTGGGATCATTTTCATCATTTCTTGGAAAACTCCTTCATATAATACATGCATTGAATCATAGCAACAAATATCTGATGGTGATGGATTCCAATCTTGATCCAAAATTGGTGAAATTGATTTCAACCCTTGATCAAAATTCCCTTTTTGAATGTGATTTTTCCAATACTCTTTATCTCTAAAGGTGCAAGATTAATTGTATCATATTTAGGGTGTATTCTTATTGGGTATCGAGTTTGTTTCAAAGATTTTGAATTTTCTTTGGTTGATTCTATATCAACACTTTACAGATTCTGAACCACTTGTTCAGTTTTCAAGTCAGAAATCTACAAGCAAGCCAAAGTCTTCTACCAAGAATGCTTCTTCTTACAATGAACCTTCCAACAAGAAGGCTTCTTCAAGCAATGATGATTCAAATGAAGTTCCGGAATCATTTGCAAATTCTGCATTTTTGAAACACTATAATGATTTAGTTGATGAGAATGAAAGAATTAAGAAAGAATTGGCTAGATATAAACAGGCAGTCAGAAATATGAATGAAATGATTAATCAAATGGTGAGCTGTTTAGATGAGTATCAAGATGTCTTTGCATTGGGAGACTCTATTGTGCATCATGATGATAAAACCATTGTGCTCACCCATAAAGAGATAGCAAAGATTTGTGAATTAGGTGAGAAAACCTCTCAAATCATACATGTTTGCTCAACCTACTTTGAAAAGTCAATTACAAAGCACAACCAAGATGAAAGAAAGCTATTGTTTAAGATAATATTTGATGCAATGGGTTGGAAAATAAGCAAACACAAGAACAAACTCAGTAAATACAGAGGTCTTTAGTTCAATTGCAAGCAACCTTAAGAAAAAGAAGGGTGCAAAACAAAATGAATCAGTAAAGAAGAAGAAGACAGAACTTGAGGAGACCACCTCAAAAAAGAGAAAAGAAAGAGAGGAAAACAATGATTCTGGATCATCCTCTTGTGAGGAAGAAACCATTGAAGAGGATTCCACTGATGATATGAGTGATGATGAATGTTGATTGTAAAATGTTGGGTTACTAAATCGTTATTTTTAATAAAAAAATGTCTACACATCAACTCCCTCATCATATCATACAAAACTGTCGGTTAGTACTACAACATTATTTTTACTACAATTTAAAATCATCAGTTTTATTGTTTATTGGTTTGTTGTATTTAAATTTCTTAATTTCTTAATTTTTTAATTATTGTTGTTAGTTGGATTTATAAAGATTTTATTCTTCGAAATTGGTTTGTTGTATTATTTTCATATTATATGATTTTACCTGCTACGGATCATCAAAATTATTCATCACAAGAAATTAGGTAATTTGTTATAATTCAATTTGTGCTAAACAGCACGATTTATATGCAAGCAACAATGTAAGTAATTTTGATTTATTATCATTAATTTTGAATGTAACTGAAGAGGTGAGTGATATTTCATCAGTTGGAGTGAGGATGAGGAGTGTAGATATTTTTTTCGGTTGGAAATTTGGAATGGAAGTGGATCTAATAATAGATGAGTTTGGAACTTGGAAATTTTACAAGATTTTGTAGTAAATAATTGCTGGAATTTAGTCAATAATTGACAATAATTATTATGAATTTTTTGACGTAATTATTGATGTTTTTTCATCAATATTTGATACAAAACATTATTGATTTATTATCAATTTTTGACGTCAAAAATTGATAATAAATCATTAAGAATTGACGATAATTCTTGACGTCAATTGCGCGTTAATTTGGAATTTTTCTCCCAACACTTGTTGACGATTTTATTATGCTTTAAGCATCAATTTTTAACATTTTTCAATAAACTTTATTTCATAATTTTGCAATCTGATACGTTAAAATTTGACGAAAAAATTGTTAAAATTATCATCAAAATAATTTAGCGGGTATTTATTGTAATGCGTTTGAAAAATGATCAAATGTATCACGTTTCCAATATTGTTCAACTTTCCAATAAAAAATGGACGAATCAACACCTCTCTATAATTTCGGAAATTCTGTGGAAAAAGATGAACGTTCGGAAGATGATGATATTGTCATTCAATTCGTTCAATTAATTTCATGTTTATTACTTTCATGTTTTACATTATTTGATTTAGTTTTGGGGATTTGGGGAAGTGTAATTTTTGGAATCTATTCGAAAGGGTCCAATCTGATAGATCCAGAGCCATGTAATATGACAACTGCCACTGCTTTAATAATGACATGCTCTGTGTGTTATTTCTCATTCTTTATTTTCAAGATTAGTTTAGTTTGTTGTCATTGTTTCGGATGTAGAAAGAAAAGGATTTATCTTGTACCAAGCATTTGTTTCTTCTACATTCCTTGTTTAATAATTAATGGAATTTCGTGTACGATCTTGGCATTCATTGGTGGAAATAGAAAATGTCAAGAAATTCATGTTCAGGAATTCGCATTTTCCATAACAAGCGTAATTCTAATGTCTCTAATTATATGTATATGGACTTGTCAAAATTGTTTATTGGGTGGATGTAAATTAGTTGCCGCTAACGAGGATTAATTATGTTTGTAAAACTTTACAATAAAATCATCAAAATAAAATTTCATTACTTGATTATCTTTATCCCCCAACCTGAAATACTTCTTTTAAATAGATCATTCAGAAAATCCACCAAAGATGAAATCCCAATAAGATTCAACACATCTTTAACTAAGAAAACAACTGAGGAATTATTAACAATCCCAAACTTTTTATTAAAATCATGAATCAGTTTCATTGCAATCCAAAAAATTTTACAAACATATAATTGTTATTGAACCACTTCAACTTCTAACATTTGGGAAAACCAGTCCACGTTCCTAGATCAATTATGAAATGAATAGTGTCGAATGTGGGGCATGGCACTTTGTTGTCAATGCTCAAATATTTCAGAAGTCGATTGTTGGAACAGATGAAAATTGCTTTTCATAATTGTAAAATATTTACTCTCAAATAAAGATGTTTCGTAGTGACGGATTCGAAGAATTGAATAAAAAGATCAATTTGTTGTGTGAAAATTTATAAATTTACTCGGCACCAATTAACAAATCAGAGAGCTTGTACTCAATGACAAACTTTTGATTACTCTTCAATGAATCAATCAAGGCCAAGACTGGATTACGGCTCTTCAAAGTTTCAGCATTAGCTTGAGACACTTCACCAGTATTTTCCAAATCAGTAGCAGCTTGCTTCTTGGCATTAACCTTAATGAGATATCTGAAACCTAACTTGGTACAGAAAATAGAAGAGAAGAAGAAGAGAGACATTAAAATACCATAACCATGAACCATTGTACCAATTAAACAGACAAGATTGAGTGCCAAATTGAGAGCCATCATGATTGGAGACTTTAAGAGCATTGAAATAGTTTCCAAAACTACCAAAATCCAGAAAATAACATGAACAAAAACTGGGAATCTCCATCCATTAGTATCAGCAGCAACCCAAATGACACCAATAATTTGTAAGAGAAGTGTCAAGGCCAACAAGTTACACAATGACCCAATCAATGCAGTTGGAGAACGAACACGAGTCTTGAGTTTGTTCAACATTTGTCTAAAGGTCGATGTTGGACGCATTCTCATAGTCGAATCTTCTGTAGAAGCTTGAGCCATACCACCATTTCCATCAATAGTAGTTGTTGTGGTTGTAATTGTAGTGGTATATGGGAGTTGTTGTTGAATTTGAATTGGTTCGGTAGTTATTGTTGTAGGATAAGGAGTTGCTTGTTGTTGACCAATGAATTGAACTGGAGGAATTGGTTGATTATTCATTCCGTATGGCATATATGAAGCACCTTGTAAAGTTGGATACATGTGTTGTTGGTGTGGGAGAACCGGTAATTGAACCATTGGATTACTTGAAGGCAAAGAAGATGCTTGCAAGACTGGATAAGGAGTTGTCGTTGCTTGTATTGTAGGATTGGATGAAGGAATTGTTGTTGGTAAATTTGTATTCATCATTTGTTGTGCGTATGGATGTGGTGGAGGTGAAGTAAGAGTCATCTTTAGTTAGTATAAATCTTCAAGGAATTATATTTTCTTATTATTATTATTATTTTGATTATTATTTGTACAAAAGTCGCGACGATATTAGATGTCGGTTGGTTTTATGATAATTTTTTTAGTGATTTTGTTTGATGTGAGATGAACAAGAATTTGAATGGAAGCATCAATTTTCGAATTCCTTTCCAATTTGATTTTTGACTTCTTTTAAGGAGGTTGTTAACGTTGAGGAGTTGTTGAAACAAGCTGTTGATTATCAGCGATATTCGATATCGACTAGATTTTGAATCATGTATTCATCCTTAATATCTACTTCGATAATCGAAAATAATTCCTTTCTAATTCTCTCGCGATCTTGTTCAACTAGGCTTCTACTTCCAACAGACATCAAATTTTTAAACCTTAAAAAAAATCGCAAAATTCTGCCAAGCTCGTAAATTTGCAGCCAATTTCAAACTCTAACCGCCTGTACCATCATCACAATCATTTTCATTATTTAAATAATTCGCGATCACAATGAATAATAATAATGCTACAAATAATAACCATGTTCATCCGTACATGATGGCACAACAACAACAACAACAATTTACAAAATCACCTGATGCTCCTCCAATTCAATATCATTCCGGTCTTGCTCAACAACAACAACAACCAGTTTTTACCACCTCAAGTCCATATCCAACCTCTACCACCACCACTACCTATACAACTACTATTGAATCAGTGCCACAACAATATCCTACAAACATGGATAATGTTGCTCAAGCATCTATGGAAGATTCTTCTTTAAAGCTTGTTGGAACTTCTATTGCAAAGCAAATGTGGACTAAATTGAAGAGTAGAGTACGTTCTCCATACACTCTTGTCTCTTCATTGTGTAACATGTTGTCATTGGCCATGCTTTTTGAATTTATCTTTATCATTGTTGCTTCCTGTCAATATTATAACGCCACACCAGCTCATATGCACATTGTCTTTTGGATTTTGTTCGTGGTTCAACCAATTTTCATGATTTTGAAATCACCTTTATTGATGGTTGTTTCCTTGTTTATGAATTTGGCCATGTTTGTTATGAGTTGTGTTCAAACTGCTGCCTATGGCAAGAATACTGGTATTTCATATGGTGTTTTGGTTGTCATGTTCTTGTACTCGTGTTTCTTTTCAGTTATTTTGGCTATCAGTTATCTCAAGAAGGTCAACAAGTCAACAGAACAACAAGCAACTCAATCACCAAAAGCTGCTATCATGGCTGACATTGTTACCATTACTCAAAATATTAAGCGTTATAGAGAAATGATCAAGGCTTGTAAAATTTCTGATCTCTTAATTGGTGCTGAATAAATAATCACTGTAAATATTAATTGTAAATAACTATAAAACTCAATCTTCAACAATATTAGTTTTAAATGAGCGCATGTTTAAGAATGAACACCAGATGTAGTTGAAGAATTTCAAAAAGACAGGGAAATAGCTGCTTTAAATAAGAATGCATAGAAACATGCATCGAGATGGTAACAAGAAATAATTACAGGTATTTTTCTAATTTACAATAGTTTAATCTCAATATTCTCAAATATTTAACAAGCTGTGCAATTCTTTCCTAATTGCTTTGCTGACAAGCTCAATAATAATGGTCTCACATACACGACGGAATTGGCAATAGCTGTTGGAATATATCCATTAGGAGCTGCTTGAGCTATGAAAGTAGCTCTCAAATCTCCATTGTTTAATTCGGTAAATTTCAGATAGGTGAAAATGTTGGTTCCTCTGACGTGGCCCTTTGCTGGCTTAATGTCGAGAGCTTCATCGATGGAAGTTGTCAATAGGATGGTTGTCTTTTTGGCATCAGAAACTTCTGGTTTAACATCGAAATATCTTTCAACATAGAGAAAATCTCTTTCCGAAACCATCATGCCTTTTTTCCAATAAAATTTCCAATATTTTCCACACATGAATTATCAATAATTTTGATAAGAAATGAAATATTCCAATACAACCAATCGTTAGCAAACCATGCACAAACAATCAAAACCTACTTGGTGAAGTTACAACATAATGTCTGACACTCCAATTTCCCTCCTCAGTGCTAAACTTTCCTACTTCAGTAATTGATTTGGTATTCTCATCAAAAATTTGTCTAGTTTTCGTATCTGCAGTAGTCAACAATGGAACAATCTCATCAACAGTACATTGTGAAATAAGTGTCTCTCCACGAATGACACTTCCTTCATTGGCAGATGCTACAGAAATTGTCACCTGATCGACGACCTTGTATGGTTTGAATAGATCAGTGCTCTTTTCATAATGTTGGGCAACTGAGAGAGCTTTGGAGTAGAGAGTGGAGGAAATGACCTTGTTGATGGATTCGATGGAGAACATTTTTTTTAAAGTTTTGAATAGTTGATTTGGAGAATTTAATAGGGAAATTGAGAGAGGAGTCGGATAGTCGGCCGGTGCAGTTTGCTCAGTCCTATCCGATCTCAAATTATTGATTAGGGATTCTCTTTGCATTTAAGTGTGCTGATTACAGCAACTGTTATTGTAAACTTGACTAAGTTAGTGATGAGAAAGTTGAAAACTGTAGATGCCTATCCATGATACTCCATCCTTTTCCTTATGAAAAAACCGTTCAATTGGACTATTAATGATTAAATATATTTAATAATTTATATTCCAAATTCTTTCGTGAAGAAATTTCTTTTGAAAATACTGTAAAACTACCAAATTTATTTATTGGCGCCACTTTTTCCCGCCTCTCACTTACTATTATTTTAATATAAATAATAAAAAAAACGAATGAACAGCAAATTCTCGACTCGGCCAATTTCATCGAGAAAATCTTCGGCACTGTCGAATAGTCGCTCGGCCAGTGCTGCTGATGAGGATGATGACGATGAAGAACATCAACGTTTATTTAAGAATTTTTCAAGAGGAGACGATAGTGATGAGGATTTTTCTGCTACTAGTGGAGGAGGAATGGATTACATTAGGAATAGAATTTATTTTGAAACACCAACGCCAAAAGGCTCTGGACGATCATCGACAATTCCCTTACCTGTCGGTGATTCTAGTATTAATATCGAAGTATTTAATCATGAAAATGATGAATATGATGACGATGATGATGAGCCTCTGATATTTGGAATTGAAAAGAAGGATGATACAAAGATTGCTATTAGTATTGTACCAGGGACTCGTGATAAGGAAAAGTTTTTAAACACTAAGGAAAATAATAATTTTGATAGGAGCTTGCCAAGTGCAATTAAGAGAGAGGGTTCTTCGGCATCGTCTTATGGAAGATTTGAGACTCCGAGTCCATTTCAAACTGAGGAAGGAAATTTTGAAGAGGATTTTGGAAGTGAAAGTGGAAGAATTACAACATTTACTAATAGATCTGAGGATGCACCTTCAGTTTCAACAACAACAGGGGCTGTATTACAAAAACCATCATTGAAAAAGTTTGAGAGCATTCCGCTTGGGCTTTCCTCTCCCTTCACTAAGAAGAATAGTGCTGGAGGTTTATTGAAAAAAAGTACTGGTTCCTCAAACGTCTCAATACAGGGAGATTTTGATGAGGAAGATACAAGTCATCTCAAAGATGATCCTCTTGCAGTGAATTTAAAACCATCTAGAACCTCCTATGTTGCAGGTTCAACAAAGAAGGGCATTAATAGTGATGCTGCCTCCACAGTAACATCTCTTGCCCCTAATTCTCTATTCTCTAGGGACCAAGCTGTCTTCAATGATCCTAATTTTCACGACCTAACAGAGGACGAATTGATTAACAAGCAGAAAAAACTTGGTCAAAAAAAGGTAAACACTTCCAATGCAAAGATTAACCTCAATTTATCACAAGCTCAAACGGCTGCTCTAGGAACAGAGGCTCTTTCTGAATTGAAACGAAAAATGGAAACCAAAGAGGAAGATATGGAAATAATGAATGGAATTATTGATTTTGCAAAGAAGGAAGAATCTAAACTATTGCTCAAAACTGGGAATTTCAGCACTGTTGCCAAGTATGAAAGAGAATCGAAACGACAAGACGAAAAAAGGAATATCTCACAATTATTGACCACTGTTAAAAAGAGGCAACACAATGAGAAGCAAGTCACCAAGAAGAATGAAATCACCATCCCAATGTCTAGCAAGAAAATCAAGTGGGTAGAAGACGCTAAAAAGAAGGGAAGAGAAAATTTGAAAGAACACTTGTTTGCTGAAAAGATGGAAGATTTTGCAATTCAGGCCAGAATCAATCACGAAAAGACTGTCGAAAATTACAAGATTCATTACGACAATTTATTTGCTGAACACCAACAAGCTCTGCAACAAATCAAAATTGAAAAGGAAAATGTAACCAAACATCAGGAAGAGAACAAATCTCTCAAATATACTATCGAAATGTTGAGACAAAAATTGGGAAAGCAATCGGTGAGAGAAATTGAAAAGGAACAAAAACTGAGACTCTTCTCAAATTATGAACCTCTTTTTGAAACATTGCAGAAGAATTTCAACTTTGATTCACCGTATGATGTTATTAGGAGAATTGAAATGTTGGAGAAGGCTCAATCTGATTCTTTCACACAACTTTTGGAAGCACAAGAACAAAAGAATGCTTTGGAACGACAATTTGAAAAGTACAAGACTGAAATAGAGAACAAACACAGAAAGGCCATTGGGGAATTGGAAAAGCAAATCGAACGTGATCAAAATCAAATCAAGGAAGATAATATGAACATGAAAAAGTTTCAACAAACTCTGGATTCCAGTGAAAATTACAGACAAAAGTTTTTAGTATTAAGTGATTCTGTGATAGATTTGTGGCACACCTGGGTGAAAGATGTGGAAAAATTGGGCTATAGAGATACAACTGTTTTTTACAAGAATGGGGAACATTCATTGACTGGTGGAGCAGCCACTTTGTTAATGCACTCTGATCCAGATTTTAGTGATTCCAATCAAGTCATGTCTGCCGTTAAGAATTTATTGATTGCCTTCACTCCCAACAAGGCAGGTCACTCTTACTCGGAGCTTGCAAAAATGGCAAATGGATATTGGCTTAAATATTTCAAGACTGATTTTGATATCAAGAGTAAACCAAAGCAAATATTTGAAAAGATGGCTCAATCCATTGATGTAAGAAATACTCGAATCAAGGAATTGGAAAGGAAGGTCAAGGAAATTGAAATTCTCGTAAAGCAATTGGAAGATGACAAGAATAAGGCCACCAGAGAAAAGAGGGCTCTCGAAGTTCAAGTCAACGTAGGCCAACAATTCCAAAGGCCACAATCAGCCGGGGCTCGTCTCAAAAATGTCAAATCTCCCACACTACACTACATTTACGGTGCAGAAAACAACAAGGAAAAGAAGTCCAATTCAAGACCTCAGAGTGCTCGAGTTTGGCCTAGACCTCAGAGTGGAGCAAGTAGCCCATCAAATAATACCAATAGATTTAGACCTTCCACTGCAAAAAGTGATCATCCAACGACAACATCTGACAATTCTAGACCCTCCTCTTCATCCTCATTGAGAGCATTTGTTAAAAGACCAATGAGTGCACCTTCTAATAAGAGACCACAATCCTCCTCAGCAAAGAGTACAACTACTCATGATGATCTTGGCTCCTTCTTTATTACACAAGTTGGTATCACTTAAATATTGATCTCCTCTTGGATATTACTATCAAAACTAGTGTGTACTTGCTAATTTATTTAGCTAGAGATTTCTCACCTCAGAATCATTGATTGGCTGTTGGATTCTTATCTTGTAAAGATGAGCAAAAAAGGGACCCTTAATTGGTTGTTTAAAATACCACAAAAAAATTGTCCAAATCCACCACAGTATAGATCCTCATCACCAGTAACTCGATCCAGAACAAGCCAAAACATTGAAAAAGTTCTTGGTCTTCTTGTTTATCAAAAAGCAAAGCTAAGAAAAAATGTCTCCACATCCAAAATGTCCATGCAAAGGTAGTTGTGTGAATTGTATGAAAAAGTTTAGTGGTATTGTGAAGAATAAAATTGGAGTGAGTAAGGTGCTTAATAGCTTGAAAAAGATTGGTTGGGGAGGTGAATTCTTCTCCCGTGAACAACCATCTCCATCAATGAACTCTTCGAATTGCTCATCATCTGGAGTGGTATCACCATTGCTTAATAGAAGATCATCAGTAGCAAATCTGGCCACATGTTCGACAGGTGCTGTTGGAGAATCCTCAACAAACTCCTCTGTCACTTCCCTTATTTCATCAACTTCATCGGATAACTTGATGGTTGTTGGTTCTTCATCTTCATCATCAACGAATTGTTCCACCTTCTCGCCTACTTGTCGTTCTGTTGCTCATCATCACCACGAACAGAAAGCAACATCATGTACAGTTCAAGAATCATCCTCCATGTAAATAGATAAGGTTGTGTAGAACTCTGAAGAATTTTGCTTAATCTTTCACATAGTTAAAATCGAGTCGTTACAAATTAGTGTAAATAAATATAACACAAGTTGTTTTAATAGTAACGAATTATTGATTATTTGTGTAAAGTGTAACTTGTTAATAGTCAAAGGTCTCAAACTGGTATTATTATCAGGTGTAGAAGAATTAACATAGTTTGGCAACAAGTACTGTTTATTCCTTGTTAGGATGCAGTTTCTTCAGATATTTATTTCTAATGGTTTGAAAGATGTGATATCGTGATATTTTCTAAGAGGAACAGAGGGCCTGTTAGAAACTCATCTTAATATTGTTTATTTAAAAAAAAATTTATATTAAAGTCTCCCTGTTTTTGCTTGTGTACACAATCAGAACAACCAGAGCAAGAACAGCGCCATGAATTATTTGAGTGGCTGGTAGTAATTCCAGTTGTTTCTTCATTTCTTGAACCTCAGCACTTAATTGGTTAATATAAGTATTTAACTGGTTAATATTAGTAGTTAACTGAATATTAATCATCTCTTGTCTAGCGAGAACATCTCGCAAGTGCATATAATTATACATAAAATCATCTTGGAGTTGGGAAAATTGAAGTATTGAATCCATGGCCGGGTAGAACTTGCTTAATTCAATACAAATTCCAACTGTAGAGTCATTTTGTAATTTTAATTCATGAGAAAATGTAGAAAGACCAATATCTACTAGTAGTTAATTTTCTTGTTCAATTTCGAGTTCTTGCTCACAGCCTAATAATCGTTGTCTCCTCCTTAATAATTTCTTCAATCAATCTAGTAGATTCATATAACACTGCATTAACTGGAAAACTTAGTTCAATTTCAAGCTCACGTAGTGATGGATGTTTTTCAATTATAATTATCTCCTCATTATTGAATGTGATATTTGTTTTG